AGGTCTGAATTAGGGAATGTAAAATTTGTTAGTTCTTCCCAATTGGATGTAAATACTTGAGCTGAAAGTACTGATATTGTTGGATTACTTCTAGTTCCATGTTTTGAATATGCAATTCTATTAATTAAGAAATAGATATTAAATTTAGATAACCAAACTGCACTTCCACAAAATTTAAACCATTTGCGGTTTAATATATCTTGTTCTTTTTCAGTTGGTTTATCGAGAAAGAATGCTTTGTATATGGCTTGAGTATCTTTGAGTTTATATAATTGATCTCGGAAAANATCTTGCTCTTTTTCAGTTGGCGTATCGAGAAAAAATGCTTTGTATATGGCTTGAGCATCCTTGAGTTTATATAATTGATCTCTGAGAATCTTCAAATCATCTTTCTTATTGAGAGGTAGTGGTTGAGTTGATTTGATGTTGGTTCTATCATGAAATTGAACTTGTGAACATTTGAAATTGTCATCAATATTTTCTTTTCCTGTTACTATAAATGAATATCCTGGAACCGTTATACTTTCAAAATTATAATTTTCAATTCGATTACTTATTGGAGATTTGTTATTAATATATGATGGTATTGAATCTGTTTTATTAAATAGGAAATACCATCCACTTAAGGTTATTAATACTAATGTAATATATAACAAGAATGCCAGTTTGTGATTATTGGTCTTTGTGAATCTAATACCATATTTATGATTAACAATCAAGACAATTGCTGTTAAAATTGTTGGGAATAGGATATAAACTATATTATCATTAACTTCAAATATTGATGAATTCATTATTTTTCTCACAGAAATGCTCTTTTAATAACAACCACAAAAAGAAGAAGAAGAAGAGCAGTAAATGAAGGTTATGTAAATATAAGAATCTTTTTATATTAAAGAAAGAAAATACAAATTAATTGGTTACATAAATTCTTGTTACAATTCTTGAGAGACTTGTATAGTGTACTTATAGTAGTGGTATGGACAAGTATTTTTTAATTTTGCAACAAGCACATAATAAAACTGTTGATGTTACAAGTTAAAATAAATGATTAAATGACAAATTAAGATGTTAAAGGGCAAAAGAGCCTTTTGTAACAGATGTGGAGAGGGGTCTCCCTCTCATAAGCACGTGGCAAGTGCAGCACAAATGGGATTTGTGACTGAGTGTGAGGACACCACTGCAGTGGGTAATAATACTTTGGGTACTTCGGTACTTAGATGGATCCACGAATGACCAATCTCGGATGAAGAGGAGCACCATGAGTTAGATTGAGAAGATTACATTGTACTGTGAGCCCGGGTAACGCTTAGTAATTAGGTGTAAGGAGTGATTTCGCACTTTCCTATTTGGGCGAGTACAATGGAAAACTAAAACAGCAGAATGTGGTATGAGAGTAATCCGAATGCGGTTCCCAGAATATCAAGTTACATGCTTGGCTCTTCCTTGGCATTTCGCACACACGTTGGTTTCACATCAGATGTGTTTTAGGAATGGTGCCACGTAACACTTGTATGCTGGTTGACTTGAAAGCCGTCATTCGACTGTCACATCTTCGTCACACGGTGTCCCGTTCTGACCAAGATAAATACCTGTGAATTCCCCCGTTCTTTGAAATTGGGATTTGGAAGGAAGAACAACGAGAACCTCCTCAACAATCTACATAGAGCTCTTTAATAACTAATACACGTTTCAATCAACTGACAGTTCACTAACTAGGACTGTCGCGCTTCCACCTGAATAATTTAACGTTTTCGACTGAACACTCTCCACTCTTATATTAGGACTCTCGGGAAAGCACTCAGGAGTAAGTTGGAAGGTTATGAATTATTAGAAAGTTAATTTCTAATTGCCACCTGTGCGAAATAATTAATTAGGTTAGGGATTAATATTTAAGTAACTAGAAATCCCCCGACGTTTGAGTTCCAGTGCTCGGATGATAACAAAAAACGATATCAACAATTAAGATAATCATGATTCAGAAGAATGATTTCACTTTTCATTTTATGAATAAGTTTCAACTAGAGTTTGTTCAGACGATGCCTTGCAGAGTATGAGCAACTACAGATTCATCTGATAAAAGGAACTACATCTATAATTAGGTATATAGTTCTAAATATACATACTGGGAGTTCTCTACAACACTAAGAGCTCCTACCAGGTATTGTAACTTCAATAACTGCCTTCTGCAATCAATTCTATAGATTCCCGAGGAGGGATAGTCCTGTTCGTTTCACCTTTGGGTTTCCGGAAACTAGAACAGTTGTTTAAGTCGCTTGGTTTAGGCGATTGAGTGGAGCAGTTATCAGTATAATGAAGTGATTAATATAAAATTTAATTTAAGGTTCGGATCCGGAAGAATACTCTCGAAACCATGCATAGGAGTACAAGAGAATAAAAGAGAATAAGTGAGAGTACATACTAGTTGATTTACCACCCGACCTCAGAGAAGCATGTGATCCAGGCTATTATGAGAAACATTCAGAGATGGTTAGTAGGTCAGAGCATGGGGACATGGTTGAAGCAGCATGATATCATAGGCTAAGCAAGGCTATTATTAAGGTAATGTGATATCATAGATCACGAGTTAAGGTAGGACGATATCATAAATAAGACAAGGGAATATCATAGGTTATGAATTAAGTAAGATAATATCATGGTTAGAGCAAGACGAGGTCATGACTAAAGTATAATGATATCACAAAAGTCATTTCTAAGAATAATGTTGGGAATGTTACGAATTATTGTATGATGGTTTGTAACAGCAGCTCCAGAAAGGAATGATCACTTGGAAGGACGAAGCAGAAATTCTTACGTTATTCTGTGCAATAGAAAATAAGGTTGTCGAACAGGGTTCAAGATTCTCCAGTTGTACGGAGTGTTTATGTGCCGTCCCATTCGGCCTTGCTTGCGGAAACCCTAATACAGCAGAATGCGGTATGACAGTAACCCGGACAGAGGTTCCCATAATGCAAGTTACATGCTTGGTCCTTCATTGGCATAGAGTCCGCTCTAACGTTTCAGAATGGTGCCTCGTTACATTTGTCTTAGGTTGAGTTTACGCCCAGCTTCGTCTGTCACATCTACGTCATACGGTGTCCGGCCTGACTAGGATAAATACCTGTGGACTTTCCCCTTCTTCGAATTGGAATCAGGAACGGAAGAACAAGAGTCCTTCATGGAGCTCGCACACACAAGAGGCCTTCCACGGTTCTCGTCTACAACGACTACTTAGCTTAGTTATATAGAACTACGTTCACCTCCCACATTGCAATACACAATCGCTCGGTTCCTCCACGGACAGAGCGCAGCGCTTCCCTGCCATCAAACATGCTTAACTATGATTCCGACCAAATGGAGCTTCTCTCTTCGGGTCTTTACCCCTGGGTAATCTCTCCCTTACAGTTACATCATGGTATTACTTTATCAGAAAAAAAATCCATTGTTGTTTCTACTCTTACAACCCGCTACAGTGCACCTTTTTATGGAAGCGTATAGAAATTGCGCTTTTGAATGTAATGCCTTGTTTGTTGTCTAGCAATTATTTTAATTAAATCAATTATGCAAAAAAAGAGGCAATCTATACTAAACCCTACGAAGAAAGAAAGAAAATCTTACACACATTATTCTTGTTACGATTGTTGAGATATTTTTAAGAGAACTGTGGACGAGTTCGGCGGAAGTAAGGGCCAACTGTCTCCGAAGGCAACCCCATTGTTCTCCAAATTGTTCACCAGACTGGCTCTATTTTGTTAACTAAAAAACGTTTGTATGTAATGTCCAAAAGTTGACGGTTTCTATAATCTTCGTGATTTGGACATTCCCTTAGTATTTAACATCATCAGTACCATCGTATCCTGGTAAGTGCATGAATAAATCAAATCTTTTTCTACTTTGAGCTGTGCCTCGTAATATTTCAGCCCCCTTGTTCAATTTTTTAATCAATCACACGATAAGCCTTGCACTTCTAATGACATAGGATTTCCAGTAGGTTGCTTATTATATAAGGGTCCCAATACTATTTTGACTTCATGTATAATGAGGTTATAGAGAAAGTTTGCTTGTTCATAGGATTTATATCTTAAAGTTTTTATAAAATTATGTAAATTTATGTAATTGTAATTAATTAATTGACATAGGGAATGATCTAGCCCCCAAGATTTAAAAAAAAAATTATTTTTATTTTTTATGTTTACAAGATGAAATAAATAATATTTTATTTTCAATTCTGTACCCCTTAAATATTTTTACCAAACCACCAACAATAATTTGGTACCGAAAAATATATTTTAAACAAATCGTGATACCATCAATACTTTCTTTAGCGTAAAAATGTAGAGAGTCTTGCGCAAAGCTTTTTTATGTAATATTTTACACAGTCTATAAATCAATATGTATATGCAATCTAATCCCATTTCATTAATTTTTCACTTTTTCTACAATAATCCTGTGCCAAATTAGTTGCACATTCTCCCAATAATAGATTCTCACTCTCCATGAAACCCTCGGCATTATAATGTTTTTTAATCGTATCCCTATCACCATCCAAAATCTTATAAATATGAGATAACCATCCTTTCATATGTATCATTCGATTTGTCTTATCAGCTTCACTTACTGTTAATCCCATATAATCTATTGCGGACCCATCATTATTATTATTGGATGAAGGTAAAGCATCCCAATATGCAATCGAATTAGGAATAAGAACCGATTTCCCATCAGAACAAACTCCTTCTCCATCATTCCAAGGCTCAGGACTAATATTGAAATCAATAAGTGAAGAAACATAATCCAATGTGAAATTTTGAGAATTCTTTGGTCGGGACATAATAAATGCATGAGGTCTATATAATTCATGTAAACATCCACATGATTCAATATGTGATCTTGCTATTCCAAACCAATATAATCTATCTTGTACTTTTTCTGGCAAATATTTTGAATCAATTTGAATAATATTAGTTCCACCTCTTAATTTCCCAGCATTATCATTGGCATCTTTATTAAAATCTGGCCCTGATATTTTATTACATTCTCCAGAAAGAACGTCACACTGCACAACACGTAATGGATTGAAATTATAAACGAAATTAATCGTGTTATTGGTCCCGGCAGATGGATCCATGAATGGTGCCCAATTTTTTTCTCTGAAAGAACGTTTTTTACCATTGATAGATAATCTAACAATCTTATATGAATCATGTAGTGGACGATACACATGCATGGCACGATTCCAATTAATATCTGTTCTTCTTGAATTAAATACAATCATTGGTTCTTGATCTTGTTCTCCTTGAGAATTTATAAATTCATGCAAAATAATTCTAGGATCTTCTGAACCTAACACATTCTTTTCTTTTCGTCTTCCAGCGTCAATATAATGAGGTAAGATAGTTGGGAAAGTTAGGTTTGAATTGGGGAATTTGAATCCAGTCAATTCTTTCCAATCCTTGTCAAATACTTGACCAGCAAGAATCGAGATTGTTGGACCATTTCTATGAGCATTTTTGGTGTATACTATACGATGAACCATGAAATGAACATTATATTTGGATAACCAAACTGAACTACCACAAAATTTAAACCATTTAGTATTTAATATTTCTTCTTCAGTTTCATTTGGTCCATCTTGAAAACAAACATCATAAATCTTTCTTTTGTTACGAAGTTTGTTAATTTGATCTCTAAATATTTTCAAATCTTGTTTTTTATTTAATTCAAATAATCTTGTAGATTGAATATTTTCTGTATCTTCAAATTGAACTTGTGAACATTTAAAGTCTTTTGAAGAATATTCGTTCCCAGCTTCTATAAATGAATATCCAGGAACTTTAAAAGATTTAAACAGGAAATCATATATAGATTCACTTAAAGGTGAATTGATTTGTTTTATTATCTTTTCATTATTATATTGAAATTCACTTAAAAGTAAATACCATATATTTAAATTTAATATAATTATAAGTAAATATAATATAAATCTTGACCCTTTTGGTGTTGATTTACTTTTAATAAATATAATTATTGACACTGGTGTTAATAAGATTAATAAAAGTAGACATAATGCTAGACTACTACTATTACTTCTAATATCTATTTGGTCCAGCATAACAAATCTCTCTATCTTTATTTATTTAAATGGTCACAAGAGAGTTAAAAAAAAACTAACGGTGTGAATGAAATTTCTTTAGAGGATTTTAAGGAGAGACAGAGAGAGACGCACTAAATTGACTTGCTAGGAGTATGAGGGATTAATTTAATTGTTGAACGTGGTTGTGTAAAATATTCCGTAACAACAGCAATTTATATTATTTAAGCAACTAAGAATTATTTTTCATTATTGAATATATGCAAGTTGCAGCAAAAAATAAAGTTTATTTTTTCTTTCATAATCTAAACTTTGAAAATTAAAAAAAAAAATATTTTATTATTTAATGTTCTACAGAGACATTTTCCAGAAGGGAGTTAAAATTTATACTTTAACAGTAAGTCTAACCGTGTTATCTCTGTTTCAATTGGGTGACATTCCAAAGGAGTGCTTGTCTTTGGTAAAAATAATGAATACCATATGCTCTTGTTGTGATAAAAGCAGACATTTCCATCCATTGAGAATTGATAAATGAACTATATATTACCCAGGTTTTTGTATCATGTTTCACAACCAAACGACTTGTATTAATTTCACATCACATCCATGTCTAGTACGTATTAGATGCCTGGACTAACATTGGAAGCCCTTGTAAATTCAGGTGAGGCTTGCAGCCTGGCAAGTACAACCGATTCATCATCTTCCTACAAAAAAATCTTTGGTTCTTTTTCTCCCATTCTGCAGATACAAAGAAAGAACCGGTAATAAATAGGTTTTGTTGGGGAAATTGCTAATCTACAAAGCTGTTCCCAGCAGTTCCGATAAGTTGTCCTCAAGCAAATAAATAATGTCTTGGCATATTGGAAGTGAACGACCCTGAATTTATAGCTCCCTCAGTTGCGATCTGAAATTAGACAAAACTCGGACTTTGGGATCTGAAATATCATCTGTAAATTATATGCAAGTTATGCCAAACGGTAAAAATCTGCATTTAAGGGAAGAATATGTTTGTACCTTTTTGCGACATTTTTGCTTTCCGAAATACAAAAAATTATGTAAACAATGAGGCTATGCTAAATTTTTATAAAGTTTTATTAATTTTTGATCTTCTGCAAATTTCACTTATTTCAACAACATCATGCAATTTACACTTGTGTAACACAAAACAATTTTTGACAGTTATCACAAACAAGTCAATTTAGATTTAAAACGTCGAATTCAGATAGGAAGAAAAATAATCAATACACATAAACCGTTGAACAAGGCTTAAAATAAAATTGTTTATATCTTTTGCTTGAAAAAATTGCTTTGGAAAATATTTCTCGACGAAAAAACGCGCCTTGTAATGGCCACGCGATGACTACTTGTTGAGTCCTTGGCAATTGTCGAAAGGCGGTATCTGATAGTAGTAGCTTGGCTCGTCGTTTATTCGGCTACTGGCCATTGGTCATTTAGGTAAGTAGCTTGACGCCAATCGTTCCTTCAGCTTTCGCATTAGCCTATGACGCGTCGTTGTTCTCGTTAAGTATGCTCTTTGAGGCTCAGCAGAATTTAGACAAGCATTCTTCCTGAGCATTATAAATGTCAGTCTAATTCCAGTAACTTTCAGAGTAGCTTAGTATTCGAGACTTTATATATTTCACATAATCAAGTTGGATTAGATCAGTATATAGTCTACCCAAGCTTTCCCTAAGAATGTTAATGCGTCTTATTTTTAACACGTATAAGAAATTAATGTGGTAAGGAAATGTCTGGTGAATGATAAAAATCACAAGGACCTACTCTTTGAGAGTGAGTATAATCGAAGGACTTCTCTATTGAAATGACCGAATTCCAAAGAAATTAACAGGTTGAAGATTGTGTATTACGGACAACAATAGTGTTTCAACCTCACCTCTCGAACCGAATAAACCCTGAAGAAAAAGCTTCTATATAGACTATCACTTGGAATAAAGTTAAAAATCTGGGTAGGACAGATCCTGAAGAATCTGATAAATAATCAACGTAAGGTAGAGTAACGCGATATGTTCTGAACGAACTGAATAAATAAAAGTGTGCAAGCTGAAAATTTTTCATAAGTACTGCGAAGTAAATTATTAAGCTGATGAGGAAACCGTACTCAAATTGAACTGTCAAAATACCAATAAAACAAATATTCAATAAATTCACTAGAGAAATGTAAGATTGCGTTCATATATGCCATCTTGAAAGTATCTCATCTCTTTCACTTTCATTGCTGCAAATATTGAAAAAATAATATTTTAGATTTGTCGCATAAAATATTTTTTATTCTATTTTTCCGATGGCTTAGAATGCAAAGTATAGATTAGAATTTTTTTGAAAAGTTATTTAAAAACTACAAAGCAAAACCGAAGCATTGGAGATATTTCTAATACAATTATGAAAAGAGACTCAATGAAGGAATAAACATTGTATTCCAAGTCTGTGTGAAGGAAAGAGAAAAATTAAGCTGTTCATACAAACACCGACACTAATGGTTGCCCTTAAAGCTTGCCTTGTATATACCCACTGTCATTCAAATGGTTACTCTTAGTAAGAGCTTGAGATTTCTGAACTCTATGGCGATTCAAGGCCGTAGGAAGTTCGGATATCTGTGGTTCTTTCTGCCCACCCTAGCACAAATTTTCAAAGTCCCCCAGCCGATGGAAGGCCATGGATTCGATCTCTATCTACAGGCATATTTCAACTGCATTCAACCTTACTAATATTCATTCTCGCTATATTTTAAACAATCTTGATGCGTTTTAGTATTCGTATTTAAAAGCACTATTTGTTTTTAACTAGTTGTGTAACAAATTGTAAATGATCAATGGTTTCGAACTTTGAATACCAGTTTACTTCATTATTTTATAAAAACCCGAAAATTAAATTAGTGATTATATATGTATTGATCAATTTATACTTCTCTTCTAACTATGAGAGATTCTGAATAATGCTATAATGAGTGAAATTTGAACTTGTATCACAGTATTGGCTTTTTTCACAAGGAATAGTTGCAAAAAAACTTTGAAAATTTGAGATGACAAAAGTTCCAAACTTATTTATGGAAAACCCTATTCCATGGTCGAATTAAAACTCTAGGAAAAAGATATATGCTTACTCTTATATTGTGGATCAAAAATTTTTTAAAAATTCTTTCAGAATGGTTGCAAATTCATCGAGATCTTATTTGTTACCAAAATAGTTGATCACGTGCAGGCTATAATCCCGACCAAATATTCCTAAATTGATCAAAAAATCCGTTCAAAATTACCGAAATAGGAATTTTAATCACCTGACTCGGAAAAACTCTAAAGTCGCAAATCAATCAAGTAAGACTTCGTGGCCAAGCTGGTTAAGGCGTGAGACTGTTAATCTCAAGATCGTGAGTTCGATCCTCACCGAGGTCGCTTCTTTGATTGCCTTTATGGCCAAGTTGGTAAGGCACCTCACTAGTAATGAGGAGATCGTCAGTTCGAATCTGGCTGAAGGCAATTTTTTTGCTTCTAAGGATACCTGGGACCCAGATTGGTTGATTGGGTTGATTGGTTAGCATTTTGGGTCAATATTAGGTTGTTAAAATCGATATGAAAATCTGCTTATCAATCTGCATTTTTTTTGCTGTTGTTTGTTTGGGAGTGCGAATAAATTGAGAAGCTTTGATAGATGAGCTGGGCATTTGTTATTTGATCCACTCCACCCGCTTATTGTTGTTCCTACAGTCGTTTGAATATTAGTTTCTTGCTTCCTCTAAAGTGAGATTGAAACTAACGTATAATAAATTGAAATTAAATTGCTCAATAAACTCCTGTGGAAAAGTTCAAGCTCGTTAAAATTTTTATTTTTCATTTTTAATCTCAGGTTTCCTTACTCCAATTCATACAAGATGTTTTCCGGACAGATTGCATTAATAACTGGAGGTTCTCGAGGAATCGGATTGGCAATAGCGAAACAATTAGCCCTGCAAGGAGCTACCATCAAATTATTAGCACGAGATGAATCATTACTTCAAACTGGATTCCAACAATTATCCACTAGTCATGAGCAACAACATCAATATAAATGTTTCGATTTAATGGAATTGACCAAGGGGAATACCAACGAAGATATTCTTCAATATGTTGGACATAATAATACCATGTTAGTGAATTGTGCTGGGATTACGACTCATTCTTTATTGCATCAGACTTCACAACGGGATATTATAGATACCATAAACTTAAATCTTACAATTCCGATCATATTAAGTCAATTATCAATAAAAAGTATGATTAGACTAAGAAAGAAGAAGCCTTCAATATTGAACATATCGTCAGTTCTTTCATTCACTGATTATCTTGTAGCTGGGACTTCTGTATATGCAGCTTCCAAGGCCGGCTTATTGGGATTCACTTCGAGTTTGGCTCATGAACTAAAGGGAAGAGTAAGGGTGAATTCTTTATTGCCTGGGTTAGTGAAAGAAACAGATATGGGATCAAATGCAAACCTAGATGAAAATTTACTGGCAATATCCTTAGAGTCGGTAGTTCAAGAAGCCTTAAGGATATTGGGCGATTCCAATGTGAATGGTCAATGTGTTATTCTCGACAAAGAGGATACTTCCAGCATTTTAAAATCATTATCTTGAACCAATGCTATTTGATTATTTCAACTATAGTAATCATTACTTAATTTTTGTGCTAGTTCATCTTGATTCTTTTCCGTTAACCAAACTAAGAAAGCATCCAACCTCGCGTTAGTTCTTATATTATACAACGTATTCTGAATATCCATTATTGTTTTAGATATTGTTTCTGGTGATGTTATTTCAATAGGCTGATCGCTCTGAAGATAGAAAGCTTCTAGAACTTCTATAGTGTCTTTAAGGGCGCCAAATTTTTTAAACAAAGTCAGAAACAATCCAAAATCATCATCCACTTTCTTCAATATATTTGTTAGATGTTTGATGCTAAATTCACATAATCTAATCAATGAATAGAATATGCGATCATTATCAGCGAACTTTGCATTAAAAATTGACTTCTTTTTGCCAATTGGAAAGGCGATCCAGTTTCTAACAAACTCAAGTAGCATGCTATATAGTGATTCTAAGTAGTCATAAAAATTGCCGATAGATACACACTTTTTGAAGTCAGTCAGTGCTGATTGTACAATACGAACAATAATTGAAATCAAAATCGGATTAGTGTTTGGATGATCAATATTTCTTTCTAACAATGAAAATATTTGGTTTTGAAAATATCGTTTAGTCAACCCAAGATCTCGTTCCAATTTTTCAAATATTCGTATATCCACAATATACTGTAATATTTCCATCATCTGCCTATTGTGAAGAAAAGTATCCCAATATCCTACAACATAAAGGCTCCAGAATATCTTTATATGTACATGATCAACTTTCAACGCAACATCAGCATCATCCGTTTCTGTATTTGTTGCTTGCCAAAATCTGTCACACAATGTCCGACCCAACATATTCAAATGCATAGACTTCTGCTCTCGTAGCCATTGGATTATAACTGGGATCAGTGGGAATAGAACAGACTGGGAATGAAAGACAAGCAAATGTATTAAATAACCAGCCATGAAATGTAGTCGGTAACGATCCATTATTGCTCGAGGTTCTCTCTGTAACCAGTCGTCTATCACTTTATTTAATTCCCCATTTGAATCGGACAGATTGAGTGTTGTTTTGCCCTCAAAATATGTAATGTTTGCGGTTCGCATCATTTCCTTGCCGATTTCAAAGGAGCATACTGTAGATAGTCGGGGAATCTTTTGCCCCCCCGGTATATCCAAAGAAACGAATGTAGGTTTCAAGCAATCAAATATCTCTTCATATATTTCATATACTTCATTTGACAAAATTAGCTCTAAAGAAATTAATCTTTCTTCAGCAGAACTAGGATTAATGAAATCATCTTCAACTTCGTCAGACGCGTCAGCAGCATCAATCGGAGGGGTATTGCCACCCTTTCTTTTCCTTCTAAGCATACTAATACCTCCCTGTGTATTTCTCTTAACTCTCTTCTTTGGTCTTTCTATTTTTTGAATAAATTCTGATGGGAATTTAATATTGAATAATTTTGGTTGTTTCAATTTCAATTCATTTAATTCATGTAATTTCGTTATTAATAAAGACATACGATATTTGAACTCGTAAATACTTCTACGTGTATCACTGTCACCTTTATCATCATTGCTGTCATGAGTCATAGTAGTAGTAGTGGTCCCCCCTACTAACATAAGCTCATATACTTCCCATAAGCAAAAACAATATTGGAATCGTTAGGATCAATTTTTTTCTGGGTTCACCATTTTTGGCAACACCTTTTCAATTGACCACCAATTCATTATTACACCATCTCCCAATTGAATCATAAATGCTTAATAAACAATTGATCTTATTAGCATCACTTATAGTGAGTGCTTGCAATACACAAATACAAGGAGTAAGTCCAGATAAACAACATTTGTATCAACCAATAGAAATCAATGGTAAGCAGTATTGGCAGTGTTTGAATGATTCCTCAATTAAATTGACCTATGATCAAATCAATGATGATTATTGTGATTGTCCAGATGGGTCTGATGAACCAGGTACAAATGCATGTCCATATAGTTCAGAATCCCCCAAATTGTTCTATTGTGAGAATAAGGGTCATATTCCTGGATATATTGAGAATTATAAATTGAATGATGGGGTATGTGATTATGACATTTGTTGTGATGGTTCAGATGAATATAAATCAGGGAATTGTGAGAATAAGTGTGTTCAAATCCACGAACAATATGTAAAGCATAAAGAACGGATTGAGGATTTCATTGGTAAGGCATTGAAGAAGAAAGAGACAAGTATTAAATTAGCAAAACATAGAAGAGACAGTTTAGTTAATGAAAAGGAAAGATATGAACCTGAATTAGCAATCAAAAAAGCGCAACTTGAACAATTAAAATTGCAATTAGAAGAGAAAGAATTAGATGAAGAATTTGGACGACAAGATACAGAATCTGCTTATGAATTGTTATCTGAACACTTTGCAGAATTGAATGAAAAATTGGAATCTCATAAGAAATATTTAAACATCCAAGAATCTAATATTGAAAAATTAGAAAAGATTTTAGCTCAATTAGCTTCTTTGTATAACCCTAATTTTAACGACCCTGCCGTTAAAGATACCATTCGTCATTATCAAGAATATGTTTCCAACAAGGAAACTGAAGTAAAGAGGGATTTGAAAGAAACTGATCAAATTCTTGAAAAATTGAAAGAAAAGGCTAAATCTTTAACCAATACTGGCATTGGAAATATAGTTCCAACGATTGGAAACGTGTTCCACTACTATTTCCAATTGTTTGCTAATAAATACTTAGAAAAGCAAATTACAAGCAAGGTTCAAAAGTCAAACTTGTCTGTTAATGAATTGGGTAGTAAGATCGAAGCTTTGGAAAAAGATATAATAGCCACGGAAAAGAAGTTGAATGAGATCAACAAAGACTTGAATTTGGAACTTGGACCAAACGATATCTTAAGAGCTTATAGTCAAGCCACCGTCAGTAAGAAATTAGGTGGATATCATTACAATATCAATCTTATGAAATCAATCTATCAAGATGACGTCTTAATTGGAAAATTCAAGGAATATAAAGATAACAAAGTTCATTTCCAAGGAGGCTCAAAATGTTGGAATGGACCTTATAGATCTGCAGATATAGAATTTGTTTGTGGAACCGGTCCTGAGATTCTTTCAGTTAGTGAACCAGAAAAGTGTCATTACCATTTTATTATACAAGGTGAACTGTGGTGTGAACCAATTACAGAAGACCAAATACTTTCAGACTTTACTATTGACTTTGATAAATTATAAACGTCCATTTCTATATATAATGTATACGATCTAATCGAATGTGATCTTTTTACCTTGAAACTTAACATTCTTCAACTTCTCTTCAGCCAACCTCTTTGCTTCCCAAGAAGGATGGATCTTTTTCTCAGCTGCAGGTTGAGGTTGAGGTGTTGGCGTTGGTGTTGCCGATGCCAGACTACGTTCACCCATTGGGGTCATGTTAGCACCAGTTGGTTGTTCAGCCAATTTCCGTTTTAATTCCCTCTTTCTTTCTCTTTCTTCAAATTCAATTTGTCTTCTTTGTTTATCAGTTTCATATCTTTCCTTTTCGGCTTTTACATGCTTAGCTTCTTTACCATACTTTTGCTCCCAAATTTTTTGTCTCGCTCTTTGACCTCTTCTATTCTTACGATGGGTAGTTAATGCTTTTACAACCTTATCTTCTTCAACATCATCTTCGTCATCCGACCCTCCGGAGAAATATCCAGAGGCCAACTCAGGAAGCTTGTATTTTTCTTCTTTTACTTCCTTTTCTTTCTTTGTCTTTTTGTCCTTTTTATCAGTTTCAAAAAAGTCATCTTCTTCAGATTCCTCGGACTCTGATTCTTCATCTATTTCTATATCCGACTCATCTGAAGCTTCTTCATCCGTGACTTCATTATAATTGATGTTTGGATCTAACTCAAATTGTTCTTCCTCTTCTTGTTCTGCATCAGAATCTCCTACAAATTTATCATAAACAGCGAATTTATCATATACTTCTTCTAAATCAATTTCTTTTCCTTCAGATTCATCTTCACTCTCTCCACTATCGTTCTCATCTTCTTCCAGTTCCGATTCATCCCCAGAACGTTCTTCTTCTTCTTCAGCTTCTATGCTCTTTCCGGTCAACTTCTTTCTAGCTTCTTGTTCTTGTTTTGTTAAATCCCCTCGAATCATCTTAAAAGACCATTCAATTTCATTTAGAACAGATTTGATATTCTTATTATTCCAAAGATTTGAACAAAAGTTATTCAATTCTTTATTATTTTGACAATAAGTTTTGAAGAAACATGATGGGTTTGAAGGGTGGGACTTATCCAATATTATCACTCTCACTTCTTCTAGTATATATTTTGGAGGATCATTCTTAGCTTCCTTACTAGTCAATATGGTTGTAGTTATACATTTGGCTAACTTTGAAGTTATCAAAGTATTAATATTATCCTTTGATTCAAAGAATTCCAATTGTGATTTCTTTTGTTTAAGTACCTTATTCACTTCCTTTTCTAATTTCTTAAAAGCAGCGTGATATTTCCTGGCAAAGAAATCTGATTTTAATGCATTGATTTCATTTTCAGCGTCAGTTTGATTGGTAGGAAGTTTCTTTAATAGTTTGGTAGTATTCCTTGCAGTTAATAATTTCTTAGTATGTGGGAATCTAGGAGTTGACTTTTTGAATTTAGCTTCGAGTAAGTCAAGCTTCCACATTTGGTTAGTTCCTTTAGCCATGATGTCCTTTCCCTATAAGAATATTATGAATTCAACTGTCTATAATTAAGTTCTTTAGAAATAGCAAAGAAGCGATGAGCATCTTGAACATTTTTTTTTGTTAGCGTGGGAGAACAGTGAAAAATTATTGGCAACATATTCTTCACTTGTACATCAAAACACCACTGAAAAATGAGTGAAACGAAGAAGAGAAAGATCGAAGAGAAGAAACCTCATGTAGAGAAGTTGCAATGTGAATACTTTCTTGCTAAAAAGAATAGAAGATGTGCAATGCAACGTAAGAAAGATCAAAGATTCTGTTCTGAACATATGATCCATGAAGATAACAAACAAACCAAACAAGAAAGAGTACCTTGTCCTCTTGATCCTAACCACACAGTATGGGTCAAGGAATTAGAAAAACATTTGAAGAAGTGTAATGCAAAACCAAAGGAAATACCCGATCCTTGGTTTGAAATGGATTTGAATGTAACACTTAAAGGAATCTCCGAGACAGTTGAGAAAGTTGAATCAGAAGATGATGGCTTAGATGAAGTTGCATTATTTGCAAAGTATATTCCCATACTTAAATCAATAAGTTTTGAACCTTTACAATTTAAGATAAGTGAACATAAAGGATTGGATGAAAGATTAGAAATAGCATCTAGACAAAAACATTCAATTCAACAATCTTCATTAATTGGGAATCTTAAATCAAGAAATTTATTATCATCAGAAAACTTTTATGTTGAATTTGGATGCGGGAAAGGTGAATTATCAAGATTTATAAATTTATGTATACTACAAGATTCAACCAATCAGAATAAGTTGCAAAAAAATGATTGCGAAAAATATGGGTATGGATTTATTGATCGTGGAGTTAATAGATTAAAGGTAGACAAAAGAATTATAAATGATTGCTCTGATTCAGAACTCAAACCAATCATCAAAAGAACAAGGATTGATATTAAAGATTTGAATCTTGATAAGTTTGTGGAAGATGTTAATCCCAATAGGATTGTAGGAATATCGAAGCATTTGTGCGGAGCAGCTACTGATTTGACATTAAAACTGCTAGTCAATTCGACTATACTAAAAAGTGAAAAATTTGGAGGATTATTGATTGCCATGTGTTGTAGACATGCGTGTGCTTATGACCAATTACTCCCACAATCACGTCAATATTTATATGATCGCGGTTTCAAGACCTTACAGTCATTCAATATTTTAAAGAAGATGGTATCTTGGGCCGTGAGTAGTTCAAGACCAGCAAATAGCGCTGAACAACAACACATATCAGGATTAACATTTGAGGAAAGAGCAGAGGTTGGATTGCTAGCAAGACGGTTGATTGATGAAAGTCGTGTAATTGCAATGAAATTAATGGTTGGAGAAAAACTTGACATAGATATGTTTTGGTATGTTCAGAAGGATATCACGTTGGAAAATGTATGTCTTGCAATTACACCAGCTGTCCCTGCAATTGAATAGAGTAATTAGATCAAAACTTAAAAGTATATGTACAATAATTCTCGTATATTTTTTGTAATTTTTAGAAAATAATTGTAGAAATGAATATACTATGCTAAACACTTAATTTAAAGAAAAATCACAATAAACGTATCAAACTAGCTTAGATCTTTTCTTCCTTAACACCATGCTTCCAGATAGCAACGAATGGAGTGGTACCATCTTCACGGTAGTTTAATAAGACAACCATAGCATCTGGGTCCATAGATTCACCAGTGTAGAAGTCCCAGTCGTTGAAAGAACCTAAGACCTTCTTGACGTAAGCAGTAGCACCCTTTTCGAAAGCTTCAACAGCATCTGGGTTGTTTTCAGCTAAGTAAGCCTTAACTCTCTTCATGTAACCCTTAATGTAAGTAGTGAAAGATTTCTTGTCGAATTGAGTTTGTTGTAATCTGAAGGAGTAGACAACGTTGTTAACAGTTTCGGCACCATCTTCTAAAGCTTCATCACCTTCTTCGGCAGATGGGTTGGCACCAATGTCAATATCACCTTGACCAACAGTGACCATATCACAGTCAGCTTCGTAAACAGCACCATTGACTTCCTTGACGTCGTAAGCGTCAGATAATAATTCGTCACCGGAAATAACGTCAGTAAAGATAATCATTGCGTCTTAATTGTTATTCAATTGATAATTGATGTGAAGAGAAAGAGAAGAGAAGAAATTGAAGGGGGTGCCGATGATTTTTTTTTTTTGAAAATTTTTTTTTAGTGGATGAACCTAAACAAAGAAACAAAAAAAAAGCTTTTTTCGATCACGTGGCGAAGGGCTGCGATTCACACAAATTTAGACTTCCTAAATAGGAAACAAGTTAAATAAATACGTATATTTTTTAAAAATAACGGTCCACTTTATACAAACCTGTTATCAAATGCTCTCCTAAAGAAATCAAGTATTCTACGATGATACAAGTTATAAGCATTATCAAACTTCATACGATGACTGCTATCAGGAAAAGCAATGAAATCATAATTTTCAAGTTCGTCAAGATTAAGTTGATCAAGCAATTGATATGAATGTTGAACATGAACATTATCATCAGCTGTTCCATGTCCAATCAAGAATCTCTTGACATGTGAAAGATTAATCGCATTAACAGCACCAAGACGAAATCCTTCCTGGTTTTCTTGGGGAGTATGCATGTATCTTCCTGTGTATACACTGTCATATAACGTCCAATTTGTAACTGGAGCCATAGCAAATCCGTATGAGAATACGGGATCCTGGGTATCTGCTTCTAATGTCTTCAAGGTCAAATAGCCACCAAATGACGAACCCCAAACTGCTATCCTCTCTGGGTCCACGTATGACCTCTCTGCCCAATTTCGACCTGCAGCTATGACATCAAGTGGTTCATATTGACCAAGTTTGTCACGAACAATAAATTTGAATTTTGATCCCATTTTTGCATTGAGATTGTTGAATCCGGTACCTCTACCATCGATGGTTACCACTACTGCATTTAACTCGGCTGCAATCATTGATCTAGCAGAAATTGCCCATTTTTTAGTAACTTCTTGCGATCCCGGACCTCCATAGATATGAAATACAACAGGATACTTCTTTTTCCTATCAAAATTTAATGGCAAACGTTCCATAGCATTCACCATGAAAACTTCCCCAGTTTCATCATCTTTCAATTCAACTGTTTCATATCTAACTTTCGGAATATCGTATCCTTGTAAAGCTCTCCTGAGCTCATGATTATCTTCAAGTATAGTAGCATTAATCTGCCCTGTTAAATCTTCGATTCTTTGATTAGGGATCCCAGGTCCCCCATAAGACAAATATATAAATCTGGCACCGGAGGAAAATGAACATTCATACCATGCATCATTGTTAGTTATATTTCTAATATATGGCATACCATCATTCGACCTATCCAACAAATCGACAGCATGAACATGCCTTTCAATAGATGACTTCATATTACTTGTGAAATATACCAGATTTGTATTATGGTCAAACCCTTCAACCCCCTTCGCGACTTCCCAGTTACCTTTAGTCAATAGCTGTCCATTGGGGTTGCTTGGTGGAGAGAAATAAGCCAAGTGGTTATATCCGCCTTCGACAATCGTGTCTAGGTATCCATCGAATTCACGACCCATTGTTTTATTCTTGGGGATATACATTGTGTGACGAGTGATATCAAACCAGGAATTATTGGCACGCACAGATCGAACTAAATCTACTTGTTCTTGGTTGATTAGATAGATCTCCAATAAATCGCTAGCACGATTTGAGGTTTTGACTAATAAGGAATCACCGACCCATGTAACTTCTGTCAACAAGCGGTTTTCCGGAGTAATTTCAGTCGAGTTCAAGTTGTAAATGGTTAGATTATCTATAGATAAATCGTAGACTAGAATGTCTACTATAGGATTGGAAAATCCTGCCTTTGGATACTTGATATATTCCAGCTTTGGATATTCTTCAAATCCCGGTTGAACAAAGAATTGCATTAAATAGTCGGGAACCTCAATGGTATTGGATCGCAAAAATGCAAACTTTTTCCCGTTTGGAGACCACCATAATACGATATCACCGTTGAATACGGAGTTACTGTCGGGGTTTCCGTTATATATTTGACTTGACCCATCTGAAGTTATTTGTGTGATTTTATCATCAACAATGTTTTTAAGAAAAATGTTATTCTTATAGACAAATGTAACATGGCTGGAATCAAGAGACCATGAAGCAGCAGATAATTGCTCGTTCTCGTAATATAATGGTTGGATTTTCTTAGTCTTAATATCCATTAACCAGAACAAAGCCAAACTGGCATGTGCCAGAGTCTTAGTTGTATTAGTTTTTAAAACAAGTTTTTGTAAATCAGGAGATACTTCCAAATCCTCAATTTTATACACAATATTGTTAAATTGGAAAGTTGATTGTTCAACCAATGGATACTCGTAGCTTTTGTTCCCAACAGATTTAATAGCTACTCGAAATTCATCATCATCCTCATTTCTTATGTCAAGGAACGTTCCTTGATCATTATAGATAGATCGTGGTTCATCTATCCATCGAATCTTCTCCGTGATTGGGACGAAAAGTCTTTCATGAAATGCCTCTCGAGACAACGGCATTTTCTCACCGGAGACACTACGTTTCTTACATGGACTTGAATAGCGATTGACGTTATGTTGTAACTGTACACCTGTCTGGAAATTCTCTATTGTGTACAATAAGAACAATGAACCCCAAACTAGACTTGCAAGTACTATACCAAAATAAAAGCAGTTTTTGAAAAGTCCCTGTCTAGGTCTAGCTGACCCATTCCAGTCCGAATGTCCATAAAATGTCATGCTGTCTTTTGGTGTGGTGCTATAACGTGTAAGATTCGTTGCTTCACTCTATGTTTACAATATACTTGATTGTTCCAAGGATGGGGAAATATTACAAGTGGCGGTAAATTGGATATATATGCTTTCATAACTTATTTGTTCTCGGATACTGATACTGTAAAACATTGATATGCCACATGTTTTCTGCATGTTTTGCAACCAAACATTCCTGACATAAGTCAGAGTAATCACTGATGGGTTAGTCAGATTCTGGCTGACATCAGAGGTTGAATCTATTAGTTAACATCGCCAGTTTCTTACGTGTGGCCGATCATTCATTACTTCAGATTCAGCTCTTGGTTGTGTTCGTTAGTCCCTAGTCGTCTAAATAATTATTTTCATCAGATTCCAGAAGAAAAACTAGAGCGCAAATTCATATTAGCGCAATTAAGGTAGACTTCTTAAATAGGAAAGATGAGTCAGGAATACTAATAATAAAAGCAATAACAATTAATGTCTAGTTAATTATACAAAGAAAGTATGTTATATAAATTTCCAATCAAATGCTCTTTTCAAGAAATCAAGTATTCTATCATAAACAACTTTATTACCATTATGATAATTCATACCATGATTACTATCAGGGAATGCCATAAATTCAAAATTTTCAATTTCAGCAAGATTAAATTTATCAAGTAATTGATATGAATGTTGAATATGAACATTATCATCTCCTGTCCCATGTCCAATAAAGAATCTCTTGACATGAGAGAAATTAGATACATTATGAATGGACCCAATTTGGTATCCATCTGGATTGTCTTGTGGAGTACGTAAATATCTTTCTGTATATATGGAATCATACAATTTCCAATCTGTAACCGGAGCAATTGAAACTCCGTATGAAAACACAGAGTCGTTAGTGTCTGTTTCAAGCGTTTTTAAAGTTAAATATCCACCATATGACCATCCCCAAACTGCAATTCTCTTTGGATCAACATATGATCTTTTTGACCAATTTCGTCCAGCCGCTATGACATCAAGTGGTTCATATTGACCAAGTTTGTCACGAACTATAAATTTGAAATTTGATCCCATTTTATAATTAAGGTTGTTGAATCCAGTACCTCTACCATCGACAGTTACAACGACGGCATCTAATTCGGCAGCAACTAATGAACTGAAAGAAATTGCCCACCTTTTGGTAACTTGCTGCGAACCTGGTCCTCCGTAAATATAAAACAAAACAGGATATTTCTTCTTACGGTCGAAATTCAATGGTAAAGTTTCCATAGCATTAATTAAGAATGCCTCACCATTTTCATCTTCTAATTCAACCGTTTCATATCTAATTTCAGGAATTGAATATTTTTGTAATCTTTTCTTTAATTCATAATTATCTTCAATTGTAGTTACATTCATTTGCATTTTCAAATCATTGATTCTTTGAGAAGGAATTCCCGGTCCTTTATCACTTAAATACAAGAACCTAGCACCTGAAGAAAATGAACATTCATACCATCCTTCTTTAGTGGTTATATCTTTGACATACGGTATTCCATCATTCGTCCTATCTAACAAATCTACCGCATGGACATGTCTTTCAATTGAGGATTTCATAGTGCTTGTAAAATAAACCTGGTTGGTATTATGATCAAATGCCTCAACACCTCCGACAACTTCCCATTTCCCCTTTGTTAATAATTGTCCCTTGGGGTTTTCTGGAGGCGCGAAATATGCCAAGTGGTTATATCCATCTTCAACCACAGTATCGATATATCCGTGATACTTACGTCCCATGGTTTTATTTTTAGGGATATATATTGTGTGTGAAGTGATTTCAAACCAGGATTTATCCGCATGTAAAGAACGAATTAAATCGACATTATCTTGATCGATTAAGTAAATTTCCAATAAATCACTGGCACGATTTGAGGTTTTCACTAATACTGAATCACCAACCCATACAACTTCTGTGATTAGACGGTCTTTAGGTGAGATTTCGGTTGATTTTAATTCATGATTGGATAATTGTTGTTTGGAAATATCATAAGTCAAGATATCTACTTTAGGATTAGGAAATCCTGCTTTTGGATATTTGATATTGACTAATTCTGGATATTGTTCAAATCCTGGTTGTGCATAGAATGGAATTAAATATTCAGGAACGGCAGTATTATCTGAACGTAAGAATGCAAATTTCTTCCCATTTGGAGACCACCATAAGACAATATCACTGGCAAATACTTCTTCTTCATAGACCCAATCAGGCTTTCCATTAAAAATTTGACGAGATCCATCTGAGGTTATTTGAGTGATTTTATCTTGTTCAATATCTTTAAGGTATATGTTATTCTCATAAATAAACGCAATATTATTTGAATCAGGCGACCATGAAACAGTAGATACTTTATTGGTAGAATTATAAACCGGTTGGATCTTCTTAGATTTGATATCCATTATCCAATAGAATGCAAAAGTTGAATGTCTCCAACTATGAGTTATATTCGTCTTTACCACGACTTTTTGTAAATCTGGAGACGCTATAAAATCATCAATATGATATTTTATATTTTCAAATTCAAAAGTAGATTCTTCAATCAATGTATATTCATAATTCTCATCCACCATTGATTTAACAACCACTTGAAATCCTTTACCTTCCACATCTTGCTTGATAACATATGTTCCTTGATCATTATGAATCGATTGCGGTTCTCTAATCCATTGAATATCTTTTGTAATTGGCGTTAAAATATGTTCGTTATATACTTGTTTAGATAAAGGTATCTTCCCACCAAAATCAGTAGATTTCTTAGATGGACTTGCATAATTATCTAATATAGATTGTAAATGTACACTTGTCTTAAAGTTATCAATAGCATATAATAAGAATGATGAACCCCAAATAATTGACGCAAGTAATATTCCGAAATAAAAGTAACTTTTCAAGGGTGTTCTAAATCTCTTTCGGGGCCCGCCTGACTCTTTCAAGTCAGAGAAGCCATAGTACGTCATTGTTCTTTCGTTATCACTCTCACCTTGCTTTCTATGTGTGTGTGGCGGTTTTCCCTTGTGGATCTGATGATTAAAACCCTCGTCATTTTTTTGGCCCTTAATTTGCGACTCAAAATGGAAATTTCTTTTTTTTTATGTTTTGATTCATGTTAATATATGTAAGATTGGATGTTTTATGCAAGTAATAATACACAAATCAAACAATTGCCCGGTAAACCCATCGACTGACGTAAATTCTTTCAATGTGTCGTAAATATACAAGTTCATTACTAACCAATGCTTTAACAAGCTAATGTAACGGATTTGGCAAAAATCTATTCAACTAGAACTGATTGGAGTCTTTTTTTGATACTTGAAATATATTGCTGGATTGATTTTTGATTCTAAAAATAATTTAAAATTGCGCTCTGCTAAACTTCTGTAAAAAGTGTAAAACCAAGGTGTTTCTTTTGCAATATCTACATCTAAGCAAGATCAAGAAGGAAATGGCCATCAAGAACGAACCAACTGTTGCATAGGAAACGTTTTCTGTAGACAGCTTTCCTGTCCAAGAGGTATTTAATCGTTTTTGTGGCATCGGAGAGACAATCATTTATTGCCATTGTTCTCTACGGATGCCGTTTGCCGTGTTCCCCCAGCTCGCTTCATCTTCCCTCCCATCGGATTTTTTTTCACTATAAGATCCTCCACAATTTCCCCTTAATTAGATAAATGGAGAAGAGGGTACAGTAAGCATGTCAACATCTCAAGCAATAGAGTTAGCCACACTCACGATCCGTCATCCTCATCATTCAGACCCAGAATTACAAGAAGGACCAAGTCAACCTCGAATACCACCAGAAAACGAATCCTCTGTATCCAAAAAAAGATCAAATGTTGATGAAAAAACCTATCAACTTCATGGACATGAAGACCCAGCGAATTATCCCGATGGAGGATTTAAAGCGTACTCAGTAATCTTTGGTTCATTTTTAGGTTTGATTGTAAATTTAGGACTTATAAATTCAATTGGGGCAATTCAAGCATATGTATCAACCCATCAATTGGTTGATATGAAAGCCACATCAATTTCATGGATTTTTTCAATTTATTTATCTTTAGCATATGCTGGTGGAGTTGTCACTGGACCAATATTTGATAGAAAAGGTCCATTGAGTATTTTAATTTTGTCAACTATATTTATATTTGCTGGATTAATGGGTGCTGCAAATAGTACTAATATATGGCAATTTATATTAAGTTTTATAAGTCTTGGGATTGGGAATGGAATGGGGATGACTCCATTGATTGGTGTTATTAGTCATTGGTTTTTGAAAAAAAGAGGTAATTGTACTGGATTAGCCACAAGTGGTGGATCAGTAGGGGGATTAATTTTCCCACTTATGCTTAGACATGCATATAGTCAATATGGATATGTATGGGCCATTAGAATATTAGCATTTATTTGTTTAGGATTAATGATTTTATCAATTTTATTAGTTAAAGAAAGATTTTCAAGTGAGAAGGACAACAAGAGTGATAGCGAAGAAGAAGAGGTGGAAGTGGAAGTAGAACATCAATTTAATAATAAATGGCAACAATTTATCACTAAATTTGCAGCCAAAATGAAGCTTGCAGATTCAAAATATATTCTTGTTGTATTTGGAACATTCTTTTCAGAATTGTCATTAATATTATTATTAACATATTTTGCCACTTATGCCATGGCACAAGGGGCATCGGAATCTTCCTCATATATATTGTTAACCGTATGGAATGGTGCCGGTATATTAGGTAGATGGATTCCAGGATATATATCTGATTATATGGGAAGATTCAATATTAATATATTAATGTTAATTGGATATAATTTCTGTATTCTTGTATTATTATATCCATTTGCAGGATCTAACATACGAGTATTATACGCGTTTGCAATTCTTGGTGGTTATTGTCTGGGATCAATTTTAAGTCTTGTTCCTGCATGTTTATCCCAAATTACTCCTGTCAATGAAATTGGGACAAAATATGGGATTTTAAATTTTGTATTATCCTTGGCTAATTTATTTGGTATACCAATTGCTGCATCAATTATTAAACATGGTACAACCCAAGAATATAATCATTTTATTATATTGGTTGGATGTTTAGCAGTAACTGGTACAATATTTTGGTATCTGAGTAGAGTTGCAATTGTTGGATTCAAAATGAATGTTAAAGTTTAAGAGAGAGTTATCTAATTACTTATATACATTAGTATACTGTATATTATTATTGTTCTTTTATATAAACGTTTACGTTGTCTGTAACTAATTTAATTATTGCCAAGGTAGAACCTATAAACTATGATATCATTTCGCAGCCTTTACTAAGAATTACTATCCATAAGAAAAAAAAGCAATAAAAAGAAGAAATGTTGATTACATAATCAGTTAAGATTTTTTTTTTATCGTAAAAAAGAATCCCATTTTTTTAATTTCTGTCTGACTGACTGTCTGCTGTTATTTTAATTAAATAAAAATAACAATCATTCATATTCATTTCATTTCTTTATAATTTTTGAAATTACTTATAACATTTGCTATCACTACTAGTACTACTACTATTAAGTAACTACTAACTACTTGAAACAACAGGGGTTTCATATACGAGAATATCTTTTTATAAAAAAAGTTTACTTATAAAAGTAATCACTCGCAAACCGCACACACCCCCTTTTAGAATTAAATTTTTGTTCCGCCTACCATTGTTTTAATTAAACACTCATCTTTTTACAACCACTTTTAATTACAACAATAACAACGACAGCAACTGCAGTTGATACTGCTACTACTACCACTACAGCAGCAAGACACAACCAAAGGATTTACCTTTTTACTAACAAAGACACTACTAAGAATAATAAGCAGAAGAGTCATTTCATGTTTTTACTAATAAAGTAATCAATAGCTAAACACAACACACACACACATATAAAACAATGAGACGATTAAAGATTGGTATTCGACCCCAGTTGATTATTCTTGTTTGCTTCGCTTCTTTGTTTTCCTTATTAATTTTAGCAGTTGTTACCGGAGTATATTTTAGTGAAAATTTGAATGATTTACGAGCGGAACGATTGGAAGTTATATCACAATTAAAAACAACACAAGTATCACAATCTTTAGGATATCTATCATATCAAGTATTATGGTTAACAACACTAGACCAAATCACACAACCTTTATCACAATATCGAGCTGGTAATAATTCAAGAGATATGTTTATTGGTGCACAAAGTACTTTAGATCAATTTATGTCATCAAATGAAAACTTCGTAGCAGTCAGATTATACAACTTAGATTTAGATGTTGTAGCTGCTTCTGCTAATAATGCCACCGTAGTATCAACAGAAGCAACAAATATATTATTCCCATTACAAGCAAATGCAACTTTACCTCAATCATTATTAAATCCATCTGGTTCAGGATTATTTTTAACCGGTCCAGTTAGTAATGGTACTGTGAATTATTATGATGAAGCTTATTACTCCCAACCTTATTTCATGGGTATAACATTCCCAGTATTATCAAATTCTTCCATCATTCTTAATAAACCATACATATCGGGCTATTTAACAGTACTTGCATCAGCAAAACCCATTCAAGATTCCTTACTGGCATCATCTCCTGGAGCGACCGGTTATACTTCAATAGCAGTCAAACCAATATTTGACAACTCTCTGACAGGAGCTTATACTACACCTTCAAATGACTCCAGTACTAATCGACCGCCAGTGGGATTTGAAACAGTTTTCCCAGTTAACAATAGTTTATTAACCCCAGGACAAGTATATAACATCAATGATTCATCTTCTATAAAAACCGCTCTTGAAACAACTGCGGGATCAGGAACAGCTACTAATGTGGTTTCAATTAGTAATGAAAGAGTTGCAATTGGATTTACTAGATTTATAATTGATCAAAATACTCAATGGGTAATTATCATTGTTCAAAGTCGATCAGTATTTATGGAACCTATTAATCGATTAAAACGAATAATTATTGGAGTTGTAATAGGTATTGGAGTATTTATGTGTCTATTGACTTTCCCATTAGCAGTTTGGTTTATACGACCGATAACAAAATTAAAAGAAGCTACTGAAGCAATTACGAGATATAAGAAGGAAAAATCACAATTTAATAATCAATATAAAAATCCAAATAATAATAATGATACACCAACACCAATGTCAACATCAATTAATGAACTGATACTGGAAGGTGGTGCGACCAAATTAAGTAATAGAACAGGAAGTATAACTTCAGGATCAGGGTCAGTTTACTCAACCGGGATAAGATTACCTGAAAGAATACCGAGATCAAAGAAATTTTTCAAGGATGAATTAACTGAATTATCAGAAGCATTTAATATTATGACAGAAGAATTAGATAAACAATATACCCATTTAGAAGATCGAGTTAGATCAAGAACCAAAGAATTAGAAGCTTCCAAGATTGAAGCAGAAGCTGCTAATGAAGCCAAGACAGTTTTCATTGCCAATATTTCTCATGAATTAAGAACACCATTGAATGGTATTTTGGGAATGACTTCAATTGCAATGGATGAAGAAGATCAAACAAGAATTCAAGATTCATTGAAATTAATCCATAGATCAGGGGAATTATTATTACATATTTTAACTGAATTATTAACCTATTCTAAAAATACTTTGAATAGATCAAAATTGGAGAAATCAAATTTCCAAATTCTTGAAATTGTTTATCAAGTGAAATCAATTTTTAATAAATTAGCACAAGATCAAAGAGTTAATTTTGATATATTGATTAAACCTAATGTGTTTAGGAAATTAATTCTTTTTGGAGATTCAAATAGAATTATACAGATTGTTATGAATTTAGTTTCAAATTCTTTGAAATTTACACCTGTTGATGGATCAGTTAATGTTACTTTTAAATTATTAGGTGAATATGATGAAGAACGATCGAAAGCGGAGAATTATCAACATGTTTATATTTTACATAGAGGAGATGTTCCACCACCACCAGGACCCAGAAGAAGTAGACACGCATCAACCACTTCAAATACGGGAATTCCAAGTACTAGTATCACCGCCACCACCACAACTCCAAATGAACCTGCACGAGAAACTGATAAAGGTTATTTCAGAAGATCTAAGAGTAAGCATCAATCCGATGGAGATCGTCCTGATTTATTAGCAGATCAAAATGATGATATGATAAGTATAGTAACGTTATCCACTGCCGAATATGAAAACACAGTATTTGACAATCAATTTAAACCAAAGGCGTTACCCGATATTCCATCATCCTCATTCACTCCTCCTTCATCCTCATCAGAAAAATTACCCAAGAATATCGCATCAACTAGTAGTAAAGATGGTTCAATCGATACCATTGTTCTCGAGGATGAGAAGACGGATATTTCATCTCCTGGAACAAGTGAAGATCATTCCGAAAATTCAAACCTGACAAATTCAACCCCACAACAAGAAAAACATAAAACCCTCGATCCTATTCAACGTCGTGATTCTACTCCATCCCCAATCTTAAGTGCCCAAGACCCCCTCAATATCCTTGCGCAACCACAGGGATATCCTATTCATGAAAAGAAAATCATCGCCCCGGACCTACCACCAATGGCGGCATCAATTGAAGAAACGGAGATTGTCAAGGATGATAAAGTATATAGAATCAGAACGATGTATAAACCCAAAACATGGGCTATTCAAGTTGAAGTCACCGACACTGGCCCCGGGATTGAACCTGCATTACAAGAAAAAGTATTTGAACCATTTGTACAAGGAGATCAAACCTTATCTAGAAGTTATGGAGGTACTGGATTAGGACTTTCTATTTGTCGACAATTGGCCACGATGATGAATGGGACCTTGACGTTAAAATCAACAATTGGAAGAGGATCGACGTTTACGTTGACGATTCCATTACCTCAGACGGGGGAGATTATGGTTCCGCCAGATGAAATGGCATATTTCTGTGAGGATGAATTTAATCCGCATTCGAAAATGAATAGAAAAGTGGCATTTGATGATAAAGTAACCGATCTCCATACTCCTATAAGTGAAGAACCCCCCATGACAACTTCTTCCAGTGAGGATGGTAGTGATACTAAGAGTTCTCCCGAATCGCCATATCCTCCAAGTTCACCCAGGATGGAAAGACCCAAATTTGAAAAATCAGATACGAAAGGATTTAATCAAAAACCACGATTATATGCTCGGGGCTCTACCGGCACGGCTGATTCTGGAGGGAATAGATCCGGAAATTGGAGTGGTAGTAGTGGATCTGAACACGGTGGAAATTTACTTGATGAGATTATTCATCTCAAGATTTTGGTTGCTGAAGATAATTTAGTGAATCAAGAAGTTATAAGACGGATGTTGAAATTAGAAGGTTTTACGAATATTACTATGGCATGTAATGGAGCAGAAGCGATTGAATTGGTGAAGGATTCAATTGAAAAAGAAGATATGTATGATTTAATCTTTATGGATGTTCAAATGCCAAAAGTTGATGGATTATTGGCAACTAGAATGATTAGAAATAATTTACATTATGATAAACCGATTATTGCCTTGACTGCATTTGCTGATGAAAGTAATGTTCGAGAATGTTTGAATAGTGGAATGAGTGGATTTTTATCTAAACCTATTAGAAGAACGAATTTAAGAAAGATTATTGTTGAATTTAGTCCGGTTTTATTGAGTGAGATTGTGACTACTCCACAAACTCATCATAGTAATGAAGATAAGAGATTGGGATTTGGGAGTTCATATATTCCTCCAATGGAGTATTAATAAAGAGATAGTTTTGGTTTTTTTGGTATTATTTATAATTTGTATACATTTGATTTAGTATTTTTTTAATTAGACGATTTATTTGGTTATTAAATAGCAGACTGTAGGAACCTATATACAACCCTTTCTATCAAATTGTGTAAATGCAGTTTCTAATTGAGGATATTGATCAATACCAGTAATTTTCCGTAATCTTGAATTACCAGTTAAATTTATTTTTTTCAATACTGGATAATTGTTTTTTATTAATGGGAAATTATGATCATTTAAATAATCAAATCCATTAAATGAAAGATCCACAAATTCTAAAGGCATATTCATAAATAATTTCCCAGAAAACATTCTTAAATTAGATAATTTATTATTTGATAAATCTAAGAATTTCACTTGAGATTTTGGAATTGGTTTATCTTCATATTCTAATTCTAATTCTTCTAAATCTTCATTACATATATTACAACCTTGTAAATGTAATTCACTAACTTTAAAAAAGATAAATCTTGAAATGTCTAATCGATTGAATCGATATATTGAAGATAGGATAGTACGATTATAAGATAAGTTTAATAATTGAATATGTTCAACCGTATGAGGTATTTGGAAATGAAGTGGATAATTATATGATAAATCAAGAATTTTCAAATATTGTAAACCTTGAATATCTTTAAATGTTGCAATTCCTTTATCTTGAAGCATTAAACATTTCAAACTATTTGGAAATATAATATTTGTAAAATGAAACTTTCTTGATTTTAATCCTTCAAATTTTAAGATAAAATTAATTAAATTTGGGAAATAAATTGATAAATCAATTGATTCAATTGATCCAAAATCATTATAACTTAAATCTAAAGTTTTTAATCTTGATAAACCTAATGGAGATACAATTTTAATAAAATCTTTGAAGTTTTTCATATATCCTTTTGAAATTGTTAAATATTGTAAATTATGACATTGTTGCAAAATTTTACCTAAATAATTCAAATTTGCAACCGGTCCTTTTATAAAGAAAGAACATAAATTAATTGGTAGCAACAGCAGCAGGGGCAACAGCAGTAATTTTATAGTTAATGGTAACATACTAATATTATTAATGATTAATTTATTCAATTGTTGATTCAATTTAAATTCAACTTGTCTATAAGTTGGAGTATAATGTCTAAATTCAAATTCTTTAATATTGGCAATATCAATTGATAAATCTTGATCAATTGAACTTTCATATTCCAAGATTAAATTAATTGAATTTAATTGGAAATCAAATATATCTTCAATCATGGGCCAAATGATATGAGTAAACTTCCTAACCGTATGATTATCATCATTTTCATAATTTAAATAAATTTTAATATTCTTATATTTCAATATTTGAAAGAATTCTAATGAATCAAATTGAAATTGATCTAAAAAGATTTGTATTACATAATTATTAATTAATTTATGTCTATCATACCAAGATAAGAATGAATCCTTATTGGTATAATTATAATAAATATGCCAATAATAAGGACCTTTAGTAATTTCATAATCATGACTTGAAGTGATTACACTTTCATAATTCTTTCTTGAACCAATTGTTAAATGAATTAAACTTCTTTTATTTAATACTTGTTGTGCAACATAATGAGTTGATCTATTAAATAGGAAATTATAAATATCAGATACTCCTAAGAAATTCTGATCTAATATTTGATAAATAATATCATCAGGACATTTCTTTAATAATGATATATCAAACATACTTAGCTTTGGGTTTGGTTTACATGAGTACGAGGGGAAGATTATGGAAGGAATACTAAAGGAGATTATAAATGTAAAAGAAGAAGTGAAGAGAAACAGAATGATGTCATTTTAAAATTTTGCATGATCTATCAATTAAATTAAGAAAGAAGAAAGAAGCTTATCTACGGATCATCATCATTACCCCCGAGTTAAGCGAAAAAAGAATTAACAATGAATAAAGTCTTAACAATTGAAATATCAACTGATTTTTCTTGTGCTGCTGATTGTCAATTGTTTCTTTCTCTTGAGAGAAAAACAGATGTGATGGGATGAAAAGAAAGAAAGGGGATGAGCCATGAAAGAAAGATAACGAAGCAATGGTTAGAAAAAGACGTTTAATTATGAAACATAATAAGGGGTTACATCCCTCAATTTGCCTCATCCCATCCGTTCCGCCTTTTAAATATCGTGGGAAATACTACATGCAACGGAATCCCCTATTCAACCCAGTCCATACGACGTAAATTAACTCGTAAACTAAAGGCAATTATCAAGGGAAATCTGATGGGATTAATCAATTGGGAATATCCAAGCTACATCAGTTAATATTTTGTTTGTTTGTATGTATTTATTATTCTACTAACGCGGGAGTCTAACTATTTTGATCATTAGAAAATAAAGCTGATAAACCTAATAAACCTAATAAACCATATTTAAAATATTCATTTTCATTAATTAATATTGTAACATAACCAATAAATGGTAAATAACCTTTAACAGTACCAACAGTATCAGTCTTTTGATCTAAATATCTTTTTTTGTTTGAATATAATGATAAATCATCAACTGCATTATTATCCCCCTTAGTTAACAAATATTGTTTTTCCAGGTTATGATGTTCTCTTAATACTCGATGAACAATTGGGATATCTTTACCCAGTAATTCATATACAACAATATCACCTACTTTAGCTTGTGTATCTCTATTCCAAAGAAATAATATATCACCTCTTTGAAATGCTGGTTCCATTGACCCTGAAAGTACAACAACAATTGGTGAATGGGAATTGGTTATTACTGATATGGTTTTCCATACCATAAATGCAGAAGTGAATACATATGCAAGTGATAAGAATTGACTTATTTGCTGACGAAGATTCATTGTGTAGATTACTATATTACACTAACAGGTAAAGCACAGGTGTCTCTTATATTTAATGTCAACAATTGAAATGAAGTGTGGAAAAAATGTAAATAATGTCGTATTACAAGTAAATTGGATAATGTCGTATTAGACATCTAATGTCGCAAAACAGAATGATTGTAAATAAAAAATAAAATAAAAATAATTTTAATTAACGGCTTTTCCGCGAGAGGATCATCCATCCATCGAATGACCATCTTCTTGTACACTTTCCAACACACTACTCTTAAATTAATTTACCTATTTTTCAATAGATATTTCTGTTATTTTATTTGTAGTCAATTTACAAGTAGCACTTCATACTTCATTAATCATTTGTATGATTAGTTCATTTTTATAGTTTCTTCTATTAACTTTCTATTATCTATTAAATAGATCAATCACATGTGTTTTTATTGTTTCTTTAAAAGTTTGATTGTTAAATGTGCAAAGTTTTTTTATTGTAATAAATTTTTCTTGATTCAAATTTAATTTATAATTTTTAATTTAAATAAAACATTGGCATTTAAATTAAACTTTTTATAAACCACCTGGTAGTATTAATTAATATTATAAATAGAAATAGAGAACCACCTTGTGTTATATATTTATTTACGAAACACTACTACTACCCTAATAAATAAAATCACTCAAATCAAAGTTCAATGAGTCAAAAAAGTGACGACACTACTCAGAAGGAAAGTTCTTCTTCTTTCCCTCCTGACAGCACTACTACCACCACTAACACTAACACATCAACTCAAATGGCAAAGGAACCTTCTTTAGTTTCTATTAAATCATCATCTTCAACTACAACCTTCCCGCCAGTTCAAACTCCTATTTTTCAAAACCCAACCAATCAAAGGCAACAACTTAAACTTAAATCACCAACAATTTTAACCAATAAAATCATTACTACCACGACTAATTTACTACAATCTCCAATAACTCCAATACAATCTATGGCATCCCCAATAACAAATCAACTCAAACATGCAAGTGTTTCTTTCAATGATTTAGAAGAAAGAACCCGAAGATTCACCATATCAGCTCAACCATCTGCTGTAAATGTAGGTACTCAAGAAAATATGCCACCTCCGCCACCATCTCAACCACATCCACAACAACCATCTTCTAATCAACCTTCGAGACACACATCAATCAATAGAGGACGTAATGAATCTGTTAATGATGTATTGACATTCATGGCAAATCCAAGCACAATACCTCAACATGTGAAAACTAGTCATCTTCAATCTCTACAAACAGGAAGTAATACCACAAGAAGTAGAGACAGTACCGCTTCTCCTACTACCCCTGAAATTGGACTCAAAAAGGGATATACTTTCGAACCAGAAGTTCAACCTATGGTCAATAGAATATCACCAAGTCCACCACCACCTGCATCAGTTACATCTCCTTATAATCCATCAAATATTTCAATCACTCAACCAATTAAAATAAATGCATTACCTCCAAGTGCAAATTCATCCCGAAGAAGTTCAATCAAAAGATCAAACAAAACAATTGTTGCTTCTCCCGTGGGGCCACCAGTTCCATTCCAACAATATTTATCTAAAGAAGATGATGGGAAATTTCATATCTTATTAGCATGTACTGGATCAGTCGCAACTATAAAAATGCCACTTATAATTGATAAATTATTTCAAATCTTTGGAACATCCCGTATTTCAATTCAATTAGTCGTTACCAAATCAGCTAGTCATTTCCTAAAGGGGTTAAAAATTCATAATGATGTCAAAATTTGGCGTGATGAAGATGAATGGGCAAACTACAACGAAGCATCCACAACCATTACCGCATCTACAACTCAAAACCCAGGACCCACCAACATGAACATCACATCCTCCAACAACACCACCACTGCCACCACCACTACCACCATAAACAAAAAGCCCAAAAATCCTTATGATCGTCTAATCCTTCATAACGAATTACGTAAATGGGCCGACATAATGCTATTAGCCCCACTTTCAGCCAACACATTAGCAAAAATCGCCAATGGAATAAGTGACAATCTCTTAACTTCAATTATCCGATCATGGGGTCCTCCTGGATCTCAACAACTGGTTAAAAAACCGATTATTGTCGCACCGGCAATGAATACGTTTATGTATACCCATCCCATCACCGCTAAACAATTGGCAATTATTATGAGTCCGGATTTTGGGATTGAGGTGTTGAAGCCGGTGGAGAAGGTTTTGGTGTGTGGTGATATTGGGATGGGTGGGATGAGGGAGTGGACGGAAGTGGTTGATATTTTGAGGAGGAAGATTGTTGCTATTAAGGCGGAGAAGAAGAAGTTGGATGGGGAGATTGCAGAAGATGGAGAAAATGAGAATGATGATGATGAGGAAAATGAGGAAGATGAGGAGAATGACGAGGATGATGATGAGGATGACGACGATGATGATGACGACGATGAGGATGACGATGAGGATGACGAAGAGGAAGAAGATGCTGAAATCGAAACCCCAAAAGTGAGCAATGGTAATTCTGAGCACAAGACTAACAATGTCACAGAAAACCGTAAAGGAAACGTCTCCGCCCCAAATGAGAATGATAACGAAGAAATGATTTTTGATATAACAGATGATGAACAAGATGGAGATTCTACCAACACGGGAATAATACCATCATCGCCTTCTCCAAGTCCTTCCCATCAACAACAAAAGATTACTATTCCTAAAGAAACGAAGAATATTATTTAAGTCGGAAGTGTAAATAGATATATACGTCAACTGGTAACAATTTAGAACAGAGTAGTTAATTAAATTATTATTTATTTCTTATTAAGAGTCAACATTCAGTTGCAAAGAAGCGTTAATAATTCTTTATCACTAAGAACAAAGATTTGCTTGCAAGCAAGCTTTAATATTTGTTTCTCATTAACAGTCAAGATTACCCTGTAGAGAAGCTTCCTTGTGGAATTGCGGAACTACAATTTAGATAATGTATTAATCTGTATATTAGTAGTAAAGTAATGGTAAAATAGTAGAAGTAATATAAAAAGCATAATAATAATATAAATAACAAGAACCCCGGTCCCCCTAATAATAAGTAAAGGTAAAATCAAAAAAGTAAAATACGAAGAATTGAAAAATTTTGAATATCATACTATGATATCCTAAAGAATCATGAAAAACCAGTTTTAATGACCAGCATAATAAGCATCTGAAACAGGAATATGTGGTAATTGGAAATAAGAATTTTGTGGAGTAGCCATACCAAGATAAGCCATATAAAATCCAGAGGTTGCCGTGAACATACCAAAATAATTTCCAGCTAATGTAGTTTTTGCACTACCTGCCATAGCACCAGCTCCTTGTAATAAAAATGTCATCATAATGTTGAAAAATAATAAAATGAATGGAACACTTGATTTAAAAGTTAACAATAAAAGCATAAATGCTAAAATAGCCCAAGAAATTAAATAAAACCCAATAGCATTTTCAAGTTGAGTTGGATCTTGTTCCATATATGCTGCCAAAATTCCAAAACTTGGAGTCATCATTGCACCATAACTTAACCAAAAACATCCAAATGATGTCATAGCAGTTGCACCAAAAGTATTACCAGTGACTAAATCCCAAGTCCCAGAAAGAATTTGACAAATACCACCAAAGAAAAAAGCAGTAGCAACAGCCATATTTGGCACCACAATCCCTTTGGCATGCACACCATATAACGACATGATAAGAGTACTTGTAGCAAAGGCCACTAACCCCACGGCAGCAGAATTACCGAATTTATGAACTGGAGCAGGATGAACTCCAGGATATAAATAACCAGCCATAGCTCCCATTAATTCATGTCTGTAATATTTGTGATTTCCTATAATGACAAACTCATTTCCAGCACCTACTGTACGGACTTTACTAACTGGAGTATTTTCAGATGAAACTTGAGTGTCTTTGGAAGAAAGTGATTGGATTGAGTTTGAATCAGACATATTTGTTGATCTTTGATATATATGATACAAGAGATTTTTAACCAAGAGAGATGAGGATCAGATTATGTATTTATATTTTCACATCTGATAGAAAAATTGCTATTGTAGACCCTCTTTACCCCATTACCAACACATATTCTGATCTAAATTAGGATTTTACCCCAATCTGCAACTTTTCATTTGAATTGCTGCTAAATACAAAGAGAATCAAATACAATATGCCCTAGGCTTATCGGTTATTGTTTAGTCAGGGCTTAAACAACTCCTCCTTTTGTTTCATCACTAGTGGTTAATGCGGAAATCAAAAAAAAAAATAGCTGCGAAAATTGTTCCGTATTTTTTAATGAGGGAAATATTTTTTGCCACATTTCAGTTAACACACGACCATTACACAAAATTAAATTGTGGGGGTGAATAAAAGTTAAACTTTATTTTTGCAACACTATCTCGAGTCGGAGCGATTTAGAGAGTTAGAGATTACGTTATATGCATTTTCTAATGATTATGGATAGTGGGAATCGATAAGGATACGGATAAGCGGATGCGTTGTCTAGAACGTTTATTGCATCAAAATTTCTTTTAAAAAATACGATCGGAATTTGATATACTTTTCCGAACAAAGAAATTGGTTGCAAAATCTAATCAGACATAACAGACAACTGGATTGAACACCTTCTCTGTCTTAACAAGGACTAAGATAGTTAAATCAAAAAAAAAATGTGCTAATCTGTATTAAATAGTATGGCTGAAATAACTAAAGTAAAGTAAATAAGTAAAAATGTAACAAGTAATGAATTTCCCGGTCCCCAAAAGTAAATCATGATAGTAATAAATATGTAAAATAAGAAGTCTTCCCCTAATTGAAAGAATGAACATTAACTGCCAGCATTTAATGTCCATGAGCTTTATTTCCAATTGGGAAAACACTAAGGGTGAAGTATGAGTTCTGCTTAGTCGCAGTTTCAGCTATGCAATTGTAAATACCCAACACTCCCGTGATAACACCAGAAATATTACCAACAAGTAAAACAGTTGGGTTTTGAGACATTTCACCGGCACTTTGTATAGCGAAAGTCATAGTAATCGAAATGAACAAAAGCAAAACAGACCAGACAGCTTTGAATAACAACGTGGTTAACCCAGCAGCCAAAACCGCGTAACCTAATAACATCAACCCGATTGCATTACCAAGTTGTTCTGGGTCTTCATCCATATATGCCTGTGCGATACCAAAAGAAGGAATTTGTATAGCAGCATAACTAAACCAAAAGGAAGAAAATGAAAGCATAGCAACTGCTCCAAATGTATTCCCAATCAATATTTCACCAACCCCACAAACAAATTGACCAATTCCACCAAAGAAGATAACTTGTCCCACAATCATATTTCCAATAGTGATACCACCAACATGAAGTCCATATAAACTCATCACCAAACATGTCATTGCAAAACCTGCCAATCCTATAGGCGTGGGATTACCCATTCTTCTGGACTGAGGAGAGGGATGGCCCAAGTTTAAGATTGGTCCAATGGCCCCATATAATTCATGTCGGTAATATTTGTTGGGACCAAGGATAACATATTCTTCACCTGGACCTGTAGTCTGAACCTTGCTGATATTGTATACAGTCTCATCCTTCATTATGGAAGAGTTAATTGAATCTGAAGAAGACATTGCTGGCTTTAAGTTATTTGAGATTGATATTTGGTTTTGAATAAAAATTTCATGAATGATATCAATGATTTGCACCTGAATTTATAATTGAAGAAATCTTGAACATTTTGCAATTAAAGAAACGGAATTACCATAGCCCCTCTCAATTTGGACAGCCAGGTCACTATGATCTGGTCGTTATAAGATGGGATAGAATTTCACTTGCGGTTCTTAAATGAAATATGGATAACTGATAAAAATAATAGAATATTTTGCAACCAACAGAAAAAGTAAAAAAATCTTAGGAATTCTTTAATATTTTCCGATCCTGCACAGAGAAATGATTCCGCGGAAAAGTTCAAACTTCAACCTGTTGCCACAGATGTTCATTGAATCTTGTAATTATATTATATTTCTATATGTTATTATGTATAAGAACTAGAATAAATGGTTCTGTCAGAAAAAAAATTGCTTCTAGTATATTGATCTGTGAGATACTCTAATGATCTGTTCTGGTAGAGTTGTATATCCTGATTATAATCTTCTACTACCTTTCAATAAGCCACTTTCATGAACTTTAGTCTCTGTAGTCATAAGAAGTTACAAACACCCATGCAGTAAGGCTTATACTTTTGCTTATTGAATTAGTTTTGTAACAAAAGGGGCCAAGAGAGGAGAAAACAAAGTTTTTTTTTTTTTTTTTTTTCTTTTTTAAAGTTATGAAATTGTGTCAAAAGTATAATCAAATTGATGGTGTATTTTTTCATTGTGGTTTAATATTTTCTGAACCGGCTATTATATATCCATTGTTATTCCAAAGAGTCCGAAATCCATTTGGGGTAGAAAATATGGCAAAGTTTTTTGTACTCCGTAAGCTATTGAACCGGGCTACGTCAAGAATTCAGACCTCTAGCCCCCACCAAAGTTGGAAAGATTCGATATTTGGATCGAAAAAGAAAATTCAGAAGTTGGCGTTGCGAACTAATAACCACTTGCTTTGTTGTAATTTCTACTATCAACAAATTTCAGGAGAGAGCAATTGTTCTACATCCTTGCTGAGGAGTTACTCAAGAGATCCATTCGAACGAGACCATCAATAGAGTATGTTCGTGGTTGTCCCACTTTACAAAATAAAGTTTGTTGCATTTGTATTGTTCACTAAGCGTGAAAATAAATTAATCGTGGGGTAGCACGGAAAAAGAACATTTCCATGGATCTCAATAAAAATACATCTAGATTTCAGGGATCTTAATTATATTGTCAAAGATCGATTTTCTGAGAAGTGGAGGTGGGGTAAAGCAAATTGTCATCCAAACAAAATACGAATTGATGTCGGTACTAAAAAACAACAAGGTTCTCATATTACCCCACTGACCATGTCAAAAAATAAAATTATAAGTAGTAGATTTGTACCGAGAAGTAATGTTATGAGTCCTCGGTATTGTCTAAAGCATTTGAGTCTTCCTTTCTCCACTTTGTTAAACTTCTACTCCATTCTCATTCAGCCTTACCTGAATAGCACCTTCCCGGTTCGTAAAAGGAGGCCGAGCTAAGAGGGGCAATGATATTCCAGGTTAGAAAACGTTATTTGCCAAGTCAAAAATATGCCCCGTAACACTAATGCTGAAATAATTCAATGTAGAATGAAAACTAAAATTCAATACATAAAATAGTAATGAAATGTATATATGGAAAGTAAAGTAATAAGAATTAGAAGAGAAACGTAACATCTCTATATGAATTTATAAATTCAATCAACTTGGGAATCTTCATTTATTTAAATACATCTATGGATTTTCGGAATACATGCAACTTTCCACAGTTTGCAAACTCGTTTTCTTCCGCATATTTCTTCCTCGGTATTTTAACAATTTTTCTCATTCTGCGCTACCAACAATAATTGCATCCATTTTCCTGATCAATTACCTGTCTAATCTATTTGTCAAAGAAAGTAAACCCAATGTACCTCTTCTGGAGCTCATGTCATTCAAAAGAGTAGCCTGAATTGAGGTCTGGAATATTAATCCCGGCTAGCCTGAAAAGAATGTTCAAGGTGGAATGGTAATACTCAAGTTCACCACGGTGAAGAAATGGCAATTGGCTAAAATTAATCTCACAATTACTATATACAGAGAAGTGAGAATTGATGAGAATTAAGAGCATTTCTATGTCACTGACACTCGTCTGTTCCCATCGACACCAGAGGCACGATGAGTTAATGGATCAGGTATGTCGTGACATCTAGATATCCACCTTCTCATATATCCCTCAATTTTAGTTTGTACTTATCTAACGCAAACTGTATCAACTCAATATGGGCTTGATTTTTCATATTAACAAACTCAGTTAAATCTCCTTTCTCGTTCTTCGTCCAATCATGAAATGGATATTGGCTAAGCTTAATCTCACAATTATTATATACAGAGAAGTGAGAACTGGCTGAGTCTAAGAATGAAGAGCATCTCTATATCACTGACGCTCGTCTGTTCTCATCAACACCCGAGGCACGATGAGTCAATGGATCAGATACCTTGAGACAACTAGATATCCACTGTCATATATCCCTCAATTTTAATTTGTACTTATCTAACGCAAACTGTATCAACTCAATATGGGCTTGGTTTTTCATATTAACAAACTCAGTTAAATCTCCTTTCTCGTTCTTAATCCAATCATGAAAATCTTTTAAGTTGATCATATGGGAATTTATAGTTAGATTGTATAATAAACTATCAATCAAGTCATCCGTCTTTTCTTTTGTATTAATCCCAAGGTGTGTCAACAATTCGCCTTTGTCATTAATTTTGTTAGAGTCAAACCCGGGCAATACATACAATCGATCTATCCAACTATACACCAATTCCCTTCTCAATATCTTATTATCCTTCTTCATAAGAGATGTGGATTTCGGATCTATGAATCGACTAAACCAAAATCCAATCATTTTTGCCGAAGTCATGGGAAGAACCCAACCAGGATATGTTTTATTAATGATGATATTCTCGAGATTATAATTCAAAAGAACATTTGGCAACGTGGAAGTATTCTTATTTGATCGAGTTCTCTGAGTTTCCATCACCACCAAATCGTCCCAGGGCTTCAATACATCATTGATTAAACTATCTCCTATATAATTTAAATAGCGTTTTTGATCAAGTAACGAATTAGGTTCAATCAAAGGAGTATAATTGGATCCATATCGTTCATTCAAATCTATCTTATCCCATTTCTTGATTTTTAAAGGAAATGTAGAACCAATCGATTTACAATAGGAAAAATTCTTAATACCTACGTCAATAGCGAGTGTAGTTCTATCCGATCTCTTGGGAATATGGTTTTGATAGAAATTATATCCAGAAACAATGTTTTGAATTCGGTGAGATTTTGTAGTTGAAAGGATTGGAGTTCCACATAAGAGTGCAATTTGATTAAGTGTACTGACTTTGCATGCTTGCAATTGTTCGATTATTTGGGATGTCATATCATTGGACTGGTAATTTTCTATTCAGTTGCAAATAATGTACTGTTATCATGATGCAATTCGGTGGAGGACGAGAAGAGACTAGGTCGTGGAGAATGGTTCAAAAAATAATGGTCGTGTACATGAAACAAATCTGGCCAGTGGAGGGATCTCATGTACAGACTGGTCATAATGCATCTGTTTATCTTTCGGAATAACAGGAACTGACCCATGTGAGAGAAACTGAACCAGATGTCAACGCTAGAAGAAAAACATGATGTAAACCGAATCCGAAAATTAACAATTAATGGAAGACTCGCTAAAGGATCTTTTTTGAACAGATTATTTGCAAATTTTAGCAATTTTATATTCGACCATTAATTTGCTAAGAAATAGGTTACAATTCCGCAACTACTCACGTCAATATTACCATCATAGATGTAGCATTCCTTGACAAGGTTAGATCCATATTAAGGTTTAAGACTTTTGACGTAAGTTCTACTAAATTGCAAAAGAAATTTTTAGATTAGAAAAAGGGGAACAAGGAAAATGGTTGCAATTTTTTTTGGTCCCAAACTAAAATGCCTTATGACATAAAACCCTCTTCAAAAGAAATTTGGTATTATCAATCAGGACCGTAATTCCAACCAATCATTAGAAAAAAAAGAGGGGTCTTATGTCCAGTTACATCATTATTTCCAACGTCATCGTAATGGCATAAAATTACCTAAATGCTGGAAGTATGGCTCAAGAATGTTACCAGACAGTAAGTAATTTCGAATACAACGTTAAACCGCTTAAATAAGAAATCTGTATTGACTTAGAATGTCGCCATAGTTGATGTGTTCATTTGTACATTGCAAAGACATTTTATTTAAAGTATTCAGAGAAGCCAAAAAAAAGAGGTTGTTGCGACATTTATGACACTGGCCAAAAATAAGAATAAGGGCGTAATAATTCCAAGCCCAGGGGAGTTTCCCCTATTGCCTATTTGGTTATTTTAGAGACGATATCGTTTTGAATTATATGCAGGAAGTTTTTGTTTTAGGACTCAGGCGGACTTGCATCCATTTTTATTTACAACATCACAATTTAAGATTAAACTTTTCATTTTTGTCATTTTTGTCGTCAGTTTTGGCAGAAGATAAGGAAACAGTCAGGCGTTTGGCTAAGTGTGGTATCACAAAACATTTGTTTGCAAGAACCACGGTTTTCAATTTACTTTATAAGCATTGTAAAGAATCAAGAACCTGGTTGATACGCGATGGAGTTAGAGTTAACGAGTACCAGACGTTTTAACTGCACGACATTTATTTTAGTTTTAATTTTTTAGTCCGCTTATAATACATCCTAATTAGGAAACATTGTGGTATTGCGTTACTTTGTATAGGACAATATGGCGTGGTAAAAGTTAGTTTAGCGGAGGGGGGAAGAAGTAATAGAACACCCGATTGCAATCCATCTTGAACCAGTTTGGTTGCACTGCTACATGTAGGTATCAAAGAAGACTCAATTCAAGTATAATTTCAGATCCTGCGATTTTAAACTTACAAATTTTCCGAAGAAAAATATTTCACCGTCAGACATTTGTGGCTAGAAAGGGCGTGCCGCACATATGATCGCGTTGCAATTTTCTTTTTAGATGTCACCAAATTAATTTTACTAGACGACGATTTCTGAATGTTTTGATCACTGTACCACGGCTTTGAAGTGTGTTTTTTTCATTTGGTTTCCACACAATTCATTTCGTGTAGATTGCAAAATTTTAAACTATTGTCGACAAGAATAAGCCATGCTTTCATCGTCTAATCAAGCTGCTAATGTGTAACTTTTAGTTGGATTACACATTCCACCGCCAGGCTAAAGGTTGAGTTGAGTTTACCGTAAATCAATTTATTGTATCTTATACTGTTTGACAATCTAATTTACGTAAATTCTATGACAATATTATGGAGAAATGGCTTTTATCCAAAATGTCGTTTGAGTTGAAAGTTCTTTTTTTAGAAACTTATTAGTTTTGTTAGAAAATATGTGGTACTTAAAATGTGTGTAAAGTGTATAGAATTTTAAAGAAGATAATAGAAAATATTTGAATGCCTTGCGTGTTTGTGTAATAAAAAATAAAAAATAATTTAATTAATTTACCGCTTTTCTGATAAAGTTCCAGTTTTGGAACAATTACCACAAAATAACAAAAAAATTTTATAGCCATCAATTTCATAGAACAATGGAAATAAAAAGAAATTTTAATTATTTTTTAATCTACACCGGATAAAATTTTTTATTTTCTTTTTTTTTCATTATTTTTCAGCAACCATTAGTCAGACAGACAAAAATCTGAATTGTATAAATAATTTGGAAAATCTCTCAAAGTTTTTTTAAATTATTTCTTCTCTTCTTCTTTTTCTTTCCTCAGTTACAAGCTAATATATTATACAAAATGCAATTCAAATCCGTCGTCGTTGCTTTAACCGCTGTCTGTGCCGCTTCCGCTGCCAACGCTTCCAATGCTTCTAACCACTCCAACACCACCTCCACCTCCAAGGCTGGTGCTGCTCAATTAGGTGCTGCTGGTGCCGTCGGTGCCATTGCTGCTGGTGCTGTTGCTTTATTATTCTAAGTTAATTAAAACATTTGCTTGACTTAAAACCGTTGTGTTTTTTAATAGATAATTTGGGTAAAATCAAAGAAGTTGGAGGGAAAAAGTGTTTCAAACATTAAAAGACAAATTCTTTCCCCTTCTGTGAAGAATATAATTGGTTTTTTTTTAATTGTACTTTTTTTCCACTTTTCATTTCATCTAGGTCAGTCTTATATAAGTTTAGAGATCTTTTTTTAATTTAATTTAATAATAATATATGTAACAATTTACAGTTCAAACTCATGATCATTGTAGTATTAGTCAATCTATCTTTTTACCGCGCCAGATACTTTGTTTATCGAAGAGGAAGAAATTGTAAACAAACTACAAGCGCAAATATTTCTCGTTAACATCCAACTGACGAGTCTACATAATTTGCTCTATCACTATCGCAGTATATCCAAGTTGAATTGTAATGTCAAATCAACTGAACGTGGACCCCTTTTTTCTAAAAATTTGCTTGTCACAGCTGTGTTAATTTTTTTTTTGCGTTCAGGAAAAATTATTTTTAGGTTATTCGCAGGAACTATACACTGCCACAGAGAAGAAAATGTCGTCCTGCACGTGGAATTTCGAGAATACAAAGCTGAAACCAAGAAAACGCAAGAAATGAGGCACAGTAAAAAAAGTGAAAAAATATCGGAAGTTTTATATACAGGAATCTCAGGCGGACCGAACCATTGTTTTTATTTTCCATGAAATTTGTGCGACATTTGGTAGTACAAGCATTATTAACCTGGTTGGTAATACACCTTCAAGAAAATGCAAGATATTTATATGAACTTACACATTAATCGCGAGTAGAAAAACTCATTACTATGACCATGTGGCCCTAATAACGCGTGAGTAAAAGCGTTTATTCGCGTGCGCAGCTGTTTCATTCTTACAGAAATGTGAAATATTTTCCTGTGGTTCGAATCAGCTGAATTGATCTACACCGGCGAGGCTTGTAGAGAGGCGGCGGAAAGGTAGGAACAACCGTCAGAAGACCAACCGATGATAGACTCACACGACCCAAGTCATATACAAGGTATGCACCCTCGAAGTGAGACATACAGGTCTGGATCTTTATTATATTATACACTAGGTTATGTCTATTTACTTTGATGAAGGTCTAGCCTTTGGACCCCAATTCTTTGGATTTTCTTGAAATCTAACCATTTTCAATTGTCTCAATTTTGCAATATGTTTACTTTGGTCATTTTCGGTCTCAAAATCAATCTTCAATTCTTCAGTACCCTTTAGTGAAGTCATTATCTTATCACCGACTGAATCTTTAGCTAATTTTGGGTTATAAGTAATATCCTTTTCTAATTGTTCAAGTTTTTCCTTTATCTTATCGCTAATATCTTCCTTAGCTTTCATTTCTTCAAGATATTTCTTATTACTTGCAACAGCCCATTCTCGGTTAATTTTGAGAACAACATCCCATGGAGCATTCGTTTTGACACAGTTTCTCTTGGTATGAGTAAGACTTAATTTATATCCTAATGCACCTATTGCCTTTGCAAATTGATCAATTGAGATCGGGGCCGATTTAAAGATTGATGGGAAATGACTTAAATTGAAATAAAATGGAAAGTCCAATTCATTTTTTGCTAATGATAACATTCCCTTTATACGTTCAGAAGTCCCATACACCCCTTGTTCAGCTTCGGAATTGATTTTTAAAACCTTATCTATAAACTCATGATTATGGATTGCTGAACCATACATTGGACCGGCAATATTGAAAGAACTTTCACAGTATTCACAAGATGAGGTCAATCCTGGTGCAAGTTTTGGATATTGATACTTGTTGTGTTTACGTTGACCTAAGGGTTGAAATATTTTATTACCACATCCATTACATCCATACGTTAACATGGTTTCCAGAGCATGATTCTTCACTTGCATTGGACTTCTTTTGACTTTAATGAATAATCTAAAATAATAATCGATAGATAATGACAATAAAGGTTCAATTGATTTTCCATATTTAGCAGCAGTATTTGCAATCATATTTAACATTAATCTAATCCCAGCCTCATGATTTGCTTCACTATTAACGTATGAATTACCAAAGTTATTTCCTCCATATAATGCAAAACATTTTTCAGGGTAGCCAGATCCAGCAAGTACACCAGCATCAGTGCATGTCACTAACAATAACCCATCATCTGCCAAACATTGAATAGCACCATCTAAGAATGGAGTAGCAGTGCCATATGGATCCAAATCGACAACATGGAATTTTTCATCTGTAGATGCCATAAATTTAATCGCATCTCCATGATTTGCAGTAACTTTATCAGTCAATTTATTATATTCAATATTTCTAGTTATAGATTTAACTGCTTCTGGTAATAAATCATTAGCAACAATTTTCGAAGCATGAGGTATTTCATGTCCATATCTAATAGCACGCAATCCAGTAGCACTAAGTGCTTCCAAGATTGAAATTCCACCCAATTTTCTCTTTTTAAAAGCTGGCTTTTGTTGTTGTTCTTCTTCTCCAGTTTCATTAGTTTCCTTCTTTTCTTCACGGACTTTTTGCGCTTCAAGAGATTTCTGTTCTTTACGAGCATGTTCTTCTTCACGGGCATTGGCATAGGCATTAATGGCCATGACTGATAAATCACGATTAAATTGTTGGATATGATTATAGAAGACTTTATCTTCTTTAGGAGTGAGGATTTCGGCACGTCCTTCTTTGACTATGTTGAAGTCATTAATGTTAATTGTGCTTGTCATTATCTTTCTGCGGAGTATTCTTAACATCGACTTGTTTGAGTCTCTGTTTGTTGCAAAAAGATTTATCTGATGAGCTTCTCTCTCTTGTTCTGGTTGAAATTTTTTTCTCCCGTTCTAACAAACCAAACGATGCCTGGGGCACAGAGCGGCGTGCGGTGAGAGTAACTGAATCAATTTTATCGAAACGAAAAATAAAGGCTCTCTTGACCCGCACAGGCAAACAAATAGATAGAGGCCAAAATCAATTACTTCAGGATTTAACACAACAATACATTTCAGAATGTCAAACTATGAATCACTTAACGAATATATAAGTCGAGAATATACCGATGATGAGAATGACTTGGAATCAACCCATTCATATTATTCATCTTCAGCATCAGTATCGTCTTCGTCAGAATATTCTTTGACAGCACAAGAACAATGGGATGAAAGCATGAAGCAAATACAAGCATTGGTAAGTTTTGTGATATTTCCTCTAATAGGAAAACTATTAGGTAGAAGGTTTAGTAAAATTGTTTGGAGAAGATTTGCCAATTGGTGGTGGCCTTAGATACGAGTTATTTAGAAGTTTTGCTTACGACGAAGGTATTAATGAAATAAATATAATATAATAGATATATATATAACATACACATATACATACAATGAAATAATGATCTATAAACTGTCAAGTAAACTGGAAAACCCATTGTGAATTTCTGGTTCCACTATCTCATGATAAATCATCAATATAAAAGGTTCCATTATACCATATGATATCTGTTTAATCACTTGATGCAACATCTTTAAATATTCTTCAGTACTCATTGCTGAATCTTGGGAATGGATTGAATTCAGGGAGAAAATAGACGAACTTTCCCAACCTCCTGATTCATTAGTTCCATTTGGTGACGATGTTGATGTTGGTGTCAATTCAAGTGATATTTTTTCATTACCAGAATGAATTATACTCTTCTTTAATATTTCAAATATCTTTAAAAACAACTTGAATACAATCTTATAGGTGAAAAGACTATCTAAATTAATATTAATCTCTAGTTTCTCAATCAATAATTGTCCCAGTGTTAATTTGATTGGAGAATAATTCACGTTTGAGATCCCACTACCTGATGATAGTTGCGTAGATGTTGAAATAGGTCGAGGAGGAGTTCGAGGAAGTGAATTCATAGACGCGGTGCTCTTTCTATTCATGCTTCCATTAGACTGACGAAACAGAGTAGGAATCACAGTAGTAGAAGGTTGACCATCATTAATATCAAAGCTCTTCAAAATATTTGCCAAGTTCTTCAAGAATCTAATTTGAAAGGAATGCATCGAACCAGAAGTGATGGAATGTGCACCTTCACTTCCCAAAGAATGGGAAGATTCATTCTTAATAGAATGCGGTGTGGTTAATTCCGGAGGATTTATCCTACTTTTCTGTCTTGTATGAGTGGCTTTCTTTTGTTTCTGGAAGAAATTCAACTGTTGCTGAACTTGATGCTCAAAAGCTGCATGTTCAATCTCATAAGTTCGTATTAAATTACCCAAGGATATACCTAACTTAAGCAACTTATGACTTTCAATTGGGAATTTATTTGTTTGACTATTCAATTGAATTAATTGATCATAAGATAGATCATAAACTCGTAAAAAAAGTTTGGAACAGTCTGAGTTAAAGGGAACTGAATGTAACACTTCATCAAAGTGTTTGATCTCTTTATCTATCATAGATACATATGTCGCCATTTTTTAATTATTTTTGATAGGAGATTAGATTTGGAATAACTAAAGAAGAAGGAAGAGGAATTGGAATTTTACGGAAGAATGGTGTGTATTATTTTTATTTTTTAACTACCAATTTGTTTTCTCGGTTAATAATTTTTTTCCCTTTCACTAATAGGGCGTAATTAAAATCTCCGTCCCGTAAAAAAAAAAAAAATAGGAAAAAAGAATCTGGAAAGATATGTCATTAAGAAAAGGTTTATCCGACTATCACTCTTTACCTTCACACACCCTGTAAGATTCATCCAATAGCTGATGCGATTCAAATTCATATTAGGAACAGTTGTATTCTGTTCAATATTGACAGGGATATTTATATTTGGAGATTTACCTACCTTCCGAAATACCCCAATTCATAGACTACGCAAATTCTTATTCACATTGTTCAATCAGATTACAAGAGGATATAATTGGCTAGATTCAAAGACCAATGGAAGGTTACTACATTACATCAACTGGTTGGTTCCAATAGGATACACAGGTGTAGTTACATTTTGTGTACATCAATTTTTGAGAAAGACAATCCCATTAATTTCTTATAATTTGAATTATTTTCATAAAATTTCCATCGCAATTACCATTGCACTAGTTTATTTATCTACCATATTGGCAGTGTTTTCTGACCCTGGCAAAATAACCTCAAATAAGGTTCCAAAAAATTATCCCTTTGTTCATAACCAATTAATATTTTTCAACAATAAAACGTGTCCAACATGTCATATAAATAAACCAGCACGATCTAAACATTGTTCAATTTGCGGACATTGCTACCTTTTATATGACCATCATTGTGTCTGGATCAATAATTGTGTTGGGTATTATAACTACAAATGGTTTTTGCTCTTTTTATTTGCAAATATAAATATGTTGGGGTATGGGGGTTGGTGGTGCTACCAAGCGCTCGCATCACAAAAACCGCGTGTCTATGACAATAACAACCTCCTTTGAGTTTACTCAATGGGAGTAGGTTTTTCTGTATAGTTTTTATAAATTGTATAGCTTTCCTAATTGATATGAGTAAAAAAAAAAAACTATGAATTTTGGCATTTAATTACTAAAACCAACGATTCTAATAAAATCACAGGTGTGCTTTTAATTCTATGCATAATTTTCATTACGATTACATCATTATTTACTTCGTTACATCTCCGTTACATTTATCTCGGAGTAACAACTAATGAATTAGATAAATGGTCGGATATAGAATATCTCGTACATTTGGGGGTTCTTTATAAAGTTCAACCACCATACAACAATGACGAATCTTACGTCGAGAAAGCAACATTATCAGGAGAAACAGTTTATTTGAGTTTGAAAAATGAGGAAATCGCAATTGATTCCAGAAATATCTCAAACTATTCTCTCACACCAATTCTCTGCGTTGAGAAAGACTTAGTAAATATATATGACAATGGCTTTTGGATAAACTTAAAGCAACGACTCTAATTTGGGGGGGAATTTGGGGGTTGAAGTCCTAACAAGAAATAAATATGGGGGTGAATCTTACAAGCAAAGCGAACTCTATGTGTATTGAATGTAGGTTGTCTGACTTGTTGTTGTGCAGGAACAGGGGCCAAACCGGACGCCATCACTGGTGACCCTGAACTCAGATGTCTACTTCCTTGAACTGACGAGACACCATTATTAGCCACATAAGCTTGTTGTCCCGTATAGTTAGGAGGCATTTGTGTGGGTAACATCTGAGGTCGTCCCTGCACAGTCATTTGTGGTTGGGCATATGAAAAACTGGATTGTCCAAACTTTAAGGCTGCGTCAGCTTGAAACGTTTGACGATTCTGTGGTGGCAACGATGGTCCTTGTACTGGTGGAGTTAACATTCCGTGGTTCATTTGATTCATTCCTTGGTTCATTTGATTCAAATTCCTTAGGTTGCTCTGTGCATTTGTGACCGGTTGAGAAGAACTACTTGGACGTCGAGGAATGGGCAATGTAATCTGCAGTCGTAATATTTCAATCATTTTAATAAGTGATGATCTTTCATGTGCTTGACGCCCGCGGAGCTCTTTCATTTCTCGTCTATGTGTAACATCTATTTCTTGTAACTTTGCAATTAAAACTGTCATTTCTTTCATTTTTAGTTCTTGCTCTCTAGCAGCAATTTGTTGCTGCTTCTGGTAATCCAGTTCTATCCGTTGTATTTCCTGCAGCACAAAGTCTTCTGCACGATCTATATTTTCTTGGCTTGTTTGTGCTTGATTTGAACCCGCCGGTATTTGTGATGGAATAGCATGTTCAACTATTTGTGATGGAATAACATTTTCAACGAGAGCTGGTTGTACTGGTTGTTGTCTTTGAGAATCTGGCTGAGCCGATCCAATTTGCTGCTGAGATGGAATGGGTTGGGTGACACTTGCTGTACTCGAGTCCAGGTCTTTTTGATTTGCTTTTTCTTGATTCAACTCAGGTTGAACAGCGACGTTTGCTACCTGATTTGTTCTATCATCAGTTTTATCTCTTTGCAATTGGTTGGATTCAGTTTCTTCTTGGACGGGCATGTTTTGAGCGACGTTGTTTACATTTGCATTCTCTTCAATTCGATTTCCTTGATCTTGATTCGACTCGACTTGCACCTGCTCTTGCACTTGTAATGTCACTGTTTCGGTTGTGTTAGTGGCGTCTGGACCTTCTTCTACTTCCTTGTCTTTTTCAAGAGTGCCTGTCTGTTTGCCTTTATCAAGACCATCGGGTGCTTCATCAAAAACTGAACTTGGAGTATCATTTTCACTTCCATCTTTTGTCTTTTCCTTACCATCACCAAAGAGGTTATCAAGAAAAATGTCAACCTCATCTTCCAATTGCTCAAAATTAATCGCATGTGGACTTTCCGTATTATTTACCTTCTGGTTAGTAGTGTTCTGCATATCAGCAACGTTTGTTGTTTCTGAATTATTAGCTACACGTGTTTGAGCTTGCATATCGGCACTCTCTGACAAATCATGCCCTCCTTTATCCAGTGTATTAACTATATCTATATTCAAATCTCCTTGGTCACGTGCACTTGTCTCTTCATTTTCGTCATTAGGGTTTTTTTGGAGTTGCATACCTCTAGATTCTTGTTCATCTGTTCTTTGCAGCGTTGTGACAGACTGTTCTTTTTCAGCAGCATCCTTTTCAACGTCATGTTCTTCGATTTGTTCCATTTGACGATCTTCTTGGTTGCTTTCATCTTGTTCAGGGGAATGATCCAGGTGGTCTTCTTTATCTTGCCCATTTTCTTTTTGTGGAAGCTTGCTTGCCTCATGTTCTTCTAGTATACTTTCTTGTTGAAGATCTCGTCTTTCTGATTGTTCGGTCAGTGATTTCTCTTGTTCTTGTTCTTGATCTGGTCGTTCCTTTTCTAAATTCTCTTGACCGGAATTGCCGGATCCCTCGCGATCCACACGTGCTGTTTCTACCGAGGGAGTTTCTTGTCTTTCGCTTTCTAACCTTTGATGAATTTGCTCTGTACTTTCATTATTTCCTTCCTCATTATTTTCTTTCTCTACATTTTCTTCCTCTACTCCTTCAAGAATTGAAGTAACCTTCGGAGCTGGTTCTGAACTAATTCGAGACTGTCTTGAATCATGTGACATACCATTCTCTGTACCGTCATGCATATGAAAACTAGTTTCATCTTCAGACGCGATTTCTATAACCTCTTGCTGGTTTTGTTTAAGAGCTTGTAAAGATTGCATATTTTGTTCACGGCGGGAAAACTTTTGCATTCGTATATTTTCCATTCTTTCTCTTTCCTTCTTTTCTCGTTCTTTTCTTTCAAGTTCTCGTTGCATTCGCGCAATTTCTTCTTTCTTTCGTTGTACAATCTCAGTTGCCAGTTGCATTTTTGGCTTTCTTTTTGCTTCGACCAACATTTGAAGTTTGTCGTATCCACTTTCTCCTTTTTTGGGTGTTTGTTCTTCACTTTCAGTAGCTTCTTTAGTTTGGTCTTCAGTATTGCTAGCACTTTTTTCTTTTTCTTTTTCTGCCTTTCTTGCTTCTTGTCTCCTCCTTCTCTCTTGCTCTCTTCGCTTATCTACCATAAAGATTCGACGAAGTTCTTCTTTCTTCTTTAAATCTTTCATTCTTCTTTGCTCTACAATTGAAGCTTCCTGCAGATCTCGAGGAGCTTCATGTCTACGTAATGTCTCTCTAAAACCTCTTTCTAACAGTTTATCGTGCGACAAGGCTTCTGGTGAACGTGAACGTGATTTACTTGCTTCTGATTCATCCAACGGGATAGCATTAGACCGCGTTGCCGCCAGTGCCTTGTCGTCTACTTGAGTGTCTACACGTAACCTATCCTTTACGTTCTCTGATAATGGAATTTCTAATACTTTCTCAAACAATCCAATGACTTCTCTATCTTTGCACGTGTAAGATGTAATACTAGGTGCTGATCCACAATTGCTTATATATTCCTCTTCTTTGTCATTATTTTGTTTTTCTTCCTCATTCATATGTTTGCTTGGCAGTTCTATTTTCCGTTTCTTCGTTGGAGGTTCAGCAGCATCCCTAGGTGAACCTAAATAATCATCTAAGACTTCGTTGTATTTTGGCATAGGTGGATGTCTCCGTGGTAGGCTATATAACTCCGGCATCTCAATCAGGACAACTGGTTCAAGGATATCATTTTGATCAAAACTGTCTGAGACGTTCATTAGAAAATCTGGTTGATCATCACGGTATTCTTCTGATTCATCCTTACGTACATCATCCGGTATTGATACTTCTTCTTCAACATGTTTTTCTTCTTCCTCGGCACGTATCGGGGCCCTAAAACTACGATCGTATGCCCAAGCCATTGTCCTCAATGTAGTGACAAAATTGTGTGTGTTTACTCCGAATTCTCCATCAGGGGACCAATGATGGAATGAGTTCTTGTATTCTCTTTGGGCCACTCGTAGAAGATTATTGTATTTGAGATGAAGAGCCATATCTATATGTGATTGAAATCCACATGACATTGCAAAAATGTAAGATTGAAACATACTGTTTTCCATTGCTAAATTGGGTGTGGCACCTTTAAATGAAAATGGTTTGAGCTGTGGATAATGCAACAATAAAAACCGACATACAGCAGGGGTAAAACATTTGCCCATATCAAAACCAGCTTGTATTCTCTCGGCATTAGGAGGATCATATAAGGGATCGAAAAGTCTAAGTTTGTAGTTAACTCCTCCAATAATTCTATCGTGCACTATTTGGTCTGAAAGCTCCAAATCTTTTATATAATCTTCATTTTGTGCAGTTATCTCATGTGTTCCTAAGTTATCATTTCTATCAACTGGATTATCTTGCTGCATTCTATGTTCAAATAAATCACCATCTTCAGTAACTTCGTCATTATCAACATGAGATGTGTTGTCGTGTTCCCTATAGTGCTGAAAATTTGCTCCACGATACTCTTTTGGGGTATACCGTCCAGAAGAGAATCCACCACCTCGTCTTCGCTTTCCTACGTATAACAGTCTCCCCATAGTTATAAATTCTAAATAATTACGTTCCTAATACTGAAAAGGAGAAAGTGTTAATAAATGTTGATTTTTAGGCTTTAGAGGCGACAAACGAAGTTTTTAAATAATGTTTCAAAAAGTCGTGTATATACGAAATTGGGTTTTACGAGGGGTAGAATCTTATTTTTTTTTTACAAAGATCGTTTAAACTTAGTAGTGCCAAGAACCAGAGTTATGGAGAGGAGTGTGGTACCATGATATGATGATTTCATTTGTATTACATCTTTATTTCATGGTCATTGTTATCTCTAGGCAATACCAAGGAGTATGACCACCTGAGGTCATCAATCTAAACAATTAGGCTACATAAATAAATCGTGCAGATTACTACACATGCACTTTAATGATGTCATTTGCATCCTTAAAAAATCGCCTGTTTCCAATTTAATTGCGACTATAAAAATAAAGCTTAAAATCTTTAAAATAATAAGTATATTCCTATTAGTTTTGAATGAACTTGGGTTTTTGAAGGCATTCACTGTGTCAAGCAGAAAAGCCTATGACATTGATATCCTTCATTCTTTGCAATTCTCATTAAGTGAAGATATTCGAATTCATGAAGTGCAGCCAGCCAGCGATATCAATTTCCTCCGGCTTTTCCTCAGTGCCTACTGTAACGATGAAAAATTACCGACATTGTTGAGAATAGACACCAATCCCTTTTCCGATTGACATTTAATATTAAATGATAAAGAAAAGCATGATCCAAGCTGTGAAGTAGAAACATTTAAGGTCTATTTAGACCTAAACTGTAAAAGAGCGATGACCATGTGTAATCTGTAAAATCTATTGAATAAATTGTAAAAAATCTATAGCAAGTTTCAAACTGTAAAACTCAAAAAAAAAAAATGCCTTACAAAGTTCTACAGATTAAGAAAAACTCAACATACAATCAACGAAAAGGAATCTTATTTGATTGACCGGATTGAATGGGAAACAACCAATCAACAAGTATTACCCGCTGCATCAACTACAAACAGCTATATTTATACCAGGCAAACCATCAAATCGATTGTAGGAGAACCAAATAGACCCTTTTTTTGATTTTTCTGCGTATATTAATCTTAATTCAAAAGAATCAACTAGAATTACATACACTGCTCGGAGTTTAGAAATGAATGGCAGTGGACAGAATAAACAGGATAAAGTCTCAGCTTATGACCTCGAAACCTACTCAACATCAAACCCAAATGCCCAAGGCAATAGTAACAAACCAAACCAATCCAATGTTCCTTCCAATTACGGCGACCATCTAACACACAATCTAAGTCATCCTAATCTTCTTTCAAACTTTCATGCAACGCCTGGGTTTGACACACAATCACCCAATTTCATGGATCCTAATTGGTCTTCTGGGTTATTGATGGATGCAAATGCAACTGACTATTTATACAATTTCGATTTAGGTAATCCCCCACAAAGCGGTGGTAATCACATCCCACCAGCAAATCCCAATTCAATAATGCACAATATTCAATATCAACATAACGTACCACCCCCAAACATTCTACAAGAACAAGAGCTTGGGCAATCGCGACCTAGCTCAGCAACAGACAATAGTAACAATGAAAGTGGGAACATGGAGAAACAACGTCGACCATGTGATCAATGCCGTAGAAGAAAGACCAAATGCGTAATTGTACCAAATACAAACAATTGTGTTCAATGTGAAGCCAAACAATTAACATGTACTTACATGAGTCAAGCTGTGAAAAGGAAACCAATAGATATGGATTCAACGCAAATAGCCAGTGAAGGTGCAATAAAACGTATAAAACAAGAAATTAATCCAAATCTTGCATTGATGCAGAATGATCCTTCATCATTGGTTCTGCCTGATGTAGCAATCCGTGATGTACCGCCAGTTCAAGACTATTCTCAAATGAACAATTCCTTACTAAAGAAGACACTTTCCTTACAATTTCCACGTTCTAGTTATTATGTTGGACCTACTTCCTATTTATACGATGCTCATCTCCTTAATTTAATTATGGATGCACAAAGTGCACAACAGCAACAACAACCGCAATCTTCAAACGATTATATCGAGCAAGTCAATTTGAATACTCATGTGTCCTTACGTAAAGTGAGCAATAAAGTTCTATTCGTTCTTAAGGATGATCAATCTCCACAATCATACCAATCAATGTCTAAAGATGTGGATACTATTGAAAAATTAGTTTCTCCCCATGGACAAATTTTAATTGATTTATATTTTAGAATCGTACATCCATCATACCCCATCATTCATAAGAAAGTATTTTTGGAAAAATATTCTCGAACTCATCGAGAATTCAGTGGTCCCTTATTGGCATCAGTATATGCATTGGCCATCCAATGGTGGGATTATGATCCTCAATTAAATAGGTTCCCTAAACCAAATGTGGAAATGATCTTAAAAATAGCGTATAATAATTACTTGGCTGAAATTTTGAAAAGACCAAAATTGAGTGCTGTACAGGCGGGATTATTATTACTTCAATGTAAGCACATAATCAATAGTAATGCTGTCAATGCTCAAGGACAGAGAACCCCCAATCAACAATCAGCTCCAACTAATTCTGATGTGGACTATTCAGAATGGGTATTATGTTGTCAAGTGGTTTCGTTGGCTGAAGAGCTAGGACTTGGTTTAGACTGTAGGAGTTGGAAATTGCCAAAATGGGAACGCGGATTGCGAAAAAGACTTGCTTGGGCGGTATATATGGAAGATAAATGGTTGTCATTGAAATTCTCGAGGCCGTCACATATTACTGAACAGAACTGGGTGGTTGAGTCTTTGCGAGATGAAGATTTCCCCGAGAAGCATGGTGATGGTGATTTGAAGGAAGGATCGAATGATATAGATAATGGAAAGATGATCTTTATGAATTTTATCGAGTTGTCAAAGATTTTATCAGAAATGATTGACCAATTCTATACTATGAAAGCAATGATTGACATTAAAGATGTGAATACTGTTTTGAAACTTGCAAAACCACTACAATTGAAATTGAGAAATTGGTACCATTCCTTACCTATAGAGTTACAAATGAGTTCAGTTCAGCCAAGGAAATTATGTGCAAATGGATATCTACAACTAGCCTATTTTGCTGCCGAGTTGACATTACATAGGAAGATAACCACCATTATCTTAGAACAAACCAAGGCAGGAATTCAACCACCAATGGAATTAATCAATGTATGTCGTAGTGCAGCAAAGACTAGATTAATGGCATCAATTGAGTTTGTGAGAGATTTGAAACCCGAACATATTCATTCATTCTGGCATTTATCTTCGACTGCAAATTTTACACTTATCGGAACTTTTGCATCTATTTTATTTATGTCAGCTCCTACAAAGGATGAAGCAGATTTTTATCGTGATCAAATATTTAATTATCGATGGAACTTGAAAATAATATCCAAAGGATTCGATCAGGCAGCTGATGCTTTAGCACAAATGGATATGGTAATCTCTCATATTCCTGGTTTGTTGAGTGATAATGTCAATTTACCAATTATGGCCGCAAATGTTCCGGATCAACCGCCACGATCGCCCCAACAACAACTACCACCTACGCATCAATCGCTGCAATCACAGTTCCAAAGACCAGCAAGTACAGCAAGCTTGACTAGCACATATGTGACTTCAATTCCGAAAGCAAGTCCCAATATGTTCAATAATGGTAAATTATCTCCCCAACAAAGAATGATGATGCCAAATCAAATGCGCGGAGGTGGAGGTGGTGCAGGTAGTGGAGGCAATAATGCTTCGATAAGCGAATCAGTTGGTGGTCAATCTCCTTATAACTCTCCCCAGAATATGTATACACCTGCTGGTAGACACGAATCGGTACATTCGCCACATGCAAGCCAAGCGTCGAGGAACTCGCCAATGCAATCACAACATTTTTCACCCAAGGAGAATATCAAAAGGCCAATGCCTTCTTCTAGGCATAGTAGCATTGCCCAAGAGCGCAATCTCCACTCGCCAGGTAATTCGAGAACTCCGAAAGGGGATAGTCCTTCAATGATGAGATCGCCTCATGCTACCAGTGCTCAAGGTAATTAAATGTAATTTCGAGAGGATAACTGTATATTTAGCAGTTACAATTACGGTGTATTTATATAACGCTTTATGTGTATGTCTCTGTAACCTAATAATCATGAATCTTTTTTATTTCTAAAAATCCTATTATTACACTATAGAACAACAAACATCCTTTTAATCAAATGGAGTCAAAAAAGATTCGGCAATCACTCTTGCTCTTGCATTTAAGAATAATTTCATTTCACTAATTTCCTTATCAACATCTTCCATAAACTCTATAATAAAATCAACCAATTTATCCTTCAACATTTGTTCAGTATGAAAATTAGTGATCAAGAATGATATATCATATCCCTTAATTGGAACTCGTCTCAAGATAAAGAAATTCTCGGCTCTAGATGTCAAGAATCTTGTGAATTTATGAACCAATATTTGTTCAATTTCATCAGCTTGTTTGATCTTAATTGAAATTCTAACGGAATTAATGGAAGGTTCAATCAAGATTTTTTCATTTTCATTTCTAGCTATCACCATTGGATTAAGAATCAATTCAGGATTATGTGTATTATCAACTTCGATTTCTGGTCTATTATGTCTTTCCACCAATTGGGATGAGAAATCTTGTAAACAGATTGCTGCTGTCAAAGAAGCTCTAACTGCTGTCAAATATGGCTTTAGGGATTGGGACTAAAAAAGAGTGTGTTAGCTATCATTAATTCTATCCTATCAATTGAATGTAAAAAGAATAAGAACATACCATTATTCTATTTGGTGAAGCGAGTGGGTGGATGTCTGCGTGTAAATCAAATGGATTGTTTTTGGTGGTTGTCAAAAAGGTTCACTGGGGTGAGTGAGAGAGGAGTCCCTTGATTAAAACAAATTTGGAATTTTCTCACGACTCATTTTTGAACAAAAGTACACGACTTATAACAACTGCCAACAGATTGTTGCAAAATCATTCAATTAGAAGAGAGAGATAGAGAGAGACTGTGTGTGTAGGCGTGAGACAGAGAGAGAGCGTGTTAGGTGGTATTCTTTGAACTTCGTTATGTGATTGTATCTATAGATTAGTAATTTAATAATACAGGTTTTTCAGTTTTAGCCTTTTTAGCATCTGGTTGTTCGGAGCCAATGCTCATAGTTCTCTTCTTTGAATGCTTTCTCAGAAGAATACTAGCGAATTCATCTAGTATATGCTTAACGCTTGCCTGCAATTCCATATCCATCTCTTTTGTAAGTTTCATTATTTCTTTGAAACCATCGAGCAGCTCAAAACTTTTAACCACCTCGCTTAAGTCCAAATCAGACTTTAGCTCATAGGCTTTACTTCCATCTGGATTGATCAACGGCTTCAACAGAATGAGCTTATCCTCATCACCAATCGAAATAAAATCTAGTTTGTCATGGCTGTGAGCTAACCAATCGGCAAACTCTCTTTCTGAATATTTCAAACTCCTTTCAAGTTTGATTCGTTCTTGTTCTAGTTGTATCTCGTATTCGCGCTTCAACGAAATGAATATATCCTCTAAATCTGTACCTTGAAGATTTAAGCTCGATAACCTGTCATCTTTTGCCTTTGATATAACTTCCAAAAACTCTTCCTTGGAGTTGAGAACCTTCTCGAGTGAATATGAAAGAGGGTCTTGCTTTCTTAAGTCCAATAAAACAGCTTCCATCAAGTCTTTCTTTAATTTCATTAATTGCTTCTTTTCATCCACTACATCCCAAAATAATTCTAAAGGAGTAGATCCATTCCTTCCACATAATTCAATAAAAGAATCTTCGTTTTCAAAAATGGAGAAAAAGTCACTAAAAGAAGAATTGGCATTTATCGGCAATGTTTTAAGAAATTCCCTGAAGTTCTTTCTAGCTTTTCTATCAGTTCTATAATTTTGTTTCTCTATTGTCTTGACCTCTTCTCGTATCTTGTCTATTACATTTGGGAAAATCTTACTTTCATATAAGTTTAATATATCCATTTGACTTAAAACTTGAAAATGTTTATTTGCCTTGAAACGGGAGTCTGTCATTAATTTCTTATAGAGACCTTCCCAGCTTTTTGACAGATTTACCAAATCAGCATTTATTTGAGTTAAGTATGCCTCTAATTCGGACAATGCTTGTTTCTTCTGAGCATCAAGTATATCGTCGTGTTCTTTCTTTAAAATATCAACATATTCATAAAACATGGCTGCCATTTCCTCGTCCAGCATAATTGAATGTCTGAATATTGGATTTTCCTCTGCAATCATGGCTTTTCGTATAGTAAGCCATCGAGTATTGTATGTGAGAGTCCCATTATCTTTCTTTTTCTTTAATTCATCATGGAAATTCTTTTTAAAATTGTCAACAAGAAGGGCTTTATTAGACAATTCTTCTCGAAATTTGGTAACCAAATATTCTTCATATAATTTCTTTCTTGTTAAAGGATCAGGAACAGCCCAATATTCTGGTTTCGAAATTAATCTCTCCATAACTGTCTGGAATGACCAAGTGGAATCAACATTATTTTCAGATAATAATTTGACATAGTCCTGTTCTGCGACTTCGGGTGGTTTCGAGTCTTCAAGAACCGTTGTCTCGATTGGCATGCTTTTCAATTTTTCATCCAATTCAGTCTCAGTTGAGGTATCAATCTTTTCAACTTGCGCTGCCGCGGGTTTAAATTCATCTGGTTTATCCCAAGTTGTTTCTCCGGTTCCTTCGTTATAATAATATATCCTTCCATCATCGGTCTTATATTCTTCCCATTTATTTACTTTGCCATTGTCTAGTTCAGCTCCTTCTGGCAAGGTCCAACTGGTTTCCTTAGTCTTGGAGTTGTAATAATAGATCTCGCCTTCCTCAGTTGTAACCTTTTCCCAATCTGACATCTTGAGTAAATGTACGACTTCAACTATTCTTCATCCATCCATCCCTCTTGTTGTCCCTTCTCACTAGCCAAAAAAAATAGGACTTGAATTTTATTCCGGTATAAATCACGTGACATAAAATCGGATTTCCTCATTTTTGTACTGTAAATTATGTGTTGAAATTTTGCAACTATCATACCGAGCCCAATTTCAATCTGATTTCGAAGCATTTGTTGTTACAGTGATGAAATTGTCTAAGAGCTGGAAAGCAAAGAAGACATTTAGCTTAGAGGGATCCAGTTCTCGATAAAAGACCAAAAGGATTATTTACGCTGTTAAACCTTCATAATGGTAGACTCGAAGGACTGACTTGTTCGCTTTGTCGACAAATTATGTTTGAGTCGACAATGAGGCTGTAAATAAACTGTGGTAGTCCCAATTTGAAATTGTGTAATTTTTTTGCCGTTGTCAAAATGAATTATTATTAGCCCGTTTACGAAAAGCTTAAAAGTAAATTAAATCTAATTTTGCAAAGTCGATTTTCATCCGAATGTGTAGTAAAACCGGTTATAGGTATTTTTTGTCAATTATTGTAATAACGGAGCTTTAACGTTCTTGGGTCGCTATTCCGATAACGAATATAGTTTCGAATCTGTACTGTTTCAATGAACAATTAGATTAGTTTTATTCTTATAAAGGAATATCTAAAGAACAAAGAAGAATGGAATATAATGTTGTTTATATATCATTCTTGAATAGAATTTTTCATAGAAGATTAAGCAAATCTTATAAATTAAAATTCAGTTCACGTGATAGAATCATTAAAATCATGAAACAACAAAGGCAACCGGAATATATTATTATTCGAGTCATTTTAAACTATGCAGCATGCATACTTTTGGATTAATTATATTTGTAGTGCAAAATCAAAGAAGAGGTGGGGCATTTTCGGAAGAACTCATTTATATTTCAAGAAATTCTGTGTCGGAATCTCAAATTATTGTTATCCTCTTCTATTGAGACTCCGGACAGACGAAGATTACAGGTACTTTGATTGGATATTTTAAACGTTGTGCGGTATGACAGTGTTCTGGTAACTACTGGAACAAGTTGCCATTCTCCGATGAAGGAGTGATTGATAACTGTTTTGTTTGTATTGAATATTGTTCCCCCCAATTGTTCCCACTTCAGCAAATTGATCCCCCAAAATTTTGGTCGCAAAATTTATTTTTTATGCACCCCAAACGGTACCGAACAAAATAAGGATCCCCCACCTTGCTTGGTTATAAGTTCATTCTTTCTTTTGTGTTAACGTTTGTACCACATACGCCGTAACGAGTGTTTATGTGCAGTGTCTTTCCCCCTGGGTAAAGCCAACCTTACATATGCAGACTGCAAAGCCAACATGCTGCAATTTAGTTTGATAAATTAGCACCCCGCCGGAAGAAACTGAGATCAGGGGTTTTAATTAGTTCATCCGATTTCAAAAGTCTAAAGGTAATCGAAACTTTGTTTGCGGAAAAATATGTTGAGCTAAGGTACAGCGAACAAAATAGAAAGATCAGTAGAATTGTTAACAAGCCTATGGTCACCTGACTTGGCATACATATAATTCATCTACCCAGCGGAAGCGTTACTAAAAAGGGTATAGTAACAGATTGTGAGCAAGAAATGCTTTTACAAATCTATTTGTGAACTGTGCAATTCATTGTTCAAATCCTTTGGGGATGTTTCATACACATCATTTAAAGTTTCCGGTTGCTGAAAATACGATGGAAAACACAAAAAGAAACCATCGCTAGATGTTGTTGCTCGGATCCCCCATTTTCCATTTTTCGCGGAAATGAAACGTTTATTAATTTTGGTTTTTCCATTGTGCATAAATTATGTGTCAAAAAAAGAATTTTCCATATTTTTTATTGTGTTTTCCTTGGGTATTGTTCCAACAAAAAAATGCCGTGGGGGATTTTGCAGCCCTCGAAGATGCAAAAGCATTGAAAGAAATCTACGTCTGAATGCTCCAAGTATAAATAGCTCAAACTGATCCAGAATTGTGAAAATATGCTTCTCTTTCTTTCCTCGTAAACATAACCAACAACAACTATGTCTCAAGATTTTAAAGATGAAAAGAAAGGAATTGTTTCCGAAGTGGAAATAGTAAGTGAGCAAGAGTTCAAATCAAACTATGACTCTGGTATTGGTGAAGAGTTAGAATACGTTGATCTCCCAGAATCGCTTCAACATTACACCCAAGAAGAATTGAAACAATTAGACAAGAAAACTACCAGAAAAATCGATCTCAGAATGATGCCAATGTTAATTTACATCTATATCTTAAACTATTTAGATCGTAATAATATTGCTGCTGCTCGTTTAGGTTTCTTGGAAGAAGATTTAGGATTGGTTGGTAATCAATACCAAACATGTGTCTCCATTTTATTCGTTGGGTATATTTTATTCCAAATTCCATCAAATATGTTATTGAACAAGATTGGTAAACCATCCATTTACATTACTGCAACTATGACATTGTGGGGCGTGCTCTCAACCTGTACTGGTGCTGTTCAAAGTTACGGTGGTCTTTTGGCTGTAAGAATTTTGCTTGGTACTATTGAAGCTGGTTTCTTCGCCGGTGCATTAGCTACACTTTCAAATTGGTACGACAAAAAGAGTCTTTCGCTCCGTAACTGTATCCTTTATTCTGGTTCTTTAATGAGTAGTGCTTGGAGTGGTTTAATTGCTGCCGGGATTATTGACAACATGGATCATAAAGGAGGATTGAGATCATGGAGATATTTATTCTTGATTGAAGGTGCTATTACAGTTGTGTCGGTTCCATTTGCATACATAATTTTACCAGACAACCCTTCAAATACCAAGTTCTTAAGTCAGGAAGAAAAAGATATTATCCAATGGAAATTGAGAAGAGATATTGGAACTTCTGATTCTGATGTTGAAGCTGAAGAATCAAGCTGGACTGGATTCTTACTTGCGGTTAAGGATATAAAGGTATGGTTAGTTACTTTAATTTTAACATTCTTGGTTGCAGCTTGTGGTGTTACTAATTTCTTCCCTTCCGTTGTTCAAACATTGAATTTCGACACAACAACCACTTTATGTTTAACTGCACCTCCATATTGTATTGCAGTCGTTGCAACATTTTTGTGGGCTAGACATGCTGATAAGACAGGAGAAAGATATTTCCATGTTGTCATCCCATTAATTGGTGCTTTAGTTGCCTTCATTATTGCCGCATCCACATTAAATGTTGGAGCCCGTTACTTTGCTATGTGTCTCATGATTCCTTCGTTATATTGTGCCTTCATTCTCATTTTGACTTGGATGTCTAACTGTTGTCCAAGGCCCCCAGTTAAAAGAGCTGTGGCGATTGCTCTTATGAACTGTATTTCAAACTCCACCTCAATCTGGAATGCCTACTTATATCCTTCAGGCGATGCTCCAAGGTACCTTACTGCCTTTATTTGTAACTGTGTATTTATTTTGGTTGCTATTATCTTTGCCACTATATTAAGATTTAGATTGAAGGTCTTAAATAAAAGAATAGCCGAAGGAACTATCGACTGGCAAAAGGAATTGGGTAAAGGTAATGATGCTAGTAAGATTGATCCTGATTTCAGATTCCTCCATTAGATTCGTTTAACTTTGTTAGAAGGTATTAATTCTGTATAACTTATTGCTTCTCGCCCCTTTGTATAAAATATAAATTATAAGAGTAAAAAATTGAAAGTGTAGATATATACTTGTAGCTATTTATAATTTATTGTCTGCCCTGTTGAATAGGCAACTCATTTGACCCAAAGCAATTATCAATTTTGCAATCAATTTAATAACGACATTTAGTGAATTTTTTTTTGCCACCAGCGACATTTTCCACTCCCTGCCAGTTGCCATTTTCTGTTGTAAAAAAAAAAGATAAAGAGAAGAAGAAGGAGGCAGTTACTTACCTTCTGTCAATTAAACAGTCACCCTTTTTAGGTAACACACCCCATACTATAAAGAACGAAGAAAAGGACACCGAATCTGATACTATATCAAGACACTAGGTTCATTTTCATAGTTTTTAAGAGATTATTTGAATAATAAAATAATACGAGAATTTTTTTTTACCTATTTTATCAACTGGTATTTGACAGCAACACAATTTAGCTAATATTGAATATGCCAAGAGGTAAACAATTCACATCAGAAAAGGAGAGCACTGTACAGAAAGGGAGCAATGAACAAGATGAGGATATAAACATTAGAGATATTGACCTGGTGACCGATGGAGCCGAAGATAGCGAACAAGAAAGTTTAGTCAGATTATCACAACAAACACAAGATAGACGTCAACGAAGCAGAGAGAGTTTCAGAGACCCACTGCTTCTGTCAGATGTAGAAAATAATGAAGATACCGATGCACTAATGGAAGAACCAATATTGGTTGCAGAAGAAGACGATGGCGACGAAGATGGAGATGGAGATGACGACGAAGAAGACGAAGACGATGAAGGGGATGATTCAGAAGATCACGATAATGAAGAAGATGATGAAGGAGACGATGATTTTGATATGGAACCAGCAGATTTCTTAAGAAGATTGCTACAACCGCGTTCAAGACCAAGACAAACGAATGTAGATGTCGACCATCCCGATGAAGTTGACGAGGAACATCACGACGATGACGACTTGGATCCTGATGATCCACGTGCCGAGTTTTTACGCGCTATTGGAGCACTTTCTGGGGGCAGAGGAAGTGATGGTGAAAATCAGCCAGCAGGATTTGCTGATGTCATGCAAAGATTGATTGGTAGCGGAATGATGTTTGGGGGTCGTGGATCTGGGGGCCAGAGTAGCGAGATAGATGCTTTACTTAACAATTTAAATCAAAGAACCGACACGTATATTATACTCGAATCATTGAATGAATTATCGGAGAGACTCTTGATGATGAATGGAATAACAGCTGAAAGACTTATTCCAGCAAATCGTCTAGCAAGAAGTTTAGTCAATATCCTTAATGATCCTACATTGGAAGAAGAATTGGAATTAACCTTAGTTGCATGTCGATGCTTATACAATTTGGTAGAAGTAAATCTAGATTTTATCCATGATGCACTTAACAATGATGCAGTTCCGACTTTGTGTAACAAGTTGCTAGAAATAAAGTATATTGACTTGACAGAACAAGCCTTACAAGCGCTTGAGATGATTTCCAGGGATCCAATCTCTCATAACAGCATTATCTCGAACAATGGATTAATGGCGTGTCTTCAATATTTGGATTTTTTAACGATTCATGCCCAAAGAAAATGTTTAACTATAGTTTCCAATTCATGCAGCAACATATCAGTTTCTAATTTTCCTATGGTTAGGGATGCACTTGGGAGTATTTCAGAGGTGGTAAGAAATCATAACGATCAAATAGTAGTCGAAAAGGCATGGTTAACTATATCGAGGATTATTGTATGCTTCAGAAATAAACCTGAATATCTTAACGAATTATTTGCGGACAAGAATCTATTACTCAAAGAACTCACTCAGATTATTTCTATAAGTTGCAACAAAGCACTGAATAACAATACTAATGACAATAGAGTTGTGTTGAACTACAGCTCATGCCTCAGCTTAATCAGTTCATTGACTATCTTAGCCAGTGTTAGTATCGATGTGTCAAGAATTTTGATTGCAGAATGTAATATCGGTGGTATTGTGGTTAAATCATTAAACAAATATGCTAAATCCAAATCAGAAGAGCTGACATCTACTAGTTCCGAAGTCAGCATATCAATGGAAGCTTTAATGGCAGCTCCTAAAGAGTTAACTTCTACCTTTTTAACGATGCTTGGATATTTGTTGCCCATCAACTATACTTCATCAGACGCATTGTACTTGAGAGATAACTTTGAAGAATACGACGAGAGGAAAAAGCTCAATGAGACTAGACTTGAGTTGTGTGAATCAATTATACCTAATGAATATCGTCAATTTGTCAGTGATATTTGGACCATGTTAATTATTAGTTTTGAAGCAACAATGGATTTTGAAATCAGGCGAAAGTCCTTCATCAATTTATACCGAATTATTAACTCGGTTGTGGACAATGATTTTTCATTTTTGGAAAAATTTGATGCCATTGCCAGGCTTTTAGCCTCTGTTGTCAACCAATGCAAGCCAACCATTCATAAAGAATTTGCCCACCAAAACCGAGAAACTGGATATATTCATGACGTGGAAATGGCAACTAGCGATAATGAAGGAGAACATTGTGAGGATGCCGATGACGAAATACGAAGTGAAGAAGATGACCACGATCATGATGATAGCGAGGATGAACATGAAGATATGCCACGACGCATTCGTGAAAGTCATAGAGTTCCAGAAAATGCCAACAGAAATTCCAATACATTACTTCTATCTGCATTCAGAATAATTAAAGTATTACTCGAAAAGGCGCCATCTATCGTCATTAACCCGTTTGAAAGAGAAGGTCTAGTCAAAGATGTAGATGTTATATTGGTTGATTTAACAGGAAATGTAGAAATTCACGAAATCAGACAAGGTACGCCCGTGCATTCCATTGCAGGTGCTTATTCTAGTAAATATATTGATACAGAATTTACGAAGGAGTATGAATCAAGATTAACCAATGAAAAGTTGTACAGCAGAATCTTACAAATAGGGACCGAAATTGATAATTTGTACAAATCTGAAAAATTCAATGAGGATGGAGCCAATATTACGGAACAGATGCAAATTCTTGAGAATATTAAAATTACACTTCTGGACCAAAGGATTCGGAAATTATTTTCATTTGAAGATTGGATAGGATTATGGGATACTTTTAAAATCACCTTGAATGGAGGTACTGAAGTTGGTCAAATCTCAAGTTTTGAATTGATTTCTTCTGGATTAATTGAAGTTTTGAGCAATATACTCTCTTGTGAAGGAGATAATGGTGGAAGTATTGATGTCAGTAATTGTTATCGAGCCTTTATTAGTTCATTCTTCATACGTGATGAACACAAAAATTCTGGTAAATTACTAGTGAGCAAACTTCAAGAAGCCTTAACCAGATCGGAATCCTTTGATATAGTTTCTGCAGGAACTGCAACTAATCCGTCCTTGGGCTATAATTATCTCAGAGCCGATCAAAATCAAGCTAGCATCATGGCAAATCAAATCAAGCTTAAATTATCTCCAGCTGAACGTGCTGGTACTGCAACTAATGGTATAGAAGATGATAAGATAGCGTCACTTATGCAGAGTATGATTTTGTCAGTCCATGCCATTGCTACATTTAAATCGGTATTTACGTTTTTGAAACAAAGGTTTAGATTGCTTGATGAATTATCTGCTAATGGGGCCAATAATGATGACGAGTTGGATGAAGATGGAAATAAGAAATCTAAAATGAATATAGAATTCTTGATAAATGGTGAAGTTGTGCCGACTGAAACCACCATCTATGGTGCAATCTATAGGTCCTTGCAAAGTAAACCAGATCAAATTATTGATCCTAGTAAGATTTGGTCAGTTGTTCATAATATCACGTATAGAAGGGTAAGTAGCGAAGTTCAAAAGGAGAGTGCGATTTCCAGTTATAATTTCAGTTATGATGAGAAGGAATTGGAAATATATGATAAACCTACTATAAGTATCTTGAAATTGTTAAGAATTTTATATGAAATGAATTCATTTGTGAAAAATAACATTGCTGAAGCTGATATTGTCCCCACCAAAGATTTTACAAATTGGAAATTAAGTGTTAAATTGAATAGACAATTAGAAGAACCTTTAGTAGTTGCAAGTGGTACATTGCCTGGGTGGAGTATTCATGTTACGAAACAATTTCCATTTATTTTCCCATTAGAAACCAGAATATTCTTCTTACAATCTACGTCTTTTGGATATTCGAGATTGATAAATCAATGGCAAATTAGAACTAATCAAGGTAATGAAGAAACTAATAATAACAACCCTAGTGGCCAGGGAACTCAATTAGGTAGACCTACGAGACACAAGGTTAGAATTTCCAGAAAAATGATGCTTCAGAGTGCACTTAAGGTGTTGGGAATGTATGGATCTACTCCAGGAATTTTAGAAATTGAATATTTCGATGAAGTTGGTTCTGGTTTAGGTCCAACTTTAGAATTCTATTCCACTGTATCAAAAGAATTCTCCAAGAAGAAATTAAGATTATGGAGAAATCAAGATTCGAATAACGACGATCCAGAATCATATGTTGTTTGCAAACACGGTTTGTTCCCATTGGCTATGGATAAGAATGCTATTGGAACTGAAAACGGAAAGAAGGTGTTGTTTTTCTTTTCTTCATTGGGTAAATTCATTGCTAGAGCATTATTAGATTCTAGAATTATTGATTTTAATTTCAATCCGGTATTCTTGAAGCTTGTCCAATTATTTAATCAATATGCCAACAAATCGAGTGCTAAGTTGTTAAGGAAGATGTCGACAGTGGCGAATTTGAGAATAGTAGATCCCGAATGGGCTGATTCGATTGATCATTTATACAAATATGTGAACCAATTCAAGACTGTTCCAATTGAAGAACGTGATTCTATTATGGTTGATGGTGCTACTATTAAGGATCTTGCTATTTATTTTGAACTTCCTGGAAATCCCGATTATGAATTGATTACCAATGGGAATGAGATTCAAGTAACGGCACAAAATTTGGAGATGTACATTAATAAAGTATTAGAAGCTGTTTTATATACTGGAATAATTCATCAAACTAAAGCATTCATGGATGGATTTTCAAAAGTATTCCCAATTAATGCATTAATAATTTTCTCGCCTCAAGAATTAGTTGAATTATTTGGAAATGCAGAAGAAGATTGGTCTTATGATACTTTAGCCTCGGCAATCATTGCCAATCATGGATATACAAAAGAATCAGATGCTATTAAATCTTTGATTGAGATTTTGATTGAATTTAATGGGGATCAAAAGAGAGCATTTTTACAATTTTTAACTGGGGCACCAAAGTTACCAATTGGAGGGTTTAAGGCATTGACACCTGAACTAACTGTAGTTAGAAAGAATGCTGAAGATGGATTGAAGGATGATGATTATTTACCAAGCGTTATGACATGTGCTAATTATCTTAAGTTGCCCAATTATTCAAGCAAAGATATGATGAGGGAGAAGTTGATGCAAGCCATTAGTGAAGGTGCTGAAGCATTCTTGTTGTCGTAGTATATATAGAGATTTATATCTTGTGAAAGAGTTAATGATAATTTAAACATATTATATATAATGAAATAAATTCCTGCATATAATTTCTCCCTTTGTGTGTTCGGAATTTCCACTACCATCAAAGGGATACCGACAAAAGAGAGACCACAATTCAGTTGAGAATACGTTGAAAACATCACACAGCAGCACAGTAAGCAAAACCATGTCAGTGAAATTGAACGAATTGGTTGATTCTTTGGTCAAAACATCTCCACCTGGAGAATTGACCAATGTAAACAATAACTTATCATCATTGATTGATGATAGTTCAGTTATTCAAGATTCAATTGAATCCTATGTGAATGAAAACAATGCTGTATTCTCGGGGAAATACATTGCTGGGAAATATAACAAACATCCAAATTCTTCAAAATATATTGATTATGTAAATGGGAAACTTTTCAATATTGACTTAAAATCAATGCAAGCTATTGATATTGAGCCATATCATGAAACAAGTGGATTACCTGGATATTTTAATGAATTGACTAGGAAATTAGAGAAGTATGGAGATGATCATTATCCTTCTAGTTATGCATTTACTGTTATTCCTGAGAACGATGATGATTCCTTGAGAATAATCATAATTGGTCAACGATTAAATAATGATAATTATTATACTGGACAATGGAAGTCAGAATATTTAATAAAGGGAAATGGACAAGTTAGTGGAGTTGTTAAATTAGATATTCATTATTATGAAGATGGGAATGTTAGATTGAAGTTTGATGAAAAGATTGAATCTACAACATTACAAACTGTTAATGCGGGAGAAATTGTAAATTTCATTAATAATAGTGAAACTAAAATCACATTGAATATTATTGATCAATTCACTCACTTGAATCAACAATCATTTAAGAATTTAAGAAGATTGTTACCAATCACTAGATCTAAGATAAATTGGGGTAATGCTATTGGAAATTATAGATTAGGTTCAGATGTTGTCAATAAGAAGTGATACAACCAATTTTATTATTACCTATTAATATACATACTATTATTAACCATTACTAGTATCTCTCTCTCTCTTTGTCTCTCTCTGTCCCTAGCCCTGTCTGTCTCATCACTTTCTCTCAGTATTTTAATTTATATAAAAACCATATTATAAAAAAGGCAAATAATATCATCCCTACTATTCTAGTTAGACTTGCATTTCTATTCATTACATTTCTTAAATCATGAGAAGTTCTCTTAACCAGTGTCATTAATTGTCCAAAATTATCATTCAATGAATCCAATATTGAATTCTCTTGTTGTATTGCCCCATGAATATCTTGATTAACGGTGTTTCTAAATTGATGTAATGTGCTTGCTAGTTGATCAAATCGTTGATTGTTCTGTTCCTCCCTGGTTGCATATAGTGTGTCAGCCATGCTTCTTTTTTCTATTTGTTAGTCTAAAATCTTTCTACTTAGTTGATTGTTGGTTTGGGATAGTTGGAGAGATTGAGGTTGGGAAAATTATATGTACAAAATATTTGTGCATTTACACACGACTATATGTATTATCCTTGATATTGCCTACTTAAAGTATCGCAAGGTATCTACATAAACTAATAAGGTTGAGAGGGTCTATTATATCCACTGTTACCAAATCCAGCACTTGTGGGTTGTTGTTGTAAGTTACCTTGTTGATAAGGATCAGAAGGAATGAAATTCGCAGGTTGGCCAGGTCCAGTGGGGTATGGAACCAGTTGTTGCTGTTGTTGAGTGTAATGTGACTGGACTTGTGATACTGGCTGTGTCTGTTGTTGTTGTTGTAAATACATCCCCGATTGGGTCGCTCTTTGAGATATCAGTCTGTCTAACAATTCGTTATATGACATAACTTCAGTTTTTAATTGATTATCCAAGACCGAAAGTTCTTCTTTTCTAACGTTATATTTCTCAATAATTTTTCCTAATTGAGGTCTCAAGGGAATAATTTGATTATATAATTCGGTGATTTCATCTTCATTAATACTTTGAGTATCTTGAGAAGATAATATCGACAATAATCTATCAATCTTTTTTTGTTCAACATTAATTAAATTATCTTCTGTAGAAAGTTCTTGTGAGATTTCTTTGGCTGATTTATTGACTATTGGAGTTACATAATTCAAAGGGAATATACCTATTTTACCATTGGGTAATGACCCTCTCCACCAATCACGATATACTGATTCAATCACTGTGATTACGTCACCTTTACGGAATGATAATTCGTCTTCTTCATAGGAAATCAAATCATATAATGCTCTAACTTTTGATACTGTTGCAACTGTTTGTAGTTCATTTGGTGGAGATTGATTAGGTTGGTTTTCTTGGGATTGTTCTTGTTGTTGTTCTTTCTGTTCTGGTAATGGTTTATTATCAAGATATATCTTCTTCATAGTTTGTTCTCGTTCATATTCTTGTAATGATAATTTAAGTGCCCTTTGTAATTCATCATCTTCTCTTTTCTTGTCTTTAGGTTCTATTTCATGTTTAGCTGGTTTTGAAGGTCCTTGAGTTGATTTAAAATATTGTTTATGATTTGATTTAGCTTTTTTATAAGCATCAGTCATTGGTTTTAAACTTGGATCTGATTTAAATGTGTTATACAATTGTTCAATAACTTCAACAATTCTGTATTTAACTGTTATATGTAATTTCTTATCAGATAATTTTGAAATCAAATTATCTTGTAAGAATGATTTAGTGGCGATTTCTTGTTTCATTCTAGAACCACAATTTTCAGCAATTGAAACAAGTAATGATAATGATCTAAGTATGACATTGGCATCTTTTGAGGATAATCTTGTTGAAAGTAGAGTGATTGCTTGTTTGGTTGATTGTTCTGGATCTGAAGATATCTTATCACATACATCCAAAATATATTGATAATTATCAGTAGTTAATGTAGCATCAGTTGCTCTATTGATTAAATGGTCTAATGATGGCATGATTTACTTTCGGGCTATATGAATCACTATTTCTTATATAATATAAGCTACTGGTTGACTTGGATGTTGTAATTGATTAAAAGAAGAAGAAGAATGGATTGAAGTTTGAATCTTACAGTCAGAAGTGACCTGGGGAGGCGCAACATAAAAGAAGAATGATTTTATATACAGGACATCCATTTTCTAGAAAGGTAAGGCTGCAAATCCCATAAATTAGAATACATGAATAGATTCATCTAAGTCAATTTGGAAGCAAACAAGAAGTTCCCTTTTTACGAGAGGTTTAGTGTTCGGTATTAAGATGGTAGAATCGAATGCTATATTTTTCGGTGGGTTTGCTTTAATCTACAACTACAATAAGACAAAATTTAGTAAGAAAACTTGAAAAAAACAACATCCACCCAATAGTATCTATTATTACTAGCCGTTGTAATTTACAAATGAAAATTTAGAAATGAAGCAAATTTCACTTTTCTAAGAAGAGAATTGATTCAATTGAATATCATGTAAGTGTTTAGATGACTTTGGATAGTAAGTGACTCAAAGTCATAAAAATTGAATCATCAATCATAATGGTTTTTTTTGTCTATGGGCAATTATGAGAGTCAACTTACAAAAACATCATTTTGTTGAATTTAGTCACAAATATGAGCCCTCTATATGAAAATGCAAATAATTTCAATCGTGGTAGAGAAGCAGAGGTGCTTGATAAATTCTCATCCATAATTGATATCATCTAAGAATGTTAAAGAATGGTCAATTCTAAAACAACAATGGGATGGATGATGATTTTTTAATTTAGGGGTAAAAAAGTAGCAGCCAATAATAAATTTAGTTTATGTACAGTATCTCCTATTTGTACGACTCCAGCACGGTAAATTAGTTTGACTTTCCTACCCTATAAATCATTTTAGTGTTTTATTCTTTGTACTCTCTACAACAAAACACAATAAAATACTTCTAATTTTTTACTTTATTACTCCTATTTTCATTTGTAAATATCTTCCATGTAATTTCATAATATAATTTAACTTACCACGGAAGGGTGTAGTTTGTCCGTTGAAAATTTACAACGCGCATTTTTAATTTTCATTGAAAGAAAGATTTTTGAATTTATTTTAATTTACTTCCAGAGAGTTTTTTTTCTTTAATTTTAACTTTTCTCTAATTAACTCTAACTTTTTGTCTTTTCAATAAATTAATTGTGTTTAATACAGAAGAGGAGGAAGAAGAAGAGAAATACTTGAAGAAAAGCTCTCATTAAAAGAAACCCAATAAACGAAGTTTTCAATTCAATTTACCCTTCAAGAGCGAAATTTTTTTTCTTAAGATTTTATTAATATGAGTTCTTTGACTCCAAAAGTATCACATGACGAGGGCCGTCATCGTTCTACTTCAGTTGGACGCATTGCTGTTGGTGACACAGCTTCACCTGGGTTATCAACTTTACACACAACCAGAAGACAAAGAAGGGCTTCCGATGCAAGAATCGTAGAATTATCAAGGGAATCAAGATCTGATGCTGCTATTATTCATAAAATTATTATTGCGTTTACTGAATTGACTTATAGACATACTTGGATTTATCCAGCTATTTCCTTATGTATACTCGTGTCGATATTTCTTACATCTAATGTTGAAGGTTACATTCATCAAACATTAAGAAGTTTTATTATTCCAGCTTATTATAATGAAGAAACAAATGAATATGGAAAAGGTGGTGATGACTTTAGATTCGTGGCATTTTATGCATTATTTTTCACATTTTTAAGAGAATTCATGATGTGTGTTGTTTTAAGACCTTTAGCTAATTGGCTTGGTATTAAACGTGAAGCTAAACAAAAAAGATTTATGGAACAAACTTATGCTATTTTCTATTATGGTCTTAGTGGACCTTTTGGATTATGGATTATGTCAAGATTGCCATTATGGTATTTTGAAACAACTCCATTTTATGTTAATTATCCTCATAAAAGTCATGATTTCTATTTCAAAATCTATTATTTGGGACAAGCAGCATTTTGGGTTCAACAATCAATTGTTTTAATATTACAATTAGAAAAACCAAGAAAAGATTTTAGAGAATTAGTATTACATCATATTATCACCATTGCTTTAATTTGGTGTTCTTATAGATTCCATTTCACTTGGATGGGTTTGGCAATCTATATCACTATGGATATATCTGATTTCTTTTTAGCTACTTCGAAAACTTTGAATTATTTAGATTCTCCAATCACTGGACCATTCTTTGTTATATTCATTGGGGTTTGGGTCTATCTCAGACATTATTTAAATTTGAGAATCTTATGGTCAATCTTAACCGAATTTAAAACTGTTGGTGAATGGGAATTGAATTGGGATACTCAACAATATAAATGTTGGATCTCACAATATATCACTTTCTTTTTGATTGCATCATTACAATGTGTTAATCTTTATTGGTTATTTTTGATCTTCAGAATCTTAAAGAGATACGTCTTTGGTGGAGTTACTGCTGATGAGAGAAGTGATGACGAAAGTGAAGGAGATTCTGAAAGTGGTAATGAAGATTCTAAAAAGAATCAATAAAGAAGGTGTCAAAACAACCAGTATGTGGTTAGAAGAAAGAAGGAAAGAAAGAAAGTAAGAGAGAGAGACCTAGGGGGAGAGTTGCTAGAATTTATTTGAGTATTTAGTAGCAACGCTTTAATAATGAGCGTTATTTAATTAATAATTAATATACAAATGTTTTATATCTTATTTAACCTATTATAGTGCATTTGTAATCAGTGATACCATGTATCGTATTGGTTGCAAAAAACACTCTTTCCGTACAAAAACTCCTATACTGAAGTTATGACTCGTTAAATGAAGTTATGACTCGTTAAAATTTCAAAATATCACATCGGTTCTTTATACTCCAACAAAGACGGGGCTTCTGGAGATACTATAACCTTAGTTGTTGGCTTATAGCTTGAAATTGGTTGGTTATAGCGGTTTGGAAGGAGTGCGTGTACCTACCACTATCATCAAAATTAAAAATCACATTCCGATCTGTGCCTTCACTCTACTGCGTTCACACATTGAGAGACAAGACAGGAGAGACGGACACCAAAGATGGACTATAGTAAACTACGTGATCTATCTAAGGATGAATTAATAGACAAAGTAATAGAATTAGATACAATACTAAATGAGTTTCAAGAATCTAGTAAAGAATTAGAACGAGCATTAGAAAATGAATTACAAGAACAAGAAAGAGTTCAATCAAATCTAGAAAAGGAGTTAAAGACAACTCAAACAAGGTTACAAGAGGCACATGCAAAGATACGAGAGTTGAATTACGAACTTAATGAATTACAAACAAATACTTCAATCACGATAACTAAACAACAAGATGAGATCCATAGTTTACAAAAGAAGCTAGTTAAGATTGAAATTGCCAATGATAGTATGGAATCTCAAGATCGAATAGTAAACAATAAATACAGTGTTGCGCAACAACTCAACAACGAATTGTTAGAAAAGATAGCAATTTTGGAAGATGATTTTGATCGAGAACGAAAATTGAATATTGAAAGACAATTACATATAACCAACTATCAGAATCAAATACGAGAGTTGAATGCCCGGATCGAGACGTTGGAGACAGCACAAAGTAGAACCAATACCAGTAATAGCGAAGAGGATGAAACTGGAACAGGAGATGTTTCAATGGTATCCATCCGAGAAATGTTAAGATCATCACCACCACAAGGATTTACCAATCCTGTTGATGTCATAAGAAAATCCACTTCATTAAAGAAATTGAAAAGTTTGACAAGAGATATAGATTTGGCTTTACATGGAAAGATACCGACCATCATTGGGACGGAACATAAGAGTACTCCTACTACTACTTATTCTGCAATTAAATCTCGAAGCAGTGAGGATTTGGTTGAATCACGAAAGAAGGAACGACGACTTTCCCATAGTAAGCGGTTTCTGGACTTACCTTCAATCAAGGGGTCTCCTTCTGGTACTCGAGTTGTTAATTTGGATCTGGCCCCAATTCAGTCCAAACCAGTTAGATTATGATGTATGGCATAAAGTGTAAAACGTTGTAATATTATTTAATAGTTAATAAATGTAATAAGCCATGTCGCATTATTATCTCTGTCGTTTAAAAAAGATAAATGTCGCGCTCTAATCGTGTCGTGAAAAATCTCCAAAACAACTTACACACAATTTTTTTACAACCACCTCATACTTTCTTTTACAACAATCAATCAATCACTAGTTGCTATTCAATTAGGTAATATTTAACAGTTTATAGAAAGTCCAATACAATCAACTGACAAACAAAAATACTATAGAAAAAATTTGTGCAAAATGGATCAATTCTCCGATCTTCTCAATCGATTTGATAAATCAGAGTTGTTGACATATTTAATCAATCAAAGTGGGATATTAAGCAGACATGAAGTCCAACAGGATTCAGACTATCAAATTTATTTATCACAATTATATCAATTGATTGAACATTGTAAAGCTGATACTAATAACAAGAAAGATGCAGAATTTTTAGAAAATCTTAAATTATCAAATTCATTAAACTTGTATAAATTGGTATCCAAAAACTTAGTGCTTATTTTACACGAATTACCTTCAAAAGTATTTGATATTGCTAATGGATTATTAAGTTTTGTATCATTGAATGAAAATGGTGAATTGGATGTTATAACTGAAGTTTCAATTATTGTTTTGATTGATTTGTTTGATGCATTTCCAAATTCGCTTGGTTCGATAATTGGGTTTGCTGTAAATCAAATCTTTAAAATAATCAAAAAGAATCCAAATATAAATGCAAATTTAGTCTATCTTTTAAATTCAATCACAAAGAATGCCACTAAATTGGATATTGATGAAAAGACTCAAGGGAAATTATTGAAGGTTGTTACAAAGGCAATCATTTCACCAACTATTTCGTATGAAATGTACTCTGAAACGGGACAGGAGAGTTCTTCAAATGTATTGCTCAAAAAGAATTATATGCTTTGCTTCAAAAATTTAATGTTATTGGCAGTATCTTCCAATTATGAAGGATTATTAGCTCAATCTACATCATCGTCTTCTGCTGGAGCCAAAATGAAACCAGAAGTGATTATGAATACTCAACATCAATTTCAGTCAGGATTATTGAATACTCATGAAAAAATTTTCACATATGGTTTGACCAATTATTCAAAAGAAATAAGAATTGCGACCGTGGAATCCATTGCAAATTTGTTGACTAATTTTGTGCCAACTGAAAAATTTAATCCAATTGAATATTTAATTACATTATATCCATTACCAGATTCCAATAATTGGGACCAATCACTTTCAGTTCAGATCGATGATGATGGCGAACCGATAATAGATGTACGAAAGGAGAAGAATACCATCTATGGGCATGATAGTGAAGCAATCATTAATTCAAATTTACATATTCAATTGCTTCAAATTGGAATAATTGAATCATTGATCTTTTATATTCAATTAGAACAATTTCAAAATCCAGAATTTTTATCCCCACAAAATTTGGTTAATATTCTTGATTTAGTCTTGTGTAAATTTTCCGATTTAAATACTGTTGCTGAAAACCATATTCAGAATTCCCACTGGAATAAATGTATAAAACATTGGCAAACATTGGTGGAATTTTTGATTCAGGAATCAGGAGCAAATTGTCATGAAATATTAACTAGTTATATTTACTCAAACTTCTCCCATAGTAACGAAAATGATGAAAATGGAATTAGTGCCGTTGCTGCCACACGAAAGAATTTGAATAAAGAACGGAAAAGAGAATCAAGGTTATTTGGATTTAAAAGCAAGTCTAGTTCGAAAACTAAGCGTGATCCAAGTGGGAAAGATATCAAGCCATATCATAATCCATATCAAGCATATTTGTTATTAAGTATCATTGAAATTTTATTACCGTTTGGAGTTAATTTTGAATCCGTTGCACAACTGAAGGTAATCGCTCCCTCGGAAGATACTGGCAGTGAGGCTCCTGTCGACGGTGATGATGATGACTTGAAATTGGAAAAATCAAACGAGGAAAATGTTTCATTTATTAGGGATGTCTTCTTTAGATTAATCGTTAATAATGACTCGTCGATTAGAAATTATGCGTTACAAACATTATTAGTATATGCTAGGAATAATGAAGTTGAAATTAATCAATTAATATTGCATGCATTCAGATTAGTTGATAAAGAATACAAGCACGCGGATAATACTGATAGTCATTCGTCCAAAAGTGTTGGCTCATCAGAAGATAATATTTGTGGGATTACTTCCGTGAAGCTATTAAGTTGTTCGCTTGCCTTGCTGTCTTTGATAAAGCAAACAGATCCAACTTTATTACAAAATTCTACAATTGTCAAAGTATTAAGTTTTTGCACTCAAAATTTGAAACATAACAACAATGCAAAATCAAGCAATAAGAATTCAGGATGTTGGCTTATTTTATCTTCCTTGGTCACTTTGTATAATTCTTCCGAATATGTCAGATTGAACTCTTCACAACTTTTAGTGTTTTGGAAAGGGTTATTAACCTCACAATTTATTAGCAGTACGTCAGGTACTTCATCTACTAATCCTCAAGAACAGACTCAAGAAATCGTTTGGAATTTAAGATTAAGAAATTTCAGTTTAATTTGCTTATTGAATTACCTTAATTCAGTTGATTTGACGCCTGAATCATTGAAACAAATTCAATTCTTATTGACTAAATCGTATAATTATATTTCATACCTTGAAAGTAATATTGATCAAGTTGGTGCAGTAACCTCACTAAATAGTACCAATTTTAACGAATATAACTACAATGTTAATATGATTCATAATGTATTATATTCAAATTACTCATTCAGCGGTCAGTTATCTAGTGATAAGATTATTATAAGTTTTATTTTGTACAGTAAGAAGATCCTTTTGCAAAGTTTCACAAGATTAGCAACCTTACTCAAGAATGATATCAATTCAAACATGATCATATTTTTGATTAAATTGTTTAGTGATACTAAGTTATTTTCAAGAATCCCATCCACAGAAGTTGAAAAAAGTAATAAATCAAAGTTCAAACCAATCGGAGAGGTTAGTGATCTTAATTATGATCGAGTTGTGCTATGTGAAGATTTTAATTACTCGTTTGGAATTACCAGTAAGTATCAACCTGGCTCAGCAAATATTGATGAATTGCTAGTGAAATTCCCGTTCCATAGATCAGATGATGATATTTCTACTACAAGTGTCAAAACGTCAGTGAAAACGACCAAGTGGGTCAGAGAAATATTTTCCAATTCGGTCACCGAATTACCAAAATCATCAATTGAACAAGACTCTACAAAACAAGTAGGTGCTTGGTTTGATTATTTTGAAAGAATTGCATTTCTGTCTGTTGAGAATTCAATTAATTATGACCCAAATGTTTTATTATCACAGGATTATTCGGCCCAAAACAGATATAGCTCCAACTTATTGACTTCATTAATTGATTTGTCTATTGAGTTGTTTCAATTGGTTTTCCCGTACCTTAGTTCGAAGATTCAATTTTCATTGTTGGAGCAAATTAGAAATTCATTGACTGCAAAATTGATTGATCGATTAAGATTGAAAGCGGTTCAAATCAATGTTAGCATTGCCTTACATGGAGTTGTCTCGAATATGTTAAAGAAGAAGATTGGTTTGAGTGATAATATTGCATTATTGATTATTGATATTATCAAGAGAATTGATTTGAAAAGTGATGATCTAGTAAAGGTTAATTCTTCGACTATTGGATTAACATGTACCTTAATTGATAAAGATGGAACTGCGGGCCAAGTAAGCACACTTATTAATGACATTGTTACTAATCCTCATCCCCATAACAGAGGATTCTCAATATTGTCGTTGTCTTATATTTACCGTTATTCACAGCTGGGATTTTCTGATATTTTTAATATCTCATTACAATTATTAAACGACCCAAATCCAATTATTGAACATTATACTTTAGAATCAATGATTAACTTATTTGAATCGAATTTGGATAATCTTTCATTAATACCAACTGTTTTAAATAAGTTGTATTCCAATTATTTGAATGATGCATTCGGATACGAAGTCTCAACTATGGTGTTTGTCAATTTGAAATGTGAGTACAGTGCGATGGCTCCTATGACTAAGTTGTTGAAGTCCTTTATTACGTTGCTTGGCCCTGCATTAAGAGACTCTTCTAATGTTGATAGAATCAAGATTAGAAACATGATTATATCAATAAGTTATGGAATTGGATTAGCTACTTTGAGTGATTATGCTGAGGTATACAAATATTTATTAGGGTTGTTCCAAGAATTAATTATTTTTGATCCAAATTTAATTGAAGGGGAGGTTGGATTTTTCAGTGAATTATTGAATTTAATAATTTCTAAAAACTTGAAACTTTCATTAGCTAGTATTTCATCGACATCGTTAAAAGCAGATGCGATTTTCCCATTCAATAATAGTTTTGATTTGTATTCCGCTGCTTATGAATGTTATTATGAATTATTGAAGATATTTGGGGTTGATATTTTGACAAACAAGGAAACGATTAATCTACTCTGGATATCAATGAATATAAGACCTTGTCCAGAATTAAAGCAGTTTATTAAATTATGGCTTGAATCCAGTTTAGATAACAATTGGTTTGGAATTTTGAATTCATTATTTAAGCTAAGTTCTAAGAAATTGATTGGTCCTTTTATTGAAACAAATTATCAACAGAAATTATTGCCATTGCTGCAAAGACTGAAAAAGAAATCTTCTGCTCATGTAGACTTTAAAGATGAAGAAATCGAGAATATTGTAGGCGACGAGAGTGATGATATGAATGATAAAAATGAACCAATTACTTGGGAATTCAAATTGTTTATCTACGAATTGTTAAATCATTTATTGGATCTTGCAAATAAGAATGCCAAGTTGATAGAGAGATTGAAATCCAAGATTCAAGACATTGTGAAGCTTTCTTTCCTTGGATCTACGTCACCAATTAATGAAATCAAGGTACAGGGTATCGAATTATTGGATCGTGCATTGGGGTTATTTGGTGATTTGGAGGACCCATTGTATCCTGGTGTATCCATTCTCGAACAACAACAAGCTCAAATTATTAGTACGTTGGTTCCTTGTTTTGCTCCGGGAAATGATTATAGAGTTATCGTGGATGCAATTAATGTTTCATCAAAATTTATTAATTTACCAAGAATTAAATTCTATTCTAAACAAAGAATCTTAAAGACATTAATCTATTTATTGGAAGAAGTTTCTGCCAACAAATTTTTAAGATTTGGTTTCTTAGAAAGTATGAGTGAATTTGGAAGGAAGTCCATTCAATTATCAATTTTGAATTGCTGGGCTGTTTTAAAGATTGATATGCAAGAAGATCCACAAAATAATAATGCTGAACCTGAATTTTTGGAAATTTTGAATAAGTATTCCAAATTGTTAACATCTCTTTGGATATTGGTGTTGAGAGAATTTTCCACTTTGAAATATAGTGAATCTCCTAGTCGAGAACTAGAGATCTACGGGGACTATTGGATTAATCTTATTAGTGTTTTGAGTTTGGAATTAGAGACTAATCCAGAGTTTGTTGATAAATATTTGTCTGGTGACGCTCAAAATTTTTTCTTTATATTGTTCAGTCAATGTGTGGAGTCTTTGATTAGGAATAAGAATGTAACTGAAATTTTGGTTTGTGTGAACAGATTGGTCCAAAATGGAGAATTAATCAATTTATTATTCCATGAAGAAATTTTCGGAGAAGTTATTGATTTATTTGATAGATTGATTTTAATAGATGATGATACTGAGATTCAGTGCGATTTGATTGATATCATAAGTACCATTTTCCATACTTACGTCAACAATAATGAAAATTTGGAGACTGGGTTTGATAAATTGTTTGAATTGATTAGAGTTGCTATGTTACCTCTTTACAAGATCCTTCCATTTTTAAGAACTGATTATGATCCTACCAACGAAACTAATCAATTACTACTTAGGCACGCCAACAGTGCTCCAAATTTATTAATATTAAGGAAATCATTACTGAAATTAGTTGAGATTGTTGGATTGTTACCAGAAATGGTCCAACCTGATTTATATGCTTGTTTGCTATACATTTTCGCCAAGGTTTATGAGAGTAAGAATAGCTTATTGATTTCAGTAGTTATTCCTCATTTGAAAGAAGTAGTAGTCGAGTCTAGGAAATTTGGAAGTGATTTAATTGAGACCTTTAGTAATACCATCAAGAATTACTTCGATATTGATAAAGAGAACAATCATTCGGTGATCACTATGATCATATTAATTACCAATGGAGATGTCAAATTGCAAGAAAGAGAGTCTGAACAATTGGCTGTTGCTTTGCTTCAATTGTTGGAAAGTGCGGAGACGGCGCCTACTGCCATTCAATGCATCAAGTCTCTAATCCAGTACAGCTCCAAAGCGAATGTCAACCTTTTAACAATCAAGTTCTTAGTTACGGATTTGATTAAGCATGTTGGAGAAAGTGAAGATACAAAGCAATATAATATTGATTCAAAGATCGCATTTGAGATTTTGTTTTTATTCACGAAGTTAGTCAAAGAGCAAGAAAAGCAAGTTGCTTTATATTCCGTGTTGGTACCATTGATTCTTAAGTACAATGATCGAGAAGAAGTCTCTCGTTCGTATCTTAATGAAAAATTATTATTCTTGGTTCAACAAAGTCCAGAAAGTTTTAGAACAGTAGTGAATAATACGCTCAGCGAATCGCAAAGATTAATAGCGGGAGAATTGGTTAAACTGGCTCCTTCCGTTAGTCAAAACGCTGATTCATTTGAACAAGCTCCGGAAATACAATTAAAGACATTTGGTGTGTAACATTCTCTACTAATTTAAAGAAATATGAACTTAATTAACTCCTAGATAAGTGAATATTAATTTAATGTAAAAAGAACTTAATTAACTTCTAGATAACTGAATATTAATAATTGATTAACTTTCTCTGTGTAAGATTGTAGACGATATACGACTTGCTTCAATTCGTCTTCCTATCCTGACGGATCCTGTGACTATTTTCTTCTGTATTTTCAATACTTATGCTGAGTAGTGATTCCGTTGGCTATTTGATATCATATAAGCCAATATAAAACCTAGTTGCAAATTAGGACCAACTAAACTGTAAACTACATTTATCCAAATTTTACAGTTTACTTTAAATTGTAAACGAATTATTTTTTATAAATTATCAGGCGCGTATTCCATTCAACTACGCGTCCTGGTTTTTTATTTACATATTTTTTTCTTCATGTTTGGACACTGCTTTTACCATATGAAAAGCAAGCAACTTCAAAATGACGGTAGCTTGTAGCTTGGAAACATGCGCCATGGAAGTCGATTCTATAAGTCTAGGGGACTCATCTTTATTTCTCCAGCCGCCCCTGAAAGATGATACAACTGAACTTAATTTACAACAGTCATCACTTTTCAATGAATCATCGTTCGATGGAAATGAAAACGATGAATCTGAATTGAATTTACAACTGTCCTTACTTTTCAATAATACAGCCGAGCAAGGGCCAATCGATTCTACTCCAGAATCTTCTGAAACTATGCAGATTGATGACCTTGAATATATATCACCAATTTGCTTGCCGATGAAAGAAGTTAGATTGCTAAATGATTCAACGATTAAGTTACAACCAAGAAGCGTGAAAAGAATCAAAATCGATGACACACCACTTGAAGGGACTTATATGGATATGGATATCCTATTCAGTGGTGCTAAGCTACTTACCAAAATTAAAGAAAACAAGAAAAAACTAGACCAAGAAACCGCTGAAGTGAGTCCCGAAACGCAACTAGCTGCCTGCACAGCACAACAAATATGGACGGAGAAGTATAGGCCAAACAGCTTCATCGAATTATGTTCAGCCGGAAATGATGGCCAATATAGACACATATTACATTGGCTCAAAAAATGGTCATCTGTTGTATTTGGCGGAGAATCCAATTCGAATCCCGAACAAGTTGATGCTTTAGGTAGACCTCATAGGAAAATATTATTGATACATGGGCCTCCGGGAATAGGTAAGACTGTGATAACGCATATCTTGGCAAAGCAGATGGGATATAGTATACAAGAATTGAATGCATCTAATAGTATGGATACTCTTCCCCAATCAGGAGCGTACGGTTCTAATAACGGGTCGAGTGCATTGAAATTAAAGATTGTAAATGCAATGACTTCAAATACCGTAGTTAATGCTTCTAAGAAGCCTTCTTGTTTGGTTATTGATGAAATTGATTCTTTGGTCAATGCTAATGATGTGGTTAAAATTTTGAATGAATTGATACAAGCAGATCAAAGGGCCACCTGGAAGAAATTGAAAAGGCTGGTATTTGATGAGGGCGAAAATAAGAAACCGAATAAAAAGAAGGACATCTTATTAAACAGACCTATCATATGTATAGCCAATGATATCTATTCAAATTCTAATGGGAAGTTTGGAATCAATCCCATGGATAAATTGCGTCCCATCTGTGAAATAGTTCAATTGAGAAAGCCAATGTCTACCAAAACTATATCTGGGAAGAAATTAAGTGGGAATGGTATAAAATCAATCAAAGATCATTTAATGTGGATAAATCAACGTGAAAACCTAGGTCTTGACAATCAAGAAGTCAGTGAGATTGTTGAGATTTGTGACGGAGATATAAGAGCATGTATAAATCATATCCAATTCAATGGACGTAAAATGCATACTCGTTTTGATGACGAGAGGACAAAGGTTAACGGAAGTAGTGGTAGATCAAGCATGGATAAACAGATTAGTTGGTTTGGAATGGTTGACCAATTATTTAAGCGTGATGGACAAATGTCGAAAGATGAAAATTTTATGCACTTACTAGAAAGATTCATGAGTGGATCTGGGAAATCAGTGGTCAGCAACACAAGCTCATTTGACAAAGTAATGAAAGGGGTATTTAATAAATATCTAGATGTGGTTCATTTACAAGATGATTCTCTTAGAGGACCATGTATTCTTAGCGATTGGTTAGGATTTTATGACCAGTTGGGAATTTTGCAAGACAATCAATACACTACTTTGGTTGGATTGAAGGTCTGGTCATTGTTTAGTGAAATAAACCCTCAAAGAATATCGCAGTCATTGATTCCAAATGCAAAGAATCTTGAATTTGAATCATATGAAGGATTGAAACATAATAGAAATGTAGTGAAACGGGTGGCTGAGAATTTGCCTATACAAACTCAATTATCTTTAGGTATGAATCTGGAAGTTGTATCTACTTACTTTTTACCATACTTGTCCAAAATATTATCACCAAGTTTATCATCAAAATTGAAGTCCAACTTAAATGAAACTGAAAAGATTCAAGTGGAAAAAATCACCGAATTAGTCAAAGATTTTAACTTAGCATTAGAGAATGTCAAGGATACAGAAACAGGGATAGCAACACTAAGGATAAATCCTAATTGGGAGACCATCACTATTTTCGAGAACGAGTATGCACCATTTCCTGTAGCAACTATGCAGAAACACATTCAATTCAGAAGGCAATCATTATTCCCATTAATAGTTGCTGAAATGGAAAGGCTCGATATGATTAGAAAATCCAAAAACACCAATAAGGGAACTCTTAAACACTCTAGAGCCGATGAAGAACTCCAACATGATATCAAGAGTAAGAAAATCAAGATTGAAAACAGTGTTGATTTTTTTAAAGGGAAATATCAGCAAGTTAATTCCAAGCTTTCAACAACAAGAAATTCTAATGACCAAGAAGCGTTTAAACCAGCTAGAATTTGGGTTAAATATAACGAAGGGTTCTCAAATGCGGTACGAAAGAATATTGGTTGGAATGACCTTTGGTCATTATAAGAAAGGTTGATGTACAAATTAATAAATTAATAATTCAAATGCCCTTCAATGTATATTCGTATTATTAAATTCCCCCCCCTCTATCTAAACTTACTCTAGAGAGCAATCTTCGACACACCCCCAGTGGCATTCATATTGAAACATGTCTTCGCCTCTTTATTTTTAACAAGTGGCCAGCTCAATGATTCTATAATTAGATCATTTATACTCATATACTATAAAAGGAATAATAAAATTAATTATAAATAAGATCCATATAATAATTATAATTTATATAAATTTATATAAAACGAAACAACACATAAATACTAAAAATAAAATATACTAAATTAAATTAAATCCTCGAAATTATCAAAAACAATTAAAATTATAAATACCGAAAATGTAAATCAAGAAACTTTGAAAATAAAATTATCCAATAAAAAACACAAAGTAATTAAATAATTACTTTATTAACTAAACCTGAATGATCAAGGAAATAACCAACAAGATCAAATTCAAATATATACCAGATGCTGAACCATAATATATCGAAATTGACTCAGGTGTATCGTAAATCCCACTTGGAGTTGGTTCAAGAACACTAACACGTAATGTTTTAACAGGAATTGGAGTACTATTACTAACCAAATCAAGTTGAGGAGTCTCAGGATTGTTAGCAGGATCTGTGGGAATACCAGTCGAAATTGTTGAACCGGGAACTGTTTCGGCTGTTGGCAAGGTAGGAACAAGTGACGAAGTAGATAAACCAGCCTTGTCAATATCAGGTGGATTATAGCTACTTCCTGGACTCATGGGCTGTGTAGTAGAAGCCAATGGGGTTTTACCAGTACCAGACGAAGATGTGACACCCTCACCTTCTTTCTCTGACGTAGTAAAGGTAAATGGATCATGATCCTCTAAACTTGTGATATTGCGGTAAGGAATGGCCATTGGTATCGAGGAACTAGACAAGGACGCAGGTATTCTCTTCGACGAAGATTTGGACTCTGGGATACCCAGATATTTCGATTCTGTTGCTGAATCGGACTTGAATGTATCGACGGATATATCACTTGATTCATGGCTAATTTGATCAGCATCCGAGCTTACTTCTGTTACATGCGCTGTTGGCATAGTAGTCATAAATTGTGATGTGTACTCTTCCTGACTTAATTCAGAGAATGTTTCAGTTACTCCCACATATATTTGCTCTGTTTCCGGATCTGGCTCATCGACTGATGTTGCCGCTTTAGCTTTGACTGTGGTTGACCTAACGATACCATCAGGTCGAATTGGAATGACCACAATAGTCTCAGTTTCTGGTTCTACACTTGAATCATCCATCTCAGGAATTGGTTCTGCATCGGTTGTTTCTGCTTCAGCATCTATTGTGGTTGACCTAACAATACCATCAGGTTTGATTGGAATGACCAATATAGTCTCAATTTCTAATTCTATATTTGAATTATCCATCTCTGGAATTTGTTCTGCTTCTGTTGTTTCTTCTTCAGTGTCTATTGTGGTTGATCTAACGATACCATCAGGTTGGATTGGAATAACCGAAATAATCTCACTCTCTAATGCTGTGCTTAACACTCCCTGAGCCGATGAAGATGTTGTAAACTTACCTTTAATTGTAATAGATGGAATTTGCGAGGTCGATGAAAGACTACCGACAAACTCCGAGTTTTCATTTAATGGAATTGACGAACTCTGAGATGACAGAGCCGAGACTGTCAAAGCCGGATACTTGTAATCCGATACTGATTCACTTGCTTCAACTACAACAGGAACATTGATAAGTACCGTTGCAGTCGTACCATCTTCTAGCGGCAATGTGGTTGTTTGTGAATATGATTCATCCCAAGAGACAGTTGTAGTCGAATAAGCGATAGGACCATTTCCACTAGATGTTTGACTACTTTCTCCAACAAAATCAGGTTCGTTCACCATACTAACATGTGGGTCGCCACGTACACTGGTATTCTTTTCAATTGGAACAGGAACATTGATAAGTATAGTTGCGGTTTCACCATCCTCATAAGGTAACGTAGTTGTTTGTGTATATGATTGATTCCATGTGTCAATAGTGGTAGTGTAAGACAAAGGATTCTGGACACTAGAGGCACCATCACCTGTGGCAACATAGTTAGGAACATTGACACCAGCTACTAGATCACTTGTGGTTGTGCTGCTTAATTCTGTTGGAACAGGAATATTGACACCAACTTCTGGATCACTTGCGGCTGTACTGCTTAATTCAATTGGAATAGGAACATTGACACCAGCTTCTGGATCACCTAAGGTTGTACTGCTCATTTCAACAGGTACAGGAACATTAACAACAGCTTCTGGATCACTTGACGTTGTACTAGTCATATCAACTGGAACAGGAACATTGATGAGTATAGTTGCAGTCTCACCATCCTCATAAGGTAACGTAGTTGTTTGTGTATATGATTGATCCCATGTGACAATAATGGTAGTGTAAGAAAGCGTATAACTTCCAATAGAGGTTTCACCAGCTTGTTCGCCAACATCAGGACTACTATGTTCGCTGGTTTTCGGGTCTCCCTGCACACTAGTGCTTTTTGCCAATGAAGCAGGCTCATCACTAACTATAGTTGCACTATCATCATCCTCGTAAGGCGATGTAGTTGTATCTGAAATTGTTTCATCCCATGTAATCCTAGTACTAATATAAGAATCAGCATCATCAAATCTAGAAATCTCAGCAGCTTCATCAGACAAATACAGTTCATAAGAATCCGTGTCTGGATCATCCCAATAATTAGCGCTTATTTGTGTTGGAATAGGAACATTGATAAGTATGGTACCAACTTCAACATCGTCGTAAGGCAAGGTAGTAGTATGTGAATATAATTCTTCCCAAGTGATAATAACAGTAGTATAAGACATGGGAACTTGAACAATAACAGTAGCAGTTTCTCCAGCTTCGCCAGGAATAGTAGTCATACTTGAATACAATTCATCCCAAGTGCTAGTAATTGTTGTAGTTGGAATAGGAACATTGACGGATACAGTTGCAGTTTCACCATAATTGTAAGGTAATGTCGTTGTTTGAGACGATGAGTTGTCCCATGTGACAGTGGTTGTAACATATTCAATTGGAACTTGGACAATAACAGTAGCAGTTTCTCCAGCTTCGCCAGGAATAGTAGTCATACTTGAATACAATTCATCCCAAGTGCTAGTAATTGTTGTAGTTGGAATAGGAACATTGACGGATACAGTTGCAGTTTCACCATAATTGTAAGCTAATGTCGTTGTTTGCGAAGATGATTTATCCCATGTGACTGTTGTAGTTGTATATGAGACTGGGACTTGGACAATTATAGTTGCTGTTGAACCAGGTTTCGCGGTAATAGTGGAACTGCTCGAAATTGTTTTGTCCCATGTTGTGGTTGTTGTCACAGTTGGAATGGGCACGTTTACCGATACTGTTGCCGTTTCACCATTTTTGTATGATAACGTCAATGTGTCTGAAAACGATTTATCCCATGTAACAGTCGTAGTTGTATATGAAACTGGAACTTGGACTATAACAGTTGCTGTTGCACCAGGATTCGCAGTTACGGTGGTACTGCCGGAAATTGTCTTATCCCATGTGGTTGTTGTTGTAATGGTTGGAATCGGTACATTGACAACTACAGTTTTTGTACCGACCCCTTCAATAAATGGTAACGTTGTGACCAGAGTTGTTGAACCAAGGAAAGTTGAGGTAGTTACGAAAACTGCTTGGCCACTACCCCCAGGGGACGAATTTTGGTAGGTGCTCCATAAAATTGTTTGCAGCCGGGTTACTTTTGTAGAGCCCTTACAGGTATATTCATTGACATATTGTACCTTATTCGCAACGCCTGTATTGACTTTCATAAAAGCTGTTAAGAAAGGAAGATAACCCAGTGGAATATTCTGATAAGAAACCAGGTACGAAGTAGCTGTACACAGAACCGAAACAGCAGAAAGTTCAGATGCATCCGTTGGAACATACCACTTGTTTATCTTACTAGTTAGCCCTTTATACACAGAGCTGCAGTCTATGCTAACACCAGATGCTAGGATTGTGAATCCAAGTTTACCGGAAGTGTATCCATCAGTACAATGACTAGCCGAAAGATAATGGAATTCAACATTCAAGGAAGGTATAACTCTACTTTTAATAAATACATCGGTTGGACTCAGTAGTATATCTCCTTGAAATTTCGCGGTTGTTGAAAGAGCTCGATCACCGTCAAAGAATGTAACAACATTATCACCATCTTTCCATCTCGTCGAACAAGTCAAATCTGGTTCCAAAGCTGATCCACCAACGTTGAATGTTAGTGGGAATTTGATAGTCCCCTTGGCCTCGGTATTCAGTTTGATATTATCCAGAGCTTGGCAACTTAATTGGGAATAAGAAAGAATGACATCACCTGGTTGGAAAGAACATGTTGCATAGATTGTGTCAGCTACTTTTAAGTCAACTGTACTTGTGGTTGCAGTGAACTTAAACACACATGGTAAGGTCAAAACAAAAGTGTCTTTGGGACTCACTTTTCCACCGTTAATTTCCCAAGACATTGTAACGACCCAGCTCGGGTTTCCTGGACCATCAAATCCATAGTTTGCACCTTGTTGATAAACAATCGAATCTAATGATGTAAAAATCCCGGAAACGACTGCACAGTTTGCGAAGGAGTCTAAAAGATAAAACAATAAAATAAAATTGAATAGCATTTTGATTTGTTGAATCTTGGGTGCGGGAACATATCAAAAGAAAAATAAACCACAATTACAGGAGGACAGGGAAATCACCCTTCCTTTATACAAGTGAGCTTAGAGCAACCCATGCTTCAATGTTTCTTTTGCCGGAAATTCGTTTTACCGGTTGGAATTTTATTTTTTGCGGCAATTGAATTTTGCTACAAACCATATACCCAACCCAACAAATTAAAGCAGGTTCATAACGCAATACACAAGAGTCCAGGTTAAAGGAGCAATCTTGCGTAATTTCATTGCGTATCAGATGTCTGGTAATGTTGTGTGGAAGCTTTCAGAATAAAATGAGCTATGCTATTCTTGGGAACATACGGAGGTTGTCTTGTATTGAGATGGACGATGTGACCAATGGAATAGGTTATGGCTACATGATCTGTGCCGCAATTGGGTAATGTGCCAAATTAGGAAGGCGTATCCGAATCATAAACTTTATTTTGAGATTTAAAGTTTACATGATCAAAGCAAATGGAGCTTAATTCTCAAAACGAGAAGTGACATTCCCTTTAACCCATTGCCTTGGCATAAGAGTAAGTAAACCTTCAGCAGCAACAATTAATTTATCATAGATATATGATACTATGTCAAGAGCGACTTAAAACTGCAACTCCAAGCTTATTAGATTCTCAACAAAACTGAATATCTTGATTTGCAAGGTAATACAGGGAGACCATGCGTGCGAGCTAACATCCTAAAGTGTCCAATGAACTCTTCGTGCCGGGCTTTGAAGGTTGTGAACTTGAATCTGATTTCAGAATCCATTGACCTTTTTTACGCGAGTGGAGTTTGTAATGGATGGAAACAAGAACTCTTAATTCAAAGCTCATATAATATGGTCCAACTTCAGAAAGAATCTCATTTAAGAGCCCTGGTTTTATCGTCTGATTTTTCTGCCCTGGTGCCCAGTGAAAACTAACACTCGTGAAGTCTTTCCTTCTAGAATTCGTTTCTAGATCACACCAACAGCTAATTTTGTCTTCTTTCAACGGACTTGTTCCCTCTTATCTGGCTTATACAATCTACCTTGTTTGGTTAGACCTAAACGGACGGCTCAATGTCAAAATACTTTAATTCTCGTACTTTTAGTAATGGTGCTTTTCTTATTACGTCTCATGCAGCATTTGCTTTATTCCGTTTTCGAGTTTTCTATGGGTGATGTTGCTTTTTATAGGTATACAAACCGTTTCTAGGCTTTTGTAAAAAAAAATAATCTTTTCTAAACCAATTCTGTTTCTCAAAGTATCAAGTGGGGTCGATCAAATTGTGTCAAATGAAATATCAACGTACCCATATTATTAAGGCGTCCCATTACTCAGCTGGACGTTGTCTTTGACCCGGGTGTGGAGTATCACTTAAAGATGTGTTCAAATTACTCGGGCGTGATAACATTCAAGCCGCTCAACCTTGTTTGTTCTTCTTCCTCCCAGGGCCCACAACTTTAAAGTATTAACTAGCCCCACCAATAAACCAAGAAAATTGTTTAAAATCTTGGCTCTTTTTTCTTGGTGATCAATTCTTGACTGATCCACAATATCTTTCCCTAAATTCCTGCGGTTTCAGGGGGGGTTTTGAGAATCCTCGGGGTTCTGTATCTTTTGCTCCGCATTACAAGGATCTCTAGATTGGAAAGTGATTAGCAAATTCAGTAAAATAGACTTGCTTTCTTTTGGGGTGGAACCCCAGATCCTAACATTTGAAACAAGGATTTGGCTAAAAGTAAATTGCTAATAAGATTGGTCATTATGTAATATAGGGAATATTTCTCAAAGGCGTGTGTCTAATAAAAAGAAAGCTTTGAGGCGACAAAACATTGGATATGTGCCATGGGTATTTATTGGATGAAAGTATTGATATGGAGCCCTGACTTCACCATAGTTGAAATACGCGTATTGGAAAATGTTCCAAGAACAAAGGAAATGAAGTTGATATTGTTTGATTTAATTAGTTGTTCGTGTTGAAATTAATTAGTTAAGCCAAAACTTTATGAACAACGATAAGTGAACAATAAAGTCGGGTAACGCCGTCCTAAGTGCTAAACTGAAAAACAAAACAAAAGTGGACAAAGGCCATAAAATTGAACTATTTATAGTCATATATGGTTAAGGAAAATAATTAATACATTCAAAGAACAAGGTTTTATAATATCGATTCTACAAGTAAATTATAAATTGATCACTCATCTCAACTTATTTGTAGTGTTTCGAGTCTCGAATTTTTAATAATTTGGTCAATGGACACACAACCGAAAAAATAGATTATTCAACTGATAACTGGTGAAAAGTTTAATGTCGTATCCTGCATATTAGGGGAGTAAGGGAGCCGATGAGAGATTGAGAGTGAAAAAATTTTCATCACTCACTATATAGCACTTTATCCTTTGTATAGTCTTTAATGGAATTAATAACTTTGTATTTAAATAAGCTAGCTAGGGAATTTCTTACTAGATTAAAAGTCAAAATAAGCTCATAAGAAATACAAAATGTCATTAAACGAAACAATCATCACCGAACTCGCCAAAAATTTCGATGCCGAGTCCCTCATTAAAATTTGCTCAATCTTATCCAAAGGTCAAGGTCATGGAGAAACCAATACCTTAGAAAAACACTCTAAGGAGTTAATCGAAGACCAAATCAACAAAATCAAAGAGTTAAGTGAAATCAACGAAAACAACTATGAGGTTATGGCCAAATGGGCCGGTTTTGTCGAAAATTTCGAAGGCGAGTTTCCTGGGTTAATTAAGGTCATGAAGGACAAAGACTTCAAACAAAAGACCACTTATGAATGTGAAGTGATAGGATTTTCATATCATCAACCAGAGAACCAGGCATTCATCATCAAAGTAATCGAAAAATCACTTACTAAAGCGTTCCTTCCAAAGGCAAAAAATACCGGATTATCTCGCGAAGAAATTTCAGCAGGTACCATCTTCCAATTAATTGAAAGCTTTGACAACCCTCAATCAGGCCAAAAGATTAGTAAAAGATTTTTAGCAATGGTCAATAGTTGCAACTTGGCGTATGAACCTACTGATAACAACGATACCATGATTCGTACTTTCATCAACTATGAAGTTAAGGACAATCATAAGGAACATGAATTCATCAATCAATTGCCAGACCGGTTACAGCATGCATTCTATTATAAATCTTCGATTTCAAATTGTTTCAGTGCAGTATTGATTAAAGCCTATGTGAACCATTTCAGAAAATGGAAGGCTGATGAATCGATAAAATTACCCACGATATCACTCATTAGAATGGAAGTGCAAAAGGACCCAGAATACCATCAACTTTCCACCGAGCAAAAGAAAAGAAAGTGGGAAGAGCAAACCGAAGTGAGAAGCAGGAGAATGAGACACAGTAACAACGGTGGTTTCAAAGATTCTTACACTCCAAGAAACGGGGACAAAAACCCTCCTAATAAATAAGAAGTAGGTGCTAGTTCTAAACAAATAAACAATATAACTCGTAGAATTAGCAAAACCAATCACAGATGCACGATCAATCACTTAATGAATGATAGCTCTACTCTACTCGTGTACGATACAGCAGCAACTGATTCAGTCATAAAAAATTCACAACTCTTGAGCAACTTAAAACCGAGCAAAGAGTCACTAAATACCGCAATAGACCTGAAATTCCGAACAACAAAAATTGGAGAATTAAAAATTTCAGTAAACAATAGCGAGATGAATTTGTCAGAAGTATATGTAGCACCAGATGTCAGTTTCAATCTAGTGTCAGTCAATCAATTAACTCGTGAAAATGACTCAATTTTCCTTTTCAACGCAGAACACATGTACACAATAGAGAATCAAGAATTAAAATTGATCGCGGCCAAACCATCCAACATCAATCTATATATGGGACCAGTTAGTGGAAAACTCAAACCTGAACGAGAAAAACCAAGCAACCCTTTCTTCAAACAATTCACATATGTTGGAAATATATTCATGGGTCAAGACACAGACGATGAAGACACAATAGAAGTACTTGACGAAGGTTTCGAAGAAGATAGAACATTCGAAGCTGAAGCTGATCCGTTTGGGTCAACAAGAAGACATGACGACGAGACAGAAGATGATGAACAAGTTGACCTATCAGGAGTCCCACTGGAACATATTTCTATTAGCAGTTTGCCACAGATAGTAGCTGATCCCCAAGGGGTCAAAGACTTATACTACCGTCACATTAGTGGGAATCATATGCCAATCAAAAATTTATTATCAGGTATTACGAACGGAAAAATAAAAGCAATTAGGAAAGCCGGCGACGTAGAACAATTGAAACGATGCGAAACATGTCAAGTATCCAATATGAAACTATCATCACATAATCATGTTCCTCAAAGAACTGTAACGAGGAGACTCGAATCAGTACACAGTGATACCATGGGCCCATTCAAAACTCGAAATGAATCCAAGTACCTCACAACCGTCATCGACTTTTACTCGAAATTCTTGAGGATCATCACAAGTACAAAGAAGTCCGTAAAGCAAGACGTCATTAATATACTCACCATTTGGAACAATAAGTTCCCTGAAAAAATAGTACATTTTCGTTCAGATAATGCACCAGAACTACCAAAACAGAAGGACCTTTTTCACCTAGGTATCGAAACAAACGAAATTCCGATTGGTACTCCACAACTTAATGGTTTTGCAGAATCAACAAATAGAAAAATTTTATTGAATATTTATCGATGCTTATTGAATTTCAAAGGACAACCATGCATCCTTGACGTATTTGACCAAATCATCGAGTACGTAGTCACCATCATGAATCACACACCAAGGCCAGAATTTAGCGGGAAATCCCCGTTTCAAGTGTTCCAGAGGTTACCGGATTACCAATTTCAACATTACCAGTTTGGATTGGATGTCTTAATCAAATGTCTGTCCAAGAGGGAAGCACAGAAGTTAGGTATCACTCCCCAAAAGACATTCCCATTAGTAGTCTATGGTTTCTTTGTCGGATATGGATCAGATACAGGAGTTTATAAAATCAAGGTCTCCACTAGAAGATACCCACTAATCCTCACATCAAATGTTCGCTTCCTCAACAGTATGAAGGTCATTAATCATTTCCTAGCAGGATTCGGAAGTCTATCAGAAAACTTGTTTTCGGAAACATACGAAAAAATCATGGCAACAGAAATGTGGCAAAATGACGCACATGAAATTTTCAACGATGATATCCCAAACCCAAATAATAACGAATTTCAAACCGGGGGAGACGATGATCAAACTCCTTCCTCGGATCCAGGGGAGAATATCACTCTCAAAAATCAATCAGTCACAAATCAAAATTCAGATCACATTCCACGGGATGAGTGCAACGCGACTGGCCTTTTAACAGAAGATCTTTCGAACCCTCATCAATCACCAAATAATCATCACGAGTGCAACGCGACTGGCCTTCTAACCGAAGATCTTTCGAACCCTCATCAATCATCAAACATTCATCAAGAGAGCAACGCGACTGGCCTTCTGACCGAAGATCTTTCGAACCCTCATCAATCATCAAACATTCATCAAGAGAGCAACGCGATTGACCTTCACACTGAAGATTTTTCGAACCCTCACCTTTCATCAGACAATCATTCATATGCGACTGGCCTTCTCAATGAAGATCTTTCGGACCCCCATAACGATCAACACCAGACAGACATGAGTGACCTTCCCGATGAAGATCTCTCATCACATAATAATCATCAATCAGAAGTGGATGAAGCTTCAAGTACTTCAGATCAAGATAATTCAAATCATATTCCCCGAATTCACGAAGAATATTTCCCACAGGATTCAAATGCAGAATCACTACCAAGATCCAGTTGGGGGAGAATACGTAAACCAAACCCCAAATACATCAGTACAATAATCCGATCCATGAGAGAGAACCCAAAGTTCTTCAAAGAATATGAATCAAAACTAAAGTTAAGAATAACAGATCCACTTACCCACGAGGATGAAAACCAAAAGGATGAACAACAAATGTATATAAATGCTGTATTCGATGATTTGCTTGAACTGGACCCCAGAGTGAAAGAAGCAAGAGAAGCAGAATTAAACAAATTCAAAAAATACGAAGTTTTCAAAGTAGTCAAGAGACCAGAGAATATTAAACCAATGACAACAAGATGGGTAGATACTTATAAAGAAAACGATTTGAAGGAACAAAAATATAAATCAAGACTAGTAGCACACGGATACAAACAAAAGGAAGGAAAGGATTATGATCCTACCAGAGTCCTGTCTCCTGTGATTGATTTAGTATCCATAAGAGTACTTACCGCAATTGCAACAAAGAATAAGTTATCAATACATCACCTAGATATTCAACTGGCATACCTAAACGCTGAGCTTACTCACGACAAACCAATATATGCACAACCACCTCTGGGAGTAGATATCCCAGAAGGTCACTGTTGGTTATTACAAAAATCAGTTTATGGAATGAAACAATCGGGATTTGAATGGTATGAAAAATTAAGCAAAGTCTTAGGTGAGATAGGGTTATCTAGAACAGAAAATAAGGGAGGTTTATTCGTGGGAAAAATAAACGGAGTTGAAATAATAGTAGCAATCTACGTGGATGATCTATTCATGGTAGCCCAAGACGAAGATGTATTAAACACCTTCAAGGAATCACTCAACAAATATTTCGAATTAAAATATTTTGGTGAAGTATCAGAATATCTCGGAATATCCTTCGAAACCCATAAATGGGGGAGAAGATTATCACAAGAAACGTACTTGCGAAAGTTAATCACAAGCAACAACATTTCCAATAAAGAATATAGAACCACACCCCTCCCGAGAGAATTAGAAGTAATATTACCAAATGATCCTAATGCAGAATTTTTCGAACCAGAACCAAAAAAGGACATATTAAATGAAGGGGACAAGAAAAGGTACCAACAAGTGGTTGGACTGCTCCTCTGGGCTGCTAGAAATACAAGACCAGACATTGCTTTCGCAGTAAACCATCTAGGATCAAAATGCTCACAACCATGCAAACAAGACTGGGAACATATGAGATGGTGCCTTGGATATATAGCTTGCCATCTTGAGTACTACTTAGACTTCAAAATTAAGGATCAACATGGTGAAGAAAAGGATTTCACTATTGAAACATATAGTGATGCATCTTTTGCACCAGAAAGAGATAGAAGATCAATTTCAAGTTACTTAATTTACATGGATGGAAATTTAGTTGATTGGCTGTCATGTAAACAACGTGTGATAACTACAAGTACCCAAGCATGTGAGCTTATAGCACTAGGAAGAGCAGTGAATAACACCATGGATGTAAGGCAAATCTCGGAAGCAGTTGGTTATAAAGTAAGAAGAATCTACGTATATGAGGATAACGAAGCCGTTATTAAAGCATGCAAGAAAGAACTGACATTGCATAGCAGGAGAACAGTCGAGATCAACCTAAAATTACTACAACAAATGATACGAGAGAAAAAATTTGAATTAAATTACGTGACCAGTGAAGAAAATCTATCGGATCTCCTTACTAAACCAATTCCTAACCCCAAATTCAAAACATTACTGGAACAAATCAATAGTAGGAACCAATGAAACTTGTCAAGTAATCATTACCCCGGTAATAATTAAGGGGAGTGGTGAAAAGTTTAATGTCGTATCCTGCATATTAGGGGAGTAAGGGAGCCGATGAGAGATTGAGAGTGAAAAAATTTTCATCACTCACTATATAGCACTTTATCCTTTGTATAGTCTTTAATGGAATTAATAACTTTGTATTTAAATAAGCTAGCTAGGGAATTTCTTACTAATAACTAAAAAAAAATTGTTTGCACAATCACTCAGGTAGAATGGGTGTGTAAAATGTAAAAATACCAACGATCTTGAACATTAACATTTCTGGTTATTTTCTCCTTTTTTCTTAAAATAATTGTATATTTATAACATACTAAACTCTAAATAATATATAAATGTGACCGAGTATAGGGCGACATTCAAATGACTGAATATGGAGAAAATACCTTTATCTTCCCAACAATATTTTTACAATTTTTTAACCAAAATATTGCAACCAAGCATTTTTATTCACTCATTCGCAGTTTAATTCCTCATATTACTAAAATACACAAAAATGTGACAGACCACATTACTTGCAGTCATTATTATGAGTCCTACATTTAATCGGATTTAAAAATTTTCGATTCTAACGAATTTGAGCAAAAATCGGAACTCTCCGCCAACTAATCGCAATCAAGTGATTAAGAATTACATGTACAAACATTCTTTTGGCTGCACAAAATCAATTCGAGACTGAATGAAAATTGTAGAGATATATTAATCTTGAGTCTCCTTCAGATGCACATTTCAAACTAAATTATTGCTTAAGTTAGTTAAGAAGAATGTTCTATCGAAGATAATTTTTAATGCTAGGATCTACATCCGTTTGAATATTATCGGATGATGAAATTTTTCTCTCCAAGCTTGCGTAATAGTTTATTGCTCTTTCTACTCATTCATTTCATATCATAAATTCATTCGCTGCCAATGTCACAGATTTGACTACATCCACTACATTCACGTTAAATAAAGATGAATAATAGTCACTAAGACTTTGCGACAAAGATGTCACAATATTTAGTTATAAATTCTTACCAGTGTCCATATGTGTTAAATAATAATATTCTTATAAGCACCACTTTTCTGGCTAAAAATGACTATCTTTAAGGGTTTCATATCTTCGGTTCTTAGTTTATTTCGTTTAGATAGTAGAATCGAGAAATATCAATAGTTATCAAAAAATAATATTTAAAAACGTATCAAATGGTTGAGTATTTCATGAGCTTTAAGTGATGTCACTAGCTTTGTGAAATCACAAGTCGTGAATCAAGTACTTGGATGACATTGACATAGGTACTCGTTTTATACTAATCAGCACCATGAAATTATACCACGGAATATGAAAAGAGTAAGTAAAGCGCTTTCCCTTTTCCTCCCGCCAGCTCGCAATTTAAGAGTGCTTCATCAAAGTTGTGACAAGTAGTTAACATTATTGTCGATATTGAGTTCGCAGGACCTTTCCAGATCGGACATTTCGAAGGACCTCTACCTAGTTAGCTGGAATTTGCCAGATCAACATTGCTGTGTATATTGATAATTTGTTAACTGGTTCATAACTTGATATACCACTTATTTACATCTGCTTAGTTCGTTGTTAGCAATTTACTATTCTTTTAGAATACATGATGTCCATCATAACCTTTTCAACAATATTGTTATTTCGTGATACAAATACTCAACGACACGGCTATTGGATTAATTTACTTCACTGAAAACTTCGTCCATTTTTGTGGATAACAAAGATGGATTTTGATTTATCGGGTCATTAAACTTGTGCGGCACAGAATAAACCAGGAAATGGTGGCAAATATTATTTGCAGCATTCGCGAGAAGAGACTACTGATAATTCCTCAGATCCAAATCTGTCATCGAACAAAAATAAACATAGACACTATATAAACTACATAAACTATATACTCTAACCCATACATCAAATTCATTGTAATGGGCAACACTCGATTTCGAAAAAGATAGCATCAGCGATAATCAACAATACCGCAATGAGTCTAATCAAGAAATAACTCAAACAATCAAACAAATAAATAAAAGACACAAGTTAAGGACAACAGTAGATGCCGATCCATCATATATCGGAATTGATTCAGGTCCTTGCTCAGAAGCACCTGGAGTTGCTTCAATAAAACTAGCATATAACGTTGTTGTAGTGGAAAGCGATATACGCCCTTCAGTCGAAGGAGCATTAGAAGATCCTTTGGAACCTTGATCCCCGTGCAGAACGGAGATGCTTGATTGGTGCATGTCAGATGGAACATTGCTACCACTATCAGGAGTAATGACAGTTGTTGGAGATGGACTTTGTTGTCCAGTAGAGCCTGCACTACCTGTCTTGGTTGTTTTCGTTTTGTCGATGGATTCCCATTCGGGTCCAGTTGGTTCAAGAGAGGTGGTTTGTACAATCTTTGAACTTGCACCTGATTCTGGTCCTGGTAGAGTCAGCGAGTGTTTTGTTTGTGGATTTTCTTCTGTTTTCGAAGTAGATTCGCTTGCCGATTCGGACGCAGAAGCTTTCTGACTTGATTCCCATGTTGTCGATGTTTCCTTCTCTGGGGGTTGCACTTCTTCAGATGACAACAAAGTTGATGATTTGTCGGTCTCCATTGTCGATTGTTTCTCACTTTCAGACTCCCCTTCATCACCGGTGGGTGAAGGTCCCTCCCAATCAGATGTAGATGATACAGACAGAGAACTAGATTGCTCATCACCTGATGTAATATCAGCGCTTGATTCCGAAGATTGTTCCAGGGTGGTTTCAGATGGTGTTCCGTTTGGAGTAGTATCCTCAGAGGCAGAAACAGCGTTGGTTTCGATTGATGTCTCTTCATCCCTTGCGTTGGTAGTTTCATCTTGCGGGTCGGATGATGTATTGTCATCCAATGTTGTGGTGGGTTGAGCCTCTGGATCAGTTGATTCCTCCAGGTTCATATCAGATGGGGTTGGATCCGACGAAATTGGATCGTCATCAGACTCATTGGTTTCGGTTGAGGTTTCTTCGTTCCATGCTGTAGTAGTTTCATCTTCCGGATCGGTTGATACCTCCAGGTTCATATCAGATGGGGTTGGATCCGACGAAATTGGATCGTCATCAGACTCATTGGTTTCGGTTGAGGTTTCTTCGTTCCATGCTGTAGTAGTTTCCTCTTCGTTCGTATCAGATGGGGTTGGATCCGACGAAATTGGTTCGTCATCAGACTCATTGGTTTCGGTTGAGGTTTCTTCGTTCCATGCTGTAGTAGTTTCCTCTTCGTTCGTATCAGATGGGGTTGGATCCGACGAAATTGGTTCGTCATCAGACTCATTGGTTTCGGTTGAGGTTGGTTCATCCCATGGGTTGGTAGTTTCATCTTCCGGTGCGGTTGATGGCTTTGTTGATGGATTTGGAATGGTGGCATTTGGATCAGGAACTTGATAAATCTCAGTGGCTGTTTCACCTGGCGTAGCCGAGACAGTCGACACACTTGTATACGTCTTTTCCCAAGTAGTCGTTGTTGTCACAGTTGGAATTGGCACTTTGACAACAATAGTCTTAAAACCTACTCCCTCACTGTATGGTAACGTTGTTACAAGAGTTGTAGAGCCATAGTACGTTGTGGTAGTGACAATTACGTCTTGACCATTTCCTCCTGGAGTATCATTTGAATAAGGACTCCAGTTAATTTGTCGCAGGTAGTTCTGTGCCTGTTTTGAACCCCGACATTTAAATTCACTGGTGTAGTAAACGCTAACAGACGTACCAAACTTAACTTTCATTAGGACAGATAAAAATGGAGTATATCCCAGTGGAATATTTTCAAAGCTAACTTCATAGGTAGCTCCATTGCATACCAAAGAGGTGGTAGAGAGTTCCAGTGAATCCATTGGGAAATACCAATCGTTGAAATCTTTAGCCAAGCCTTTGCCTTGACTGTCACAGTCAATCGTGACATCCTCACTTAAGACCTTGAATCCTATTTTTCCGGAAGTGTGGCCCTCGGAACACTTACCAGCTGCAACGGAATGTTGTTGTTTGTTTAAAGAAGGTATAACTCTATTTGAGTATAGAATCTTCTCAGGCTCGGACTTGTTATCTCCCTCAAAGCTTGCAGTTGTTTGAAGTTGGTTACTACCATCAAGAAACAGGATAACATTGTTACCAATATGGAAGAAAGAAGCACACCTTAAATCAGTCTCGAGATGAGAACGACCCAGGTTGAACGTAAACGGGAAGTTAATTTTACCACTGGCATCAGTTTCAGGTCTTATCGCATTAGCTACCTCACATTCTAACCTCGAATATGATACAACGATGTCTCCTGGTTGAAAATAACATCTAGCGTAAACCGTATCCTGAACTTTTAAATCAACATAATCCTGGGTGGCCGTGAACTTAAAAACACATGGTAGCGTCAAATCAAATGTGTCCCCAGCAACAATGTCACCACCTTTCATTTCCCAAGATAATGTTGCAATCCAATTTGGATAAGAAGGAGCGGCGTAATCATAAGCAGTAGCAGCTTTTTTGAATACAACTGAATCTAAGCTAGTGAAAATGCCCGTGATTTGTTTAGATACCGTGAATGAAAATAAAAAGCACACTAATGAAAATAAATAGAATAGCATTTTGATTTGTTAATAATGTACGTAGCAATACAATAAAAGAAAAATCTCATCTTGGGGAAAGAAGGATGTTTCGAGTCCCTTTATACGTGAATGAAATTGGGATTTTAAGGATGCAAACTTTTGATAATGTTGCGCTTTCTAGAGTTTATTTTTTATTTTTAAGCGCCAGGCCTTATAAACCGTTCGCATAAGGGTTCATTGGAATAGCCTCGTAATTCAACCAACGGGCTTGCTTTGTGGGTTCAGTTAAACAGGTGAAGAGTTGAAACTTTATAAGTCTTCGACATTAGCATTCAGCCACAGAATGAAGGATCAGATTTCCATTTGGATTGAGAAAAAATTCATAAATTTATGTTAAGTATTCGGACCCCTAGAAACATTCTTTTAGCTCATAACCCAAATTACAAAGAGAACTCTAAAACGGATGAGGTTTATCATCGCGCAAAACTTCAAATGACCCATTTCAAGTTATTGACATAACACGTATAACATAACTCGATTTTATATACAGCATTTCATCGAGAAGACAGTGATTGCAAAGGAGTTTCAGAATCCCAGAAATTGTGTTTCACTATTTGTGAATAATGGCTGTTCTGTTAACTGAATGCGCGACCGATTACACGCGAATTTGTCTAATAACACACACTTCGGAGGACCATCGTGGAACAGTTATGGTTTCTGGGAAACTCAGAGCCGAGACAAATGCATACCCGCTAAAAGTTCAAACATGATCAGTTTGTGCTTTATGGTCAGTTTCTGCTGATCCGCGGAAGACAGTTATGTGTCTTCCTATTGAGACTTTTTAAAACAGAAGGCGGCTGCAAAATAGGTAAAATGATTATATAAACCAAGCTGCAGGTTCTAGAAAATGTCCAATGTCTTAACTGACATTTCAGTGCATGTCCAATTATCCAGGAGTATTGAAGAGCTTTACATCAATCCAAGGGGAATCCCAAGAGAAAAGTTGTGTCACCTTGGAGACTCCATACCAGCAGAAGTATAAAGCATGGTGCGAGTTTTGCGTAGTTGTTCGCAAGACACTGCAATTTTGTTGTCAGTTGCTTTGGTTTGGAGTTTTTCACTGAGAAGAGATAATAATGGTAAAAAGCAGCCAAGCATAATGCTACCAGTGTCACAAGTACAAGAATAATGCCTACGCACTGCGAGCTATTGAAGCTATTATGGGGAGCCAGGTGGAGTAGTCACAAAATTTGGACAAATCGAGACGACTTTATGAGTAGTGTAAACACGCACAGAATAATACTGGTATCTGTTGTTTATTCTCCAAAAGCGTTGCTCGCATGATTCAACCATAAACCAGTGGATTGATTTCTCGAGAATCATTTCTTTTTGTGCAGCACCAGCAATAAAAGTGGTTCTGAATCATGTCAACTGCATATCGTTTGTCCCAATGGGATCACACCCAGTCAAAAGCACTACCACTTATGTGATTGATTTGTCGTACGACAAGTCTCAACCTGCAGAACAAATGACTAGCGGTTCAACTGCATAGCCGCGGTTGCACAGGGTCCCCTGCCATTCCAGACCCATGATCATGTAACCAAAGGCCACTAGCAAACAACGTTGTATGCACTAAATTACCGAAATCAATTGATAGGAGCCCCGAGGAAGAAGAAGCAGCACGTGAAGAATTAGTTCTATTTGTACAATTAAGGCGTCTCCTGCCATAACCAGATCTCTCATCTTAATTTATATTATGGTGTAATCGCCGAGTCAAATAATGAAGAATACGGCGTTGTACTCGGGTTGAACGGAAGCTTCACTTAGATCAACACATATCCCAAAAGAATGGAAACCTTCGAATGTAATTATTACCTGGGCTTACAACCGTGCGAAGAGCATGACCACATTTACTTTTCAATATCATGATATCATTAATGGCCCAATAACATGATGATACTATTCAAAATTGAGAGACGGATTAAATCGAAGTTCGTCCCAATGAGGTCACACCCAGTCAAAAGCACTACCACTTATGTGATTGATTTGTCGTACGACAAGTCTCAACCAAATGACTAGCGGTTCAACTGCATAGCCGCGGTTGCACAGGGTCCCCTGCCATTCCAGACCCATGATCATGTAACCAAAGGCCACTAGCAAACAACGTTGTATGCACTAAATTACCGAAATCAATTGATAGGAGCCCCGAGGAAGAAGAAGCAGCACGTGAAGAATTAGTTCTATTTGTACAATTAAGGCGTCTCCTGCCATAACCAGATCTCTCATCTTAATTTATATTATGGTGTAATCGCCGAGTCAAATAATGAAGAATACGGCGTTGTACTCGGGTTGAACGGAAGCTTCACATAGATCAACACATAATTTCCCAAAAGAGTGGAAACTTCGAATGTAATATTACACGGGCTTATAACCCTGCGAAGGGCATGACCACATTTATGTTTCAATCTAATGGCATCGTTGTTGGCCCAATAGCATGATGATGCTTTTCAAAATGGCCAGATGGATTAAATCTACGGGAGTCGTTCAGGTGATTGTAGACTCTCTTGGTAGCGAAAGCGTGACAAGCAAACAAAGGGGACTATCACATTCGCAACGACTTTACCAAACCAAGAAACATTGGCATGGCAAGATGAATTTTCTTGAGATGCTCCCAAATAAGAAAATTCTTTTTACTATATGGATTTGTTGTTGGGATCATAAATGACTGGCTAAAACGTCTTAGTGAAATGGAAAAGAATATGCCGTTAAATCATGATTAAATGTTATTGTTTGAGCCATGATATCGTTGCAACACCCCTGGGTTCTCACATCTCAATCCAAGAACTTCCTCTACTGACTAGTCTAGATGATATTTGGACACTTCAAAATCAAATCTTTTTGTGGTTTGTCGAATCTTGAAAGAGTCCCGCCCACTGATATTCCGACTTCAAAACTAAACGACATATTGTAAATGTCGTTTAATATTTTGTTTAATTTTTATACGATCGTAATTTCATCTCGTTTCATCAAATGTTGTTTATTTTTTGTATTGTCTTTTAATTTTCAAAATTTTCATGAATTATTTATTTATTTAAATATTCATCTTCATCTTCGATCAAATACCAATCAAACACCATGTCGCTAATTAAAGATTCCACTGTTATATTGATAACAGGAACTTCATCGAATTTAGGATTCAATATTGCTATTAGATTACTTGAGAAATTACCACCATCTGAACCAATAACGCTTATTGTGACTTCGAGAACTTTACCAAAAGTAAAAGAACTGATCAATGATATAAAAAAATACGTCACTGAAAATATAGCAAGTAGAACCGGTGAACTTGAGTTTGACTATTTATTGGTTGATTTTACTGACATGGTATCAATTTTAGCTGCCTATTTTGAATTAAATAAAAGATACAGACATATAGATTATTTGTTCGTTAATGCAGCACAAGGTGTATATAGTGGAATTGATTGGGTCGGTGCAACTATAGAAGTATTCAAGAATCCAATCGAAGCAGTTACGAATCCAACTTATAAGTTACAACGAGTAGGGGTTAAATCTGCCGATGGTTTAGGTTTAGTATTTCAAGCAAATGTATTTGGTCCATACTATTTGATACATAAAATAAAGCATTTATTAAGGAATGGCGGTAAAATTATTTGGATATCCTCCATAATGTCGGCTCCCAAATATTTATCATTTAACGATTTGCAATTATTAGAATCACCTGCTTCATATGAAGGTTCCAAGCGATTGGTTGACTTGTTGCACTTTGGAACTTACAAACAATTAAAGAAACAGTATGGGATTGACCAATACTTGGTTCATCCTGGTATTTTCACTAGCTTTTCCTTTTTCCAATATTTGAATTTCTTTACATATTATGGAATGTTGTGCTTGTTTTATATCGCAAGATACCTTGGATCTCCATATCATAACATTTCAGGCTACATTGCTGCCAATGCACCAACTGCATGTGCCTTAGGAAAAGTTAGATCGGGAAATAAGGTTGGGTCCGTTTGTGATAGATCAGGTAGAGAATATCTCAAAATTGAAGATATGGATACCACTGGTTCAGAAGATGTAGTTAAATATTTGGAAGAATGCACCAAAGAATGGGATGAAAAGTTAAAATCTCAGATTGCAAATACGCGTCAACCATAAGTAATATATATAGAAACTAGTATCTAAATTTTATTAGCCGGCTAGAATAGGAAATATACATATGTAACAAGGCTATATAGTATGTTCTAAACACTTACATCCGCAACCACTTGGACATTCATTTCCATTAGTCCACCATTCGACACCACAATCAGTGTGCAACACATGCTCACATACGATACAAACCGTGAAATTCTTCGTAACCACTAAATTACACAAGGTACAATACTTCATATGTGCCCTTTTATTGGTATTCCAAGCGTTTGGCCCGTCTGGGGAAACTATAGTACTAACAGCATTAAGGAAGTTTTGGTAAGGCAATTGACGTTTCCTCTTACGTAATCCTATTTTACATTTATGTATATCAAATGGGGAAGAATCATCCTCTTCTTCGTTGTTATTGGTGGCAACCTTTCCTTCCGGGAAATTAAATTTGAGAATCTTGACTCGGCTAACATGTAATCCCCAATTATATAACAATTCTGCATACTGTTCTCTGTATGATTTAATCTTCAATGGATCTTGACCACTCAATAATGACCTGGTATACACACTTTCAAAAAGATCTAATTCTTCAATATTTTCAAATTCAAGCATAACACTGGGGGGAGGTCGAACCTTTCCTTTACTAGACTTTGCAGTAATTGGTCTTCGCAGAAGAGTGGAAGGCTTGGTTCGTTTAGTATCTTGTAATTGTTGTTGCTGAGTGGAGAACCTATAGGTTTCATTGTAAGACTCACCTAAGGATGAATACGAATTATTACTGGGCCCACTAGGTGTAATTCCCAATGCAATATTTTTCTTCATATACGCTACTTTATCAGGGGAACCAATTCGTATGCTAGCCGCATCAAGGGATGAATTGAAGGATCTGTCACATGTCGCACCCGAAATCAGCGATCCCTTTCTCATAAGAAGGCTCAGCAACGATGAATTGTCGTGGATCATTGCTTGCAGATGAGGGATACTGGGATGACCACTCCCACCGAAGAGCAAATTAGTATTGAATAACCCTTGATGTAGCTTACTTCGATTGGGTGCTAAAACAGGAGGCTGGGGTAAGGCTTGATATGGGGTGTGAATAGGAACGTTAAATAAGGGGTCAATTTCCTCTTCGATACTTTTAGGATTTTCATATAATATACACGACATCATGGCTAACATCTGGACATTGTTTTTCTTTTCAAAATAGTCGAAGATTGATTGAATTAACCACATTGGACCAAATGGGTGAGTCCCCCAATAGAAAGTATGTTTATCATTCTTGAAAATCTTTTTAGCCGAATCTGAATGTAATATGAGATTATCTGGATCTTTAGCATAATACAACATAGGATTAAAATGGCTATATGGAGTCAGAGGAACATTTTTTATAAGTATAATTTCAAGTATCTTCCAAATATCACTAATTTCTTGTAACCCATACTTCAAAGCCACTTTGCTATTATAATTAGCAAGACTTTCTGGTGAATCACCAAGCACTCGATATTCACAAGCTAATGGATACTTATCCGGTAACAAATGGGAAAAATCAAAAATTCCAACAATATTCTTATTTTTAGAAAATTCAGCCCTCAGTTTCTTCTTCTTTCCCCCACCACCTCGTATGGAAGACTTATAGTTTGACGTGGTTCCGCCATGACTGGTAAGATTCTTGAATGAGGATTTCGTATGGCTCCTCCCTGAATATCGATTACCTAACCCTATACTAGTTTTAAAAAGTCCAGGGATTCTTGATCTTGCCGGAGCATCATCTTCCAATATCTCATCCCAATCATTGGTAAAGCTATCATCTGATGAGCCTGATGTTAAAGATTCACGGTCCAGCTCTGGATTTTCCAAATCCATGTTAATATCGTCCTCATTTTCCTCTTCGTCGGATGCTGATTCTAGTGACTCTTGTTTAAGGCTGTGATGGTGATGTTGTTGTTGAATGTTATGGGTCTTAAGACTAAATCCACTATCGGTAAATTTAAAAATATTGAATTTTTGAAGTGCACTTTCATTCCCCTCTTCATCTGGATCAGAATCGTCTTTGTTATCGTTGACAGATTTAGGAATAAAGAAACAAACCAATTGGCCAGAAGGTGCCCAGACCGCTCCACAGCCTTTCGGCAATGGTGTAGAATCGAAGTTCATTGCTCCTCCAGGTGCGATTTTCGTAACCGTACTGACTGAAGCGTTTGCAAGTTTAGGTTCAGTTATTATATGCGACGCACCAGATCTATCTACCAATATGCTATCGTTCATCATAGCCGGAATTAAATCATTGTAGTCTCCTTCATCTTCACCGGAAGAATATCCATGTAAATCAGGCTGTTGATTAATTAAATCGTCTACCCAGTCTTCATTTCCCACTTCTTCATCAAGTTCTTTGTTTCCTCTTGTCTCCATCAATATTAATGCATCGTCTAATTCTACTTGTTCTCCCATAAGGGATCTCAAGCAAGGCTCTAAACAGAACCGTTGATATTTATTGGTATAAAATTGGGCAATCTCATTTAATCTATCCTGCATTTGATCACGTATTTGTTTGGTTATTTCATGAGTTTCTTCAATATTAAATTTTATGAGGTTCTGTTTCAGAATCTTGGCTAGTTTCTTGGATGACATCGTTTTAGAATAATCGATTTCCTCAAGGTATGGATAATTTTTGGGGAACTTCATATTAATTCTAATGAATACTAATTTCTGTTCTGCTGATGTCAAGGATTCTTCATGGATAACACTAGGACTTACCACCAGTGGTTCTGTCTTTCTGGTACTTTCATTGTCCTTCACACTAGTTTGGTCCCCTTCAGGCTTCCAGTCATCGCTTTTGGTAGTACTTGCTTTGACAGATGCATTGCTGTCATGTCTATTGGCTCCATTATTGGTAGTTGTATCGATACCTTGGACGATTGGAGCGGCTTCCAAAACAGGCAACGGACCTCTTAAACTCATGACTAGCTCACCAGTAGATACAGATATCTTTTCAAACCTAATTTTTGGAAATTTATGCCCAACAATACTCACTTCTTCTCCTAAATTCGAAGGACCGTCATCATCATATGTAGATGTTGTACTCTGTTTCCTATCCCCTGCTCTAGAGACACTTCCAGGAGCTCCAGCAGCACCTCCTGGACGACCCATTCTGACACCTGAGATCCAATTTAAATGATTCAACTGGGTAAATTCATAACCTGCATGCTTATGATTCTCAGATATTTGCAAAAGAGTCAACGAAGATAATAAATCGCCTCCATTATTTTTGACCAAATCATCAATCGTAACAGCAGGTTCTACACAATAAGTTTCATACTTATATTTTGGTTTCTTTTCATGGGATATGGGAGTATGTGGTCTAGATGAGGTACCTTCTGAATCCAGGTCGTTTAAGTCAGAGGCATGTCTGAAAACTTTATAAAATGTAGGATCGTAATTCACCTTTTTGTAGAGATTTTCATCATGTTGCCATAATTTTAAATCACAATCCAGGGCCGACCATGTGACCAATTGATATTCCTTCCATTTATTCTTGCTGTCAAATTCTTCATAACTTTCATGTCTCACTCTCCATAAAAAATCCTTAACTGGGCCAGAATGTCCTTTGAATGAATAAATGGGATCAGCTTGAATTGTTTGGGTTTCTCCAGTTGATAAGTAATCGTGATATGCGGCATCATAATTTACAATTTGAATGGCATCCGATCCTCCTCTTAAAGGCATTATTCCACAAGCCTTGTCGGAGCCAAATGGCAACGATCTTGCTCTTGCAATTGGGAAATCAGTTTCGATAATTACACTAGGTTGTAATTTATTATCCTCCTGTTTCTTCTTATCAAAATAGTTAAAATTAGATATATATTCTTGAGCCTGTAGACTCATTAAATTCCAAGTCTTGATAGTTTTATCATTTGAGCAAGTAATAATATTCTTCATACCTTGATTAAAATCTAATCCATTAATTTTTCCACCATGGGCTTTATCAACTTTCACTACAGGCAATGCCCCCTTTCTAGTATCCCAAATATAAAACGAATTATCATGAGTCAGGGCAATTTCATATGGATTCTCATGATTCCATTTTACTTGTATTGCTCCTGCTCTCCATTCAGCCCATTGACTTACCGGTTTTCGAGGAGTTCTCATATCCCATGAATAGATAAACGTATCAACTGAACATGTAGCCAATACTTCCGGATCAAAGGGATGGAAATTTATATCTGATATAGCTCTAGTATGACCATGTAGGATATTTACAATTGCATTATTTGATGGACGATTAAGATCCCAAAGAAGTCCCTTTTGGTTGGAAGTACTTATACACCAAGACGGTTTAATAAAATTATGAGGAGACCATTGAACGTCAGCTACTTCCCAAGAAGTGATATGATGAAGCCATCTTGGAGGAGTGAATGGATCGTCTAGATCTATAATAAATAATCCTCTCCTACCAGCAAGTACTGAATCTCTTCCATTGGGTGAAACTGACATTGCACCAATTGCCCCATCAACACGTAACAGTAGTGAATTCCCAAATGTGGGGGATTCATTTGGATCCAGTAGTCGATGTACCATTTTATAGTTGTTTTAATAAGATGTGCAATTCTTCTTCTTCTTCTTCTTCTTCGTATCTACTGGTTGGTTGTAAAAAAAAAACTGATTGAATTCTTGGGGGGGCATTTAACAGTTTTGTGTGGAGGATCCAAGGAAAGAAAAAAAAATAATAAATTCAATCTTCACACTACCAGATTACTACTAGCAAACCCTATCTATCTGGAGAAGACACAGAATATAAGAGAAGATGAGTGAACCTATAAGCAACAAACCGGAAGACGAAGAAATGATTGACGAAGAGTTCAACGATGAGGAAGTCCAACTCAAAGACAACTCACCAAGTCAACACCATCAACATCTATCCAAAGAAGAAAAGTCAAAACAACGACAACAGTCATTATCAGCTGCTGCTGCTGCCAGTGCTGCCGCTGCCGCACAATCAATCCCTGACTTGCCACAACTTACACGAAAGGATAAATCCCTTAAACAAGTTCTTGATATGATGGATGGGGATTTTGCTCCAATTATACCCGATGCAGTTACTGATTATTATTTAGCTAAGAATGGATTTGAAACTTCAGATATTAAAATTAAACGTTTATTAGCACTTGCAACTCAGAAATTTATTAGCGATATCGCACAAGATGCGTACGAATATAGTAGGATCAGAAGTAGTAGTGCGGTGTATAACTCGTCCAATCCCCAGGTTAGAGCTAAACAATTATTACAGGGACAACAATATGCAAACCAGCAGTCATTGGGAGGAGGTGCAGCAGGTGGCGCAGGAACTGAAGGCGATCAAGCAGGAGCTGCGGGAGGACAACAACTGCAACAACAACAGTCAACTCATTCGGGTAATGCGGGTAACCAACAGGGTAAAATAGTTTTAACCATGGAAGACTTGAGTAGTGCGTTGAGTGAATACGGAATGAATACATCAAGACCTGATTTTTATAGATAGTAACCGTGTTTTCTGAGTTAAAAATTATATTTATGTATTATATAAATGTTTTATGAGTTAATTAATTAATTATATATTATTAAGTACACATTTAAGAGATAATTTACATCCCACCAAAACCACCACCAAATTGTTGCATCATTTTTTGCATCATCCCTGGATTTTGCATCATTTGTTGTGCTTGTTGCATCATTTGTGGGTTCTGTCTCATCATTTGTTGTGCTTGTTGCATCATTTGGGGATTATTCATCATACCAGCTAATCCACCAGGGCCACCAGCACCACCAGCACCACCAGCACCGCCTCCACCTAACATACTCATAGCTTGTTGCATAAAGTTAGGATTGGATTGAGCTTGTTGCATCATTCTTTGCATTTGCGGATTATTAGCTAATGGGTTAGCGCCTGGTTGTCCTGGAGCTCCACCTGCTGCTTGTGAAGCTAATGCAGATTTAGCCATAGTGGACATCATTCTATGTTGTTGTAAAATCATTTCTACCTCCACTGCTGAACAACCTGATCCTCTTGCAATTCTAATAATTCTACTTGGTTCTTTAACAAATATTCTTCCATCACTTTCTAATTCTTTAGTTGTCATTGAATCCATTATATAGATCATATTTTTAATCTTTTTAGAAGTTTCTTCTTCACCTACTTGTGACATAATGTTTCCTAAACCAGGAATCATTGATGCTATATTTGTTAATGGACCCATTTTTAAGAAATTATTCATTTGATTTTGGAAATCTTTCAAAGTAAATTTACCTTCCTTAATATTTTCAATTGTTTGTTTATGACTTTCATCTTGATGCAAATTAAGTGATTGAACATGTTCAATTAAACCTTGAATATCTCCAATTCCTAATAACTTAGATATAAATGTACTTGGTTTAAAGACTTCCAAGTCACCAATATGTTCCCCAGTACCAATGAAAACAATTGGGGTTTTGGTAGCAGCAACAGCAGAAATAGCACCACCACCTTTCGCATGTCCATCCATTTTAGTCAAGATAATAGAACCAAAATTGGCACTTTCTTTGAATGCCTTGGCTTGAGATTCAGCCGCTTGACCAATAGATCCATCCATAACCATGATAGTTTGAGTAGGTTGGACGGTTTCACTGATTTGTACCATTTCAGTGAATAATTGTTGTTCTTGTCGATGTCTACCTGAAGTATCAACAATAATTATATCAAATCTTTCTTGTTTAAATTTTGAAACCCCTTCAAAAGCAATCTTAACTGGATCAGGTTCTAAATAAGAACCATAATAAGGAATGTTTGCTTTAATAGCATTTTGTTTTAATTGATCAAAAGCACCAGCTCTGAAAGTATCGGCACATACTAAACCAACCTTGAATCCTCTTTTCTTGTAATAAACCGCCAATTTCGTACAAGTAGTGGTTTTACCAGCACCTTGTAAACCAACAAACATGATAATATGACTTGATTCTTTTGATACTCTAATCTTTTTACCATGGAGTGTTTTGGTAGTGGTTGAAAGCTTTTTAGGTTTTGGAGGTTCAATAGTTGAATCTACTAATCCACATAATTCATCAAAAATGATTTTTTGTAATTTCTTACGTTTATTCATTGAAGATGTTTCTGAAGCAACATTTTGCAGTTTGATTTGATTCTTAATATTCTCTCGTAATTTGACAACCAATTTTATATTCACATCTGATTCTAAAAGAGCAGCACAAATGTCTTTAATCATTTGTGTGATTTCATCATCTGAACCAGACTCAACTGATGATAATGCACCTCTCAAACGAGACCCTAAATCTGCTAACACCATTGCTTTATTATAAAGATGTCTATCCTTTTTTTAGACAATAGCTTGTTGCAATTGAGTAGATGGATATTTGTATATAGAAGTGAATATAAAATATACAATTTATTAGACACTTCTTTTATAAGTTTAATAAACTCACTTTGAATTAATTTGAGTCAAATTTAAAAAAGAATTTTTGGTTTCGTTGGAGATTTTTATCAAAAAGTTCGTGGAAAAGCGAAGAAATAAAAAACCAGAATAAAGTATGATCGTGTGATTACCAATTTATCATCATGCTTTTTTCATCAAGTTAGATATATACATATCTACAAAGTGATTTCTAGATTGTATCAATTACGATACTTCAATTATAATGCCAATAAGCATTGGTATCTTCAAGAGCTTATGATTTTCTTGCTTTTTTTGAGACTACGCAGTGTAGGGGATTTTTATGTCTTACAATTATGGGAGTATTCCTGTCTGTCAAATGAAGTTCCAAAGATCCATCCATTGTTGGATTTCGCACGACTTATCATCCTTCTCTTTTTTTCAATCTCCGGACTCTCGCTACATTTGAAGACATAGACCAATACATTTTGTATAAGTGGGACCCTTGTTTATGTCATCATCTTGAGTACGATTCTAGTAGCAATGACATCATCGTCTCCTCCAGAAATTAGGGAAGATAATTCACCACGTACGACATCCTCCGATATAGATACAAAGCCATTGGTATCATCAACTTCAGAAACCTTCGTTGAATCTGATAAAGTTATAACGGATAAATCAAAAGTAGATTTTACTGCAAATGGTAAATTTAAATTCTATCCGGATAATCCAGAACATCATAGACATAAATATAAATGGACTTCAAAAGAACCTTCAAAATTTTATGATCCATGTGAAGAAAGTCGACAAGCTTCAATAAGTTGTTTATTACGTAATCAAGATGATAAATATCAATGTCAAGATTTCTTTGATGCTTATCGTGAATGTAAACAAGATTTCTTTGCAAAGAAAAAGAAGGATAGACTAGAGGGTAGGAAAGGTTGGGGTTGGTAAACCAACACACACACACACACACACATACGCGTACATATTAACATTCAAAGAAATACAGATTGTGTATAACATGTAAATAGTCCTTACGATAACTAAATTCATATTTATCTATATATGTACGAATCAATTCGTTTGTCTGAGGAACTTATACCATATCACATACTGGATTTCCTATATCTCTCTTGATATGCCCAGTTAATTTTGCAGATATTAAATCATCTTCATCTTCTTGTCTACTACTTCTCAAGAAGACCGATGAATTTAATGGAATATTGACTTCAGATTCACCACTTCCTTCTTGGTTAAATAATTCAAAATCATCATAAACGTATATATTCCTATTACTGAAATCATTAATCAGGATTGGATCATGTCTGGTTAAAATGACATGAGGATTATAATTCCCATGCCGATCTTTAATTGCTTTAAATGGAAATGTATTCAACATTTCAATATTTCCATTCTTTCGATTAATTGAGCCAATGAGGACTAATTCATCGGTGTTTTCATCCTGTTTCAACAGGTATTGGCTTTTTTCATCCCGTTGAATGTTCTCATATACTCTCTTATATCGATTCAAATAATCTTCATTTTCAACATGAGCAAATATGAATTGGAAATAAATATCTAAAAATTGTGATATATTAATCTTTACCACAAACAACACATAATTTAATTGAACATTCAACAACGCAATTGAATCATCAGATGTGATGATCTCATTAAGATTGTATGAAGAGCCTCTATCCCAATCTTCCAAGAATAAAGTCCGATATTTCTTCTGTGAATTGGATTTCTTGCCATTAGTACCAGTAGTGGTCTTTGGACTAATTTTCTTTAGTTTCTTTTTACTCATTGGGAATACTTTGATCAATTCCTGAAAACTCATTCTAAACTCTTTGGTTAACAGAATATACTTTGATAATTGACGTTTGCATACCCCCTTTTTGAGCTTGATCAAACTCTTCAAATTCTCATTCAAATCATTCATGAAATTCATTAAATACATCCGCCTAAATTGAACAAAAGGTTGTAATCTCATCCAAAGTAATAATTGTTGTTTAACTTTCATCGATTTAAACCGGGAAATACTCGAAACGGTTCCATTTGGTTCTTTAAATTTCATGAACCTCAAATCTTCATTCTTGAAATCTATAACATGACCGCTAATTGGAATATTCACATTATCATATCTTAATTTTTTCGAATACTTCACATTCTGATCAATTGATAATCGATCCAATACATTCAATTTCCGAATAAGAATCTTATTCTTTATTAAACCATTATTCATAAATCCAAAAAAGAATCGGGTGAAATTATGTAATTTAAATAACATAAACTCTAATCCTCCATTTTCACTTCCATTCCCAGTGAAGTTTAATATTCCATCTATATTCCTCCTATCGGGAGATATATTATTCATGATCAAGTTCACATAATCTAATGCATGGTCAGTGGGTGAATCTATCTTCATGGTATAACTTACACCCGATTGGAAGTATGAACAAGGCAAAGAATCTAAAATATTCTCCTTTTCTGATTTAGTTAATTCCGCTGGAGGGGATGTATCACCATTGGTATTCATCAGCATGTTGAATATCTGTTCTCTTATGATTTCTTGATCTGGTTGAGGAGGCGGGATATCTAGCTTTTGACGCTTTGTGTGAGGGGATCTAGACTTGGGTGGGCGCCCCTTTCTTTTCTTGATGCCTCGTTGTTGTGATGGATGAGGCGCTGGTGGTGGGGGTTCGATTCCATTGGATTGTGATAGCCATAATAATTTATTTCTTCTTTTTATCAAATATTCATCCATTGATAAACTCAAATTATCTTTTCCGGCTGCGAGTACATTTCTGAATAATAACGATGGTTGACTAGATGATTGATTCAAAAAATTACAAAATAACGGAGCATGGTAATAAATGTATCCCCTTTGATTCAACTCTTGAATTATGTTTTCTACTTCACGTTGATACTTCTTGGCTCTTTGAATTAAAATCTCTTGTTGATTAATTTTACTCTTAGTTGATGGACCACTAGTATCATCATTACCTTCGCCATTTCCAGTCGATGCTCCCGCACTTGTGGATTTCTTTTCTCTATTGGCACCTGAACTACCTGCACTGGTGGATATTGGTGCACTTGCGCCTGCGTTGGGTTCTGCACCCAAGTCCACAATAGAACCATCTTGATTCAAGTTATACCTTCTATTTCTATGTCTTAATCTAATTGCATTCTGTCGCCTTAAGGGAGTGCCACCAAGGGTAGGGGGATACCAAAGTAATTGTCTATTTGACGAATCTGAGCTTTCTGTACGAGGCGGAGGTTGACCATAACGGTTACGGACTGCCGTATTGGTCGGGATTAAAGTATTCTCGTTTAATGGGTTTTGTCTAGCAGAAGATAATAGCAATCTTTCATTTGATCGAATGTCTGACCGTAATCCGATATTTTCTTCCTCTACTATGAATGAGGAACTGGTTGACTCTTCGTCATCATCGACGTCGTCTTCATCATCATCCACTATGATGTCATCTTCGTCATCACCAACAAGGTCAGGGTAATATATAATTTCCATATCTTCGTCTTCATCATCGTTATCATCTTCATCGTCTTGGTCTTCCTCCTCTTCTTCTTCTCCCTCTTGCTCTTCTTCGTGGAATTCATCCGCACTATATTCAAAACTCTGATCATCATCATTCTCGTCTTCGCCATTATCGGAGATTCCAAGGTCGACGTCAGTTTCAACTACATATGCATCTCTATTACGGTTACGATTTAGGAGACCAGATCCTGGTGATACCCCAATTGGGTCTGTCGTTGTTCCTTGTCGTTCCTCTTGTTCCAACCGAGTTAATTCACGAGATAGATTATGCAATTGAGCCGGAATACTCAGGGTTGTAAACGATCCTCGATTTCCACTAAGGCTACCACGTCCTCCTTCTTGAATAGTTCTATCTCCTATTAATTCATTAAAATGAGTATGTATCCGATTCAAATCAGAAAAATGACGCAACATCCTGGATCTAAACTCTGCTTCTTGACGATTTCCTTCAGGGAGATTTCGAATCATATACCCTGACAATAAGTTTAAATTATTTAAATTGGGTCTATCTCGATAAAGACCAAATGTAGGTGGTGGGAGTGAAACAGTAGTTAGCTCAGATGGATGAGTAAGAAGTGGTTGGGGGGTTTCAGGGGTTATCTCACCTCTTATGGAGTTGCTTCCTTGATTAGTGTCATCACCGTTGTTAGTGTTTGTTGATGGTGACGACACATTCCTAAATCGTTGAATCGTATCTAATAAATGACGATCAGTTGTAGCTGTTGCATTAATTGATAGTCGTTGTGATAGTTCATTTAAGGGGGTAGTGTTTTCGCTTGATGTATTAGGCGACGATGGGGGTGGGGCCATTATCAATTTATATTTATTATTTGATTTACAATGATGATCAACTTTTGTTTGCTTTACTTTTTAAAAGATTATTAACAAATAAATAAATAAGATATTAATAAATGTAAGTTAAATTAAATTAAAATTAAAAGATTTTTACAATCACAAGAAGAAGAAATGATAAATTTAACAATTGACTGGTACTGCATATAATATTTCTATGATAAACTTTTTTATCTGTGGAGTCGTATGTCACAAATTATTCATTTTTGTCTCAAATTTACAGGATGGTTTGTGTCGTAAAAGTTGTCTTTTGGGTAATCAAGTAGAGAGTTTGTCCTTTGGATAGAAAGATATTGAATAATTCCCATATATTAACTACATTTTATTTGTAATGAATTTTTGATTAATCAGTTTGTAACTAGTTTGTCTATAGTGTTGCATTACTACGAGCATTCTAGACTACATGTGTTGTTGATTGGAGATTTACACTTCTTTTTTTTTCGGTACGTTCGATGATAAACATAAAACGTTCATGATAGATGACATCATATGCCATAAAAACCATCGTCACCCGTTGTGTTTAATTAATTTTATGGAATAACAAATGACTTTTACAACACTTTGAATATAATTATTTTACTTACATTCACTTGGAAAAAATTTTCAAAAGGAATGATATCAAGCAATGGAAATGGAATGATTCTTACTAATTACCCTTGATTCAAATCCCACATAGGACAAGAAAAATGGGACAAGAAAAAATTCCAAATAAAATCATTGATGTTACATAGTTGTTTCGATTTAAACACAGGAAGATATCTTTTATTCCCCTTCACAAACCCCCAAAAAGAAAAATGCCACATCAGTTTTCCAAAAAAAAAAGGCAACGGCCCACCAGAATGGTTCTTTTCTGTTACTAAGCAAACTTTACAATTTATTTTTTGCTATCAAGCAAAGCAAGGTATTGGAAGGTGAATCATACTCATTGTAATTTTTGAGCTAGGTCACATTTCGCCAAAAATACAGCAAAAACTATTGATAATGATTGAACAGATAGGAGAGGTTTCTTCTGAATGTCCTCTTACTTTGTAGAGATTTATTAATGTTTTAAATATTTTGCAATTGTTTTTTTTTTTTTACATAATTAGTTAATAGGCGTGTGTTAAACTACGTAGAATGGTATGTCGCAAAATTTGGCTCTAGCTTTTTAGTCCTTTTGGTAGAAAGATTTTGAATACATGGAGTACCATATATTAACAACTTTTTATTTGTAATGAGTTTGTAATTAATAAGTTAGTACGGATATTTTTTCAAAAGGAATGATATCAAGGGAAAGGGAATGATTCTTAGTACCCTTGATTCAAATCCCACACATAAATTTGTGTAGGACAAGAAAAATTTAACATAAAATAATTGATGTTACATATTTGTGCCATTTTAAACGGAAAATATCCTTTATTCCCCGTTACCAACGGCATTCTATTTATAAACTTTAATTACATAATTTGGTTTAGAATGCACTATTACCTTTGTGTTGCTTTTCTTATTCCAGGATGATTAAGATTCCGTTTTAATTCATTGAAGACAGTTGAAGCAGGCTTTTTTGCTTAATTACACCAAATATTTAAAGCTATGAAATATGTTGAAAAATTAGATAGAGCCCTTTTAAAACTGGAACAGCCAACTTGAGGTGGATAATTATTGATTACAACGGTTGTGTGATGTTAGCAAAGAAGTGGAACCACCGGGAATGGACCTAAGACTACCGAAGGTCACGTATTACATGAAGCTTTGATAAGAAAAATAATTCAAGCTTCTCTCAAAATCCCCGTTCAAATTCAAGAAAAATTCTGGGCAAATCAACACTCTTTTTAGAAGGAAAAGTTCATCAAACTTCGATTTATATTCCAATATGAGGTATTTAGAAGTGCAACTAAATAGCTCATCTATGGTCTCGATACTCGTTTGAAGCCTTTAAACAGCCGTAATCAGCCTTGAGATTTTTCGTGAGACTAAACCATAAAATCCCCATAAAATACAAAAACCTTGTTGGTTGAGACCCTGCGAAACACAAAAAAATGAGGTTTTGGAAACACTTGATGTTTATTTTGTTATTTGTAGAATGTGGGTTTCATACGTCATGTGTCTAGGTCATCAAAATCTGTATTTCATTATTAATGTCTAAAATTTAAAGTTTCCAAGGATAAACCTTTAAAACAAATTTCTTGCACCCACTTACTCCAAGTTTATATAAAAGATGGGATATCGCAAGTGGATGAATGTTTGACTTTTGTTCAAACGTTAAATTACTTTCACTCAACCTTTCACTCAACTTTAAATGATTTTTTTAACTTTATTGTTATATTTTTACATATCACTCACCACCTGTGAGTATATCACCGGAATTTTTACAGATTTTAAGTCTCTTGAATGGAATAATGCTGCTAATTATGCGTATTCGACTCCTTCTACTCCTAGTTGGGTTGTCACTATGGGTTGGGAAATGGATTTCAACAAAGTCAAGCCAGGTGATACATTCGTTTTACATATGCCATGTGTTTATAAATTCACCAGTGACTCAGATATTGTGCTGATGATTGCTGACAATCAAGTTGTTGCTACTTGCACCATGCACCCTGGTGACGTTGTGGTTGCTTATTCTGAATTGCAATGCGTTGTTGAAGATAATCTCCTTGGGGCAGAATCTGCCAGAGGTGAAATTTCCTTCCCAATTACCTTCAATGTAGGTGGTTCACATTCTGATATTGATATTTACTGTTCTTCATATTTCAAATCAGGGTCCAATATAGTTACATTTAATGATGGAAACAATAGACTTTCGAATGCAGCTCAGTTCAACAAGGAACAATCATTGAGTCCTAATACCCTTGTGTATAGAAATAGAGTTGCTCCTACAATGAATTATCAACAGAATTTTGTATTGGGTGCAATTTGCAGCAGCGGCTATACATCTGGAACTATTGGTATTCAAGTCAACACAGCAGCGAATAAGGATATCACTATTGATTGCAATTCTGCTGGCTATGGTTTCACAAACAAGATGAATGACTGGTACTTTCCAGAGAATAGATTTGTCGTCGGAACGGTTAAAGAATCTTGTACGAATCACGGGTATACTGTAACCTACGAAAACGTTCCTCCAGGCTACATTCCATTTGCATCGGCAGGTTTGCTTGCAAAAGTTGGTCAAAAAGCTAGTGTCACTTATATCCACAAATTTCAATGTCAAGGAATCTCGAATGATAGGCTGAAATCCATCACTTGGTCATCCTACTCAAATAATTCCCCTGGTGCAAATGGGATGGCGGTATATCTCGTTACATCAACCCACACCGAATCTACAACGATGCTTTCGTATGTCTCCTACAAAGAAGATGCTCTTACCAAAACCCTTGTTGTACATGTTCCTATTCCTACTACGACAATAACAAGCACCTGGGATGAGGAGTATACCGCTACCAATATTCAAGCAGCTGAAATTGGTAAAACAGCCATTAAAACCATTATTGTTCCACGTTCTTATGAAAGTGTTACTGTTACGTGGGAGAGTGCTCATACTGCAACTGAGACTTTGCGGGATGGAGCTACTTTTACTGTGGCTGTGAATGTGCCTATTCCTACTACGACAATCACTAGCACCTGGGATAACGAATATACAGAAACCGGTACTCAAACAGCTAAAACTGGTGAAACAGCTACTGAAACCATTATTGTTCCACGTTCTTATGAAACTGTTACTGTTACATGGGAGAGTGCTCATACTGCAACTGAGACTTTGCGGGATGGAAATACTTTCACTGTAGCTGTGAATGTGCCTATTCCTACTACGACAATCACTAGCACCTGGGATAACGAATATACAGAAACCGGTACTCAAACAGCTAAAACTGGTGAAACAGCTACTGAAACCATTATTGTTCCACGTTCTTATGAAACTGTTACTGTTACATGGGAGAGTGCTCATACTGCAACTGAGACTTTGCGGGATGGAGATACTTTCACTGTATCTGTGAATGTGCCTATTCCTACTACGACAATCACTAGCACCTGGGATAGCGATTATACAGAAACCAATACTCAGAGAGCTAAAACTGGTGAAACAGCTACTGAAACCATTATTGTTCCACGTTCTTATGAAACTGTTACTGTTACATGGGAGAATGATCATGCTACAACTGAGATTTTGCTGGATGGAAATACTTTCACTGTATCTGTGAATGTGCCTATTCCTACTACGACAATCACTAGCACCTGGGATAACGAATATACAGAAACCGGTACTCAAACAGCTAAAACTGGTGAAACAGCTACTGAAACCATTATTGTTCCACGTTCTTATGAAACTGTTACTGTTACATGGGAGAATTCTCATACTGCAGCTACGACTTTGCCTTGGAAAGATGGAGATACTGTCACTGTATCTGTGAATGTGCCTATTCCTACTACGACAGTCTATAGCACCTGGGATGAAGAATATACAGAAACCGGTACTCAAACAGCTAAAACTGGTGAAACAGCTACTGAAACCATTATTGTTCCACGTTCTTATGAAACTGTTACTGTTACATGGGAGAGTGCTCATACTGCAACTGAGACTTTGCGGGATGGAAATACTTTCACTGTATCTGTGAATGTGCCTATTCCTACTACGACAATCACTAGCACCTGGGATAACGAATATACAGAAACCGGTACTCAAACAGCTAAAACTGGTGAAACAGCTACTGAAACCATTATTGTTCCACGTTCTTATGAAACTGTTACTGTTACATGGGAGAGTGCTCATACTGCAACTGAGACTTTGCTGGATGGAGATACTTTCACTGTATCTGTGAATGTTCCTGTGCCAACCACTACAATATACACCACCTGGGATAAGGATTTTATTGAAACTGTTAGTGGATCGGCAGAGGTCGGAAAAACGGTGGTCGAAATTATCCAGATTCCACGCTCATATGAAATTGCTACTCAAACGTGGATAAATTCACATACTGAAGTATCTACATTGCTTCTAGAAGATGGTCCTACTGTTACTATTGTCGTTTATGTTCCAATTCCTACTGTGACAGTGTACGTTAATTGGGATGAGGATTTCACTGAAACAATAGGTGTAACTGCAGAGATTGGGGAAACAGCCGTTGAAACTATCCTAGTGCCACGTCAAACATCTACTGTTACATGGACTAATGCTCATACTGAAATTGTTACCTTGTCCGAAAACGTTGGAGAGTTTGAATCAGTTATCATATATGTTCCAATTCCTACTTCGACAGTATACACAACTTGGGAAGAGGATTACACTAGTATAATTCCTGGGTCTGCAAAGATTGGTGAAACTGCCGTTGAAACTATCCTAGTTCCGCATGTCACAACCACAATTACCTGGACTTACCCTTATTCTACGTATCTTACAATAGCTGGTGGTCCAGGTTTGCCTGAAACAGTTATCATATATGTTCCCATTCCTACTTCAACGGTATATGTCAGCTGGGATGAGGATTATGCTACTACAATTACCGGGTCTGCTGAAGTTGGTGAAATCGCTGTCGAAACTGTCCAAGTTCCAAGATCCTATGAAACATCCACGGTTACCTCGACCAATTCTGATACTGAAATAGTTACCTTAGCACGGACAGTTGGAGAGCCTGGATTAATTATCATATATGATCCAATTCCTACATCTACGGTATACGAAGCTTGGGGCGAAGATTATACTAGTATAATTACTGGATCTGCAGAGTTTGGGGAAACGGCGGTGGAAACTATCCGAGTGCCACGTCAGACATCTACTGTTACATGGACTAATGCTCTTACTGAAATTGTTACCTTGTCAGAAAAAATTGGAGAACCTGAATCAGTTATCATATATGTTCCAATTCCTACTTCTACGGTATATGCCAGCTGGGATGAGGATTATGCTACTACAATCACCGGGTCTGCTGAAGTTGGTGAAATTGCTGTGGAAACTGTCCAAGTTCCAAGATCCTATGAAACATCCACGGTTACCTGGACCAATTCTCATACTGAAATTGTTACCTTACCAGGGAAAATTGGAGATCTTGAATCAGTTATCATATATGTTCCAATTCCTACTTCGACAGTATACACAACTTGGGAAGAGGATTACACTAGTATAATTCCTGGGTCTGCAAAGATTGGTGAAACTGCCGTTGAAACTATCCTAGTTCCGCATGTCACAACCACAATTACCTGGACTTACCCTTATTCTACGTATCTTACAATAGCTGGTGGTCCAGGTTTGCCTGAAACAGTTATCATATATGTTCCCATTCCTACTTCAACGGTATATGCCAACTGGGATGAGAATTATGCTACTACAATCACCGGGTCTGCTGAGGTTGGTGAGATTGCTGTAGAAACTGTCCAAGTTCCTAGATCCTATGAAACATCTGTCCAAACCTGGACCGGCTCATATACTGAAACTGTCACTGTACCTGGAGAAGATGGAGATGCTCCGACTGTTGTTATCAATGTTCCAAGTAGTAGGGTATACACTAATCAATCCTCGTGTCAAGATTTAGTTAGACGGGGTCTCAATGGAAATGAGACAATAGTGAGAGTTTGCGACGGTTCTACGGTATCATCAACACTGGAATACACCACAGAAACTGGATTATGGAGTACTGGAAGATACCTGACTGACCTGTCAAGAGATATGATTTGGTCTAACACAACAGTATCGAATGTACAGAAAACCAGAACAATTACTTCAACTATACGTCAACCTCATGCAACCGAATATGGAGGTAATGGTGGAAACAAAGGCGATAATATCAGTCATGGTGGAAACAAAGGCGATAATATCAGTCATGGTGGAAACAAAGGCGATAATATAAGTCATGGTATGGTAACAATTTGGGTCTCGCTGGACTCAAACGGTGGGGTTTCTACTGTTGTTGGATCTGGTAATGATGGAGCTGGCATATTCGAATCATCGCTGTCTTCTTATGCAGGGTCAGATGAAGGAACGATTGAATTATATGACGATAGTTTGATCTATTCTGATTCTGCGTCTCACGTGTTTGCTGGTGTTGCTTTGTTGGTAATTAGTCTTTTGTTTGATGAATTTCTTTGAGTTTACAAGCGGGTTTTTAGAATTTTTTGTTTATGTTAGAGAAGTTGTGGCTTCTTTTCGAGTCTTTGGTATTATTTATCTAGACTAGTGTTATTTTTTTATTATTATTGTTTTTAAATTGTTATAGTTGTTTTAAATAAAGAAAATTTGTATTGTAAATTCGATTTAATATCTGTAGATTTTAGAGTGTGTTTCCTTTCGGATGCATGCCGAAGAAGGTTTCACAATTCCAATTGGAAATCTTTTCCATATTTGTCTTAAATGGTAAATATTCTAGAAGGCTTCTTTTCGATCTCACTATCATAGTAGTCGTCGTTTCCCAATTTATGTTCAGATGAAACTTGGTAGTACAGCTCGGAAAGCTTCGCGATGAATCCGGTCTCATTCTCTAAAAAAAATATTTTCATCCGCGTTAAAAAATAATTGATTGTTTCAAATTTGCAACCATTTAGTTTCAAGGAAAATTTGATTTTCGAATATTTAAATACCAATCCAAATTTTCCATCAAAACAATTTCCTTTCCCTTTTTCTTTCTTCTTTTTCTATCATAAATATATCTACCCAATCAGATGCATTTGACAAACTTTCTACTACTTTCCTTTATGCTGTTGAGTTTTTGCGTCCAAGCAAGTGGAGTCAATGATGCAGGTTTAGACTCCAACTCATCGGAAACTATTTTGCTAAACATTGGAACTACTGAAGTTAACGAAGAATTGCCCATCTTGCAAGATATACCCATCTTGCAAGATATAGATTCAAACTCATTACTTGTTGACCCAAACGTTGGTGTTGCTCAAGGAGATGATTATCAAGCCTCTGGCGATGCAGTCTTATTGGAAGAAGGTCAGGGTATTCCCACTTCAAGTTCTGAACGCTTTACTACCATTGCTGGGAAAGGCCATTATATTGTTCCATCTGAGAATGATGGTATTGCAACATCCGGTCACAATGTAGACCCATCGTCTGCTGTAGAAAATGTTGAAGGCTGCAATGCCTGTGTGGAAATTGTTACTACAATCACGGTAACCGGAGAAACCACAACAACAACAACAAGTACTGGAAAAATTGACGAGGTAACTGCTGGTCCTATTATAGCTGGGGTTTCTGCTGATGAAGAATTATATAAAAGTACAAATGAAGTTGAGAAAAGCAGTGAAATTGAAGCAACTACAACTACAATGTTGCTTACTTTCACTCACACCATAACTATACCAGATCGTAATACTACAACCTTTTACAACAGTAGTAGTGCCGTGATCACTAGCACGATTCCATATAATAGAACTACTACCCTACTGAACTGGACCAGTACCAGCATTGGCCTTTTTGATTTAAAACTGCTGTTTGATGAAAGTGTGATTTACGAAGGTTCTGGTTCTCGGGTTTTGTGTGGATCTTTCTTGTTGCTCCTTAGTTTGTTTATTTGATTATTTTAAAGAATCTTGAACTTGTTGTGATGAGTAAGCTCTTTGATAGATTATATATTTTAGTTCTAACTACGTTGAATTGTTAATTTTTGTTTCCAAATTATATGCTGTATGTTTATATTTTGTTTGAATTGTTTGAATTGATGATACTCTATATCTTTGCGCACCCAAATTTACATAAAAAAAAAGTGTGTGCGAAGTTCGCTGTTTCACAGTTGTAACATCTTCTTTTCTGTCAAACTCGATACTTGACTAAAAGATGCCGAACCAAATAGTAAACAAAGATTTCAATGTAAGCAGCCTGTTATGGGTTGTCTCAGAATAACAAGCACGTAGAATAATTCTTTATGTATTGTCTTTTATTCTTAGATGAGATGCGTATTTGCGAAATTAACAAACCTATTTACAGCATTAATTGAAGGTTCTATGACATTTCGTTCCGAAATCCATTTATATAATTACCGAAGACAATAGCTCCTTCAACGATAACTAATTTATAATAAATACCCATTAGTAATTATATTTTATAGTTATCTTGGAAATGATTAGAAAATGGAGACCTTTAAATTATCCTCGGTTTTTTTTTTACTCATATCAATTAGGAAAGCTACGATTTTTTTTTGGTACGGTGTGTTTCAAATTGGTAGCACAAACACAGTCAAAAAGAAAAGACAGAAAGTAATTGTTTCAGAGGGAAGCGAATAAGCCGCGCATTTTGCGAAAATAATATTATGCATACAATATAAAATAATCGTGTAATATAATAAATCTAGAACTAGAACTACAATGGAATCTTTATCGTGTGAGTTATAGAAGTTTCAGAATTTACCAAAAAAAAAACTTATAACACAAGTTTATGTTTATAAAAATGGTTCATGCTGATGATGTGCAAATGATTATAATAATTATAATTGTGTCATAAATGATCCTTCAAACAAGTGACATTTGAGAACAATGGATTGATAAGATGTAATATAATTTTATTCATTAAGGGTTGCATATGCTACAAAAAAGTTATTTATGGATCCAGAAGGGTTCATTTTAGTGAATAAAATTGGGAGAGCTTTAAGACAGTCTAGCCGCAGCTTACAACATTTTTATGCGTAGTCTTGCAGAAACGGTAACTAAAGACAGATTGAAACAAAACGTTCAAACGTTTAGCTGACTTTCAAAATATGATAAATTGTCATGAGATACGTCTTTTTATTGAAAGATGATTGAAAGATGAATGGGAGGGGGGGGTTTCAAGTAACATCTGTGAATGGTTTGTTCCAGATAAATACAAATGATTTTTCCCAATTGAGAATGACAATTATGCGGCTTGAATGGGACAGATTATTTTTTAGTTTACTTTTTGGTGCCTGTGGAATAGAAAAAGGAAATGCACTAAAAAAATTAAATTAGTCAACAATACACGACCATACATTAAGAATAGAATTTAATAGAAATAAAAGTATAAATAATGGGTTTATATGCAGTACCCAACAACATATCCACAAAATTACTTTTTTTTTTTTTTATTTCTTTTTTAAGCTTTTTTTTTTAATCTTTTTTCATATTTTTATATTAAATTTTTTAATCTTTTTTCATATTTTTATATTAAAAACACAAATTCAAATTTACAACAAAAATTTAATTTACATTTTTTTCTTTTCATTTTGGATTGTTCATTCTTACACTACTATTACTATTACTATTAGTATTACTGACTATATCTAAAAGCATAACCAGCTGAGTAACCAACAACATTCAAAAACTGCAAACCACTAATTAGTAAAAACAAACAAAGTAGCAACACGTAATCACCAAAAGAAAAAACAAAAAAAATATAAATTAACAACACACCAGTAGCAACCCCCACCTCCCCCCCTCATTACTAGTCCTTCCTTTATTTATATATCCATAACATACAATAATACTTAATATATTATCTAAGCAACATGTCAGGCTCAATATACATATGTATTAAACAATTCAACGCGCGATTAGGTGATGAATTAAGTTTAAAAGTTGGTGATAAGATTGAAGTTTTATCTGATGATTCTGAATATAATGATGGTTGGTATATGGGTAAAAACTTATTAACCAATCAAGTTGGTTTATATCCAAATACTTTCACACAATTATTATCTAGTCCAGAAGATGAAGACGGTAATGGATTATTGTTGCGTGCACGTTCAAGAAGAATAATATCACCAAACAAAATTGCTGAAAGTGTAACTAGATTAAGTATTGATGAAGATGGATTTCCTCATACTAAATATGGTATGCATTCTGAAATTGATAAAGCAATTAAAGAATTAGAAGATAATTCTTCCCTTGGTGATAGGAATAACAACAATCATCCAAATGGAACTATTTCATCCAATGATTCCTCAATATCCTTAACTGATGATTTGAACCCATTACACGCTCATGATTGGGATCCAAGACAAGTTTGTTCTTATTTCGCTTTGGTATTAGGTATGAATATGAATATTGCAAAACAATTTTTAAAACATAAAATTACTGGTGAAATCTTATTTGAATTAGATTTAACTCATTTGAAAGAATTAGATATAGATTCATTTGGTACTAGATTCGAAATTTATAAAGAAATTGAAAAATTAAAAGAAATGAATTCAAGAAATAAACATAAAGATTCAAGAAGAACATCCTTATCAACAAATTCAACCGGTCCAAATATGCATATGCATAGTCTTAATCATAATAATATCAATTCTTTAATTAATTCACCACCAACGGAAGAATCTTCCAAGCATGATATGGATATTGCAAGTTCAAAACTATTACCTTCAGCAATAATTTCATCCACACCTCCTTTGGATTCTCCTGATTCGATTTCACCTACTCGCCATGCACCTCCACCAATTGATACCCAAAACCTCCATAAATATCAATCAATGGATGAATTATCTCGTCCGTTGTTTTCTCCAGGAAATCGCGATTCTTTCTTATCTCCAAGAAAAGCACCTGCCCCTCCTCCAAATTCAGGTTCTGCTACTTCCAGTCCAATATCTAAACCATTATTTAAATTTGAAGCTAACATAAATGGAGTTTCAAGTGATAGTGAAATATTGGAACCACCTAATGGTGCCCTGTATATGACTAGAACTAATGCTTCTGCAGCCAGTGGACTTAGGCCAGCCTCGTCAGTATATGATTTATCAGAAACATCAAGCACCAAGAAATCAAATGGTAGTAACGGTACACAACAACACAGGAGAACTGGAAGTAGTACTCAACATAAGAGACATTCGTCGTTATTTTCATTTTTATCTGGAACTAATAATGAACCTACAACCGCAACCAGTACATTTGCGAATGGAAGTTCTAAATTCCCTAGCCCGGATAAATTTATCCCTGATGAATTGGATAATTTCCCAGTAGATATAGATGATGCAGTACTTTCACCAATGAAGAAGAAGGCTCCTCCTCCTCCTTCCCAATCTGCAGGAGAGATATCTCCATTACAACCTCCTCAATCAACCGCAATCAGTTCCAAACGGGATGTATCAAATGCTTCTTCAACCATCACCGAAGACTCGATCGCCTTGTCTACCATCTCCTTACCTCCATTATTACCACATGCAGTCACCACTCCACAGCAACAATCTCAATCCAAATTAAAATTCTTCCGTTCTCCACTGACCCAAAATTTCCGAAATTTGACAGGATCCAAAAAACTGAAAACTTCGGCATTTCAAGAAGGTATCCGAACAATTACTCCTGATGAAGCTATTAAAGCGGCAAACTTTTCCGGATGGATGTCAAAGAGAAGTAATAATAATTTAACTTGGCGTTCACGATATTTCACATTACATGGAACCAGATTATCCTATTTCACAAGTTTGAAAGATAAGAAAGAACGAGGATTAATTGATATCACCGCCCATAAAGTCGTACCTATTGATCCTGATCAAAAAACCAGTGGTGGAGATAAATATGCTGCCATATATGCTAGTTCGACCTTGGCTGGAAGTTATTGTTTTAAATTAGTTCCACCTGCACCAGGCTTCAAAAAGGGATTAACATTCACCCAACCCAAGACGCATTATTTCGCGGTGGAAACTGCTGAAGAAATGAGAGGATGGATTAAGGCATTAATGACAGCGACTATAGATATTGATGATACCGTTCCCGTTGTGTCTAGTTGTTCGACTCCGACTGTTAGTTTGGCAAAGGCGCAGGAATTATTGGCGAAGGCTAGAGAGGAAAGTATGTTGAAAGATCAAGAATTACGAGAGAAAGGATATTTACGTGATCATTATACCTCCAACAATGGACCAACTCAACTGAATCAACAAAATGATAGTGATGAAGAAAAGGATGATTTAAGTGAACTTAAAGGATTATCATCACCTACTACTCCAAATGTTGCAGCTAGTCAAGGTTTCAATAGTCCATACTTGTTAGCTAGTGGGATGATGTCACCACGTTCTAGTGGTCCTAGTCCTACAACTACGCCTACTAATGGATATTTCCCCGAGTTTTCAAGCAATGGCAGTACTGCTGGGGATAGAGTTACATCAGTGGCTAGCACTATAAAGACCAATGGTAGTGGTGGAACAACGAAGAAGAGTGAGAAATTCTTGGCTTATTCAAGTGATGCCAATGGCGGATATAGTTTCGCCGTCCAACAAAAGAAGTAATCGGGGTTTCCCTTTTTGAAAGTATTATTTAATGGATAATATGAGAGAGAGAGAGAGAGACACTTTTTTGATTCTTTAAGATATCACTGTTTTATATTTGGGGTTATTCTTTTCTTTATTGGCTTTGGTATAGGTGTTTGCTTTTTAATTTGATAAAATAGAAACCTATTAGAGTAAGATTGGTTCTTGTGTATTTTTTTTATATTTGTGTATTAGTTGTGTTAATAAAAGTTTAATTTTAATGAAGTGTGAAGCAGTGTATAGCTTTATAGCAGTTAAAACTCTCAGTTCTTTTAGTTTCAGAAAAGAGGTTTATATGAATCTACCTGGAAGAGTTTCGTTACATGCATTATAATGGTTTGTAAGGGATTGATATTTGCTAACCTTCTACACTGTGTACGGGAGGCACTATCCCGAATTGTAGCAATTTATTGATATGATCTTTATGTACAAGAGCAGATATTATCTGAACTAAGACGGAGGATTTTACTAGAAAAGCTGCGGCGATACATTATTTATTTTGAAAGTATTTCTTAGCCAGTAGGGAAACGGTGGTGCTACCATGGCACTAAATTCTCCCCCAAACTCTTTATGCCTTTGGTGAAGAAATAGAATGAAAGTCTGCAAACGCTTGTTTGGCTTGAGATGTTTAGTTTCATGTCTTTCAATTCCTGTTTGGGTGAGAGAAAGAGCTGACTTGAAGAGTTTCTTTTCTCGTTTGGATAATATAGGTGATGATGTGGAGTTTCTAAATCTAGTAGTTGGAACTTGCAAGAGCTCATGTGAGTAGTCTTGAGAGCTTTTCTTAAAGTATAAGAAACTCATCTCTTAGGTAAAAAATTTTAAATTGGCTATTTGAGCATTCGACCAGGAAAATCCGGTAAGATATTGATGGGGAGGGGTGTGTTCAAGTGTGTAAAATACTGATGGTTGCAAATTTACAAACAAATAAAACTAATTCTCAACCACCAATTTTATCATAACAAAGAAAAAAAATAAGTTAAACAAACTTTCTGACAACCCGAATCTTCATTTGTAAACAAATCCATCAACATAACCCCAATCCAATCCAATACCAAACAAATACTACTACCCTTGTACATACAGATATATATAGCAATAGCATAACTCACTATTAAAAGTTCTACCGGAATTGATATCCCCATGCTGTCCCATAATCATCATCACCACCACCTGACATCAGATTCTGGTATTCCTGAATCAGATCAAACAATAACAAATGAACCGACCACTAACACTGCCACTGCAACTGCTAGTGCTGCTACAACGACCAACAACAACAATGGTACTTCTCTACCAGATACAAACTATATGCAACAATATCTTCGATCTTGTATAATACATTCATTGGATACTTTTAATTATACAAATGCTGAATTTATAAGTGAACGATTGTTGGCTATTGATGGATCTAATTTAGATTCAATTTATTTATATTGCTTATCATTATTTCATCAACATAAATATAAATCATGTTATCATAAATTAATTCAATTGAATAATAATATCAACAATCATTTAGGATGTTGTTATATATTTGGAAAATGTTGTTTAAAATTGGATAAATGTAAAGAAGGGATTTATCAATTATTAAAAGTTGGATATATGTATAATGAATCAAAATTACAAGAATCATTTCATGAGAATGAAGGTTATGAAGATTATGACTATGAAAATGGACCCGAAGGGAATGGGAATCCATTTTATTTCATCCTGTCAAATCAGAAATTTCATTATGAATCAAATCGAAGTATATACCCTGATGCGTCACTGATATATCACCTATTGGGAGATCTATATCGAGGAATAAATGATTTAAAACATTCAGCATTGAATTATACACAAGCCTTAAAATTGAATCAATATGATTTTGAAGCATTACAACAATTATGTAAATCAGGAATCAATCTAAATATAAAAGCAATCTATAAATCTCAACCACCAGTGACACCAACTACAAGATTTGGAAGAAATGATAATGAGTTTGACAATCAAACCAGGACTCCTATTCATACACAATTGACAAATCCATTTGCCGATAAACGACAGTCTCAAACTCAGACAACCCCATCCATTCATACAGATGATTCTAGTGCTTTTGCTACACCTAGGATAAAACATCCATCGGTTCCAGATGCTCCCTTGAGAAAATCAAATTTAAATAACAATAATAATAGTAATGACTCGGTGATATTTACAAAACCAGCATTTCCAATATCGGATATTGTTACCGATAAGAAATTCAGACGCGGAGGAACGAGTAGTATAGCAACAGGGACTGGAACAAGTGGTAGTGGTAGTGAATATTCGAAAATCACCTCGAGGTTAATATTACAACCAGGCACAGGCACTGGAGCCAGTGGTTCTAGTTCAGGAACTGTAACTAATCCCATGGAGAAGACACCTGCTAAAAGACCAGTGCGAGCTAATTTGAAACGAAATAATTCATCAAGTTTAGAAGCAGGATTACAACAACAATCATATCCGAAAACGACGACGACAACAACAACAGCAACAATGACAACCCCATCATCTAACCATGTGATTAATAATTCTTCAATTTTCATAAATAAACAAATTGAAAAGAGTGATAAATATTTATTACGACTTTTTAGTATATTTGCCAAAGCATTCAAATCAATGATGAAATATGATTGTTATAAAGCTATTCGATTATTGGAATCGTTGGATGAATCACAACGAGAAACGCCATGGGTTTTAAGTAAATTAGGTCGATTACATTATGAAATCATCAATTATAAACAATCACAATATTATTTTAATAAATTACGAAAATTAGATCGAACAAGATTGGAAGATATGGAATATTATCTGACATTATTATGGCATTTAGAATCAAAAGTTGAATTAACGTTTTTGGCTAATGAATTATATGAAATTGATTGTAATTCAGCAATTACATGGTGTGTTGTTGGGAATTTATTTTCATTAATTCATGAACCTGATGATGCGATTAAATGTTTTAATAAATCGATTAAGCTTGATTCTAAATTCACATATGCATATACTTTGAAAGGACATGAATATTTTGGAAATGATAATTATGAAATGGCATTAGAGAATTTCAGAATTAGTTTATTATTAGATTCAAGACATTATAATGCGTTGTATGGGATTGGAATGATATATATCAATTTAGGTGATTATAATAAGGCCAATTATCATTTCCGTAAAGCAATTTCAATAAATCCAATTAATATTATCTTAATATGTTGTAATGGAATGGTTCTAGAAAAATTAGGTAAGAAATCATTGGCAATAAAACAATATGAATTAGCTAATAAATTACAACCATTAAATCCTTTGCCATTATTCAAGAAGGCACAGTTATTATTTTCAGAACAACAATATGAAGCAGCATTGAAATGTTTTGAAACTTTGAAAGATTTAGCACCTAATGAAGCTAGTGTACATTTCTTATTGGGACAATTGTATAATATTCAAGGAGATAAGTTTTTGGCAGTGAGGGAGTTTACAATTGCGTTGAATTTGGATCCAAAGGGGAATTATTTGATTAGAGAAGCAATGGAAAGTTTGAAGGAGAAGTAGAAAAAGGTGAGGGGGAGAGTGTATAGTTACTTAGGTTCTGTATATGGATAATGCATCAACAGTTTACTGTTTTGGAAGTGTGCAATGCATCTACTTTTATTGTTTTCGGATCTCGTAAGTGCGTTTGTTAACTAACGCAATTCTCCTTTAAAAAGAATCTCAATCTACACTGAAGAGTCATATTTATGATTGCAAGTAGAATTGTACTACTATAAAGAAGGGGTACCGTTGGTCATTGGTGATAGGTATCCAATTAACTTATTTATTAAACTAGGCTGCTTTAAAATAAGTTGTACTCACTTGCTTCTTTTGCCAATTTCTCTAGGAAGTAACTCTTCATGCCACAGAAGTGTGTGAAGGAAGTGTAGTTCTCAAGAGTAGCGGTTGCAAATTTACTTTCCAGTAAGAAATGTCGTTTTATAAGTAAGCAGTATTACGACATACTCGTTACGACATTTATACTTTTTTTATTTTTAGTAACAATTCTCTTCTCCCTTAAAATTTTAAGACAACAAAGAGACACCAACGAAATTCACAAGAACAATGCTTACAAATAAACATACATTACACAATCCGTCCATCTTCTTCCCTTTTCTGTTTAAATGGAATTCCGTGTCTTTGTTCTTTAATAGTTTATAAATTACGAGTTAAGTTGAGCCTCTTTCAGCTCTTTCAGCCCCCTGTTTGCGCTCCGTCATTTTTATAAACCATCTCTCTTCTTTCTTTTAAATGGAATTTTCCATACATCTCAATTTAAGTTAATCTCATAACCCTTTCTTCTTTTAAAGTTGGTGTCAAGAAAACAGCAACATACGAAATCTTAAATCTGAATCTTTTCTATTAATTATTAGATTTTATTAGATTTTAGACTCAATTGGGAAAAATTTTTCATAACAGAAAGTGTGAAGGGTAATTATTAATTGCAAAACGTAATCATCAAATTCAATTTTTTTATAAATTTTCAATCATCATTCACTTCACTTCACTTCAAGTTTACCACATATACAAGAATCTATCATTTTCGTATAATTATAAACAATCAAACTTCATTTCTCCATCAAAAACAATAACAAACAATTACTCCAATCCACGACTACCAATTGGCATTAACCACTACCCATTAGCGTTATTACACTACTCCCCCCCACAGACAAAAAAGAAGACAACGAATTCATAAACACACGATTTTTACCGGTTTACATTTTCTAAATAGACACATAGACTTAATCCATCCCCCCCCTCATTTACTACTACAAACATACAGTACTGAACACACTGGCATACCCCTACGATGTTGTTTGTAATATATTTAACGTGCTTCTTGCTACAGACAGTACATGCCATTAATCTTGGATGGAATGGACCTCATTATTATCAAATAGGAGAAAAGGTTGATCTTTTAGTCAATAAAATTGAATCTGATACAACTCAGTTACCATTTTCATATTATAATTTACCATTTGTATGTCCTCCGATGAATGGAGCAAAACCAGTTCATTTATCACTTGGAGAAATATTAAGAGGGGATAGAATATGGCAAAGTGGTTATGATTTACATTTTGGTATTGATGTTCCATGTAATAGATTATGTGATTTACGTGCCACTGAGAGACATATTAAAAAAGCAAGTCAATTGATTAAAAATGGTTATGTTGTTCATTGGTCTTTAGATGGATTACCGGGTGCAACTACTTTTGAATCATCTCATAGAAATAATAAATATTATGCCGCTGGCTTCCCCCTTGGATTCGTCAAGAATGATATTAGTTATATTTATAATCATGTAATGTTGGTTATAAGATATCATAGACAAAAAGAGAATAATAATCAATTTGCTATTGTTGGATTTGAAGTATATCCTAAATCAGTCATAAATGAAGAATGTCCTGGTTCTTCTAAAAATTATAAGAATTTCGCTCTTAAATATAAAACTGGTATTGATGGACAATTAAATAAACAAAAGACAATTATTCCATATACTTACTCGGTTTATTGGAGAGAAGATAATTCGATTGATTATGATTCAAGATGGGATTTATATTATGAAAATGAAAATAAACAAGCAAATGTCCATATTCATTGGTTATCTTTTATAAATTCAATTATATTGATCTTTTTAGGATCTTTGGTAGTTTTGGTTGTTTTGCTTAAAGTATTAAAGAATGATATCCAAAAGGATCCATCAACATCACCTTTACCCTTACATACTGATCATCATGATCATCCCGATTCCCCAACTTCCGCTAGCAATAGAAACTGGAAAGAATTAATCAATGAAATTGACAGAGTACCACATGCAGTCTTGATTTTAATCACATTAGTCTCAGGTGGGGTCCAAATGCTAATTGCTGTAGTTGGGGTTATCACTATCTTTGTATTAAACTCAATCGGATCTAAAAATACATTCTTCAATACTCATGAAGGATCATTTTTCACATTTTCAATATTTTGTTTCATTGGATCAGGATTTATTTCATCATATGGAGGAATAATCTTATATAAACTATTCAAAGGAGATGATTTAAATCAACCTTATGACATTAATAAAGCAATCATATTGTCATTTTTATTCAGTGCAACATTACCTTCCATATTATTTATTGTCATATTATTCCTAAATTTCTTCGTTTGGGCAAAAGACTCCCTGTCTGCTTTACCATTTGGGACAATCGTAGTATTATTACTATTATTCATCTTATTACAATGTCCATTAGGTATAATCGGTGGTCTTAACGGTAACAACCATAAATTCAACCTCAAAAAATCATCCCTCCTAAGTCCACCCATCGACCAACACGATCGAAAATTCCCATCGACATTATCACCACCATATACCCCACCAACCCTTCCCCACGCCAATCCTACCCATCCTGCGAATATAGCCTCAACCATAATCACCTATTTCCGCCGTGTTCTAATCTATGGTCTAGTCCCCTTTGGAATCGTTTATGTCGAACTTCTATTCATCTTCAATTCAGTCTGGCTCGAAAAAACAACATTTTATTACATGTATGGATTTCTCTTCGTCACCACGATTATGGAAATCATAATCATTGCCGAATCGGCCATCGTGGCGATCTATATCAATCTCCTGGTCTATAATGATCCTAATTGGCATTGGTTATCGTTCCAGGTGGGTACTAGTATTGGATGGTATATATATGCTTATTCGGTGTATTATTTCTTTACGGTTTTGAATGTGGGGGATTTTGTAAGTAGGTTGTTATATTTTTTTTATATGGCTTTGGCATGTTTTGTGATTGGGATAACGTGTGGAAGTGTGGGTGTATTGACGGGGTTGGGGTTTGTGAGAAGGATACATCGGGCAGTTGAAAAAGTTGATTAATTTAGATAATTTTGTGTAGTGTATTATATAGGGTATAACTAATAGAACACAATATTTATCGTTATTCTTTGGATCACCCAAATTGGATATGTAGGATCATTGGATACAGACGTTGTCTCTTGAACCGTCTGGTTCTTTCTGTCGATAGGCGTTGTCCGCAAGCAGATTATGTTGGAGACTCCAGGAGACATGGAAGAGAAATTTACAAGTTAGCTTATCATGACATGTTGTTTTATTGCAAAAGGATTAACCTCTTTTTGTTAAATATATAATTTAAAAAATGAAAAAGTACTACCAAACTATAAATAAACCTAATCTAATGAAGAAGCACCGGTAATAATATCGACTAATTCATTAGTAATGACAGCTTGTCTGGATCTGTTATACAAGATAGTATAAGAGTTGATCATATCCCCAGCATTCTTGGTAGCGTTATCCATAGCATTTCTTCTAGCAGAAACTTCGGAAGCATAACCTTCAGCCATAGCAGATAATAAATTGTTAGCCAAAGAGAATTCAGCAACGGTGGAAGCAGTATCTTCAGATTCCAAATCATATTTATTTAAACCTTGAGCTTTTTCAATTGCTTCAGCAGCAAAAACTCCGAATTTGGAAGGTTCAAAAGAAACACCAGAAACGAATTTATTGTACAAAATTTCAATATTTTCATATTTACCCAACTTGGCGATTTCATCAACCATTAAAGAAACTTCAGTAAAGTTTGGAGCTTCTTTACCAACACCATTGAAAGATAATTTCAATTTATCGGCATGAGTTCTTAATAATTGAAGCTTGACTTTATCACCAACAGTAACAATATCAACATTACGTTGTAATTCTTCAATTCTTCTTCTAGCAGATTTAGAAACTTGAGAATGAATAGAACCACATAAACCTTTGTCAGATGAAACAACAATTAATAAAGTCTTTTCACCTTCAGCAACTTCTGGTTCAGCATTGGCAATGAATTCAGAATCGGATTTGTTGAAAACACGAGAAGCTTGCATGGCTCTTTGAGCTCTGTTTAATCTGGTGGAAGCAACAACCTTCATGGTGTTGGTGATCTTTTCAATGTTCTTAATGGACTTAAGACGCATTTCAATTTCACGTAAAGTGGCATAGTTTCTAGAAAATTGGTTAGTACTCAGGGTCCTCTCTTCTTGGCTTGTAGACTATTTTTTTAAAGATTTCTTTGGTATGACGATTATATGAAATTCTCTGGGGATTCGGTGGTAGGGTATATGTGACGGGGCGTGACACAATTGGGTCGTTACTTCTCAACAATTCAATGTTTTCCCAACTATTCCAATGGTACATTGATTTCACATCCGTTGATTGAATTTCCTTTGTCAAAAAATCATAGTAGTTTTCTCTAGTCTAGAAACAATGGGGTCTAAAGGAGACATACCTTGCACCGGCAGTACGGGCAACTTGAGTGGCACCTAAACGAAACATCCTTTATATCTCTATAGAAGTACTTAATAAGCGGTAGATATATTATAGATATTTAAAGGATAGTTAATTTTTCAACATTCTCTTGGTTGGGTGTGAAAAAAATCTTTAGTCGTGTACTTTGATACAAAAGAAAAACCTCTACTATAAAAAAAGCACTTCTCGGATTTTGCTCAGAATTTTAGCGATTCTATTGGTGCAAAACAAAATGGTATTGAGTACACGACTTTCACGTGACTCAAGTATTTTTGAAATCAAACTAAGAGGTAGTAATCTATCTACACGTTTAACATGAGTTTAAACTAATAAATATGTATCAATAAAAGACTAAACTAGAAGGTAAATTACAAAATAATAAACATGGGAAAGGAAAAATAAACAAAAGAATATCCGTAAGTATGGGGGGGGGAAGATATTGGATAATGTATGATGAGATGATATTGAAGTAAATTTTGTTGATATGTGGTGTTGAGTATCATCCCTTCAATGATGCACGGCCCCTATCAAATAGCATGAGCTTTCTCATTACTTCTATATATGGCTTGATTGTTTTTCGTAAAAAATGTGCAATGATAATAATAATGATGTGTGTATATCTCTTTCTCCATTTACTTGGAAGGATCATTTCTTTGATAAAACAAATAACCTTTATTTTGATGGGTGTCGAGCATCTTCATATATTTCATAACTAATGAACGACAGTTTCTATGAGCATCATCTTGATGATAATCTTTACATTTAACCAATGCATCATGAGTATAACGTAATGCGTGTGTTCTGATATAATGTTCTCTCAACATGGCCCTTCTGGCTTTATCCACTAATGCAAAATCGGTATAGTCGATATCATCAAATGAAACTAATTCTGATCTCTTGTGGTTTTCATAATTATCCAAACTGGCTATAGATGTTGTTGATAGTTAGTAACTCGACCATTTCTTATCGAAAATTCATGCAATTTGATTAAAACCCTTAAACCAATTCAATTGGATTCATTGTATTTTCATTATTGATGTCTAATTACATACGCATCTTTATTTGTTTATATTTTATTGCAACCTTTTGAAATGCTCTATAAGCTTTAAGTCTCTGACTCTCTCCCTTCTCACTTATTAAAACATGAAATCTTATTGGGAGAAAAATTCAAAATTTTTCAAAACTGAGCTTTTGACAGAAAGTACACGACCGTTTTGATTTTAATCACGTGATTAGTAGGAAGTGGAATATCGAAATTATTTTATTATCTATATGCATCCAAGTCAATTTGATATTTTACCGGTTTGGGTTGGTAATTAGAGTCTACTCTCATAAGTAGGGGATTTAGTTATGAACTTGGGAAGAGTTTTTGGAGATTTTCATTTCGATGAATTTTTTGGTATTTTGGCTGCCGAAATTTGTTTTGTCAAGTTTTTTTGCAACCAAATTATGAAGTTTTCACTTTCAAACAATTCGTGGTTAATTTGTGTTCTTTCATCGGATAGTTTTACTTTAGGGTTGAATCTCATAGAGGCTAGCTTGGAAACAAAACGACACAGAAGCAACCAACTTTTCTTCCATCTTTTTTTTGGAATGCAATGATACCAATTGCTTTGTTGCTAACCTCGGTCATTAGAAGTGAAGGAGGTCAGGTATAAGCAATCAAAAACTGCACATTCCACAAATAGTTGGGATACAAGAATTACAAGCTACATTATACCTTGGCATAGAATTGGTCTAGTTCAGAATACAATTGTCCATTCTTCTTAAAGACTTGTCGGTACAACTTTGATAACTATTAGGTTACCCGGATACTCCCCCCAGTTTCCTGCACATAGATATTTCGGAACAAGTGTGAAAAACATACACACTTCCGCTTCAATTGAATCTTAAAAACATTCCCACAGCGATTTTAAACTGATTATATAATTAACGAATTGGTTTATACGTCAACCTATTGAACTGATATCAACCATGTCAGATAAAGAACAATTGAATCCAGTATCAATTGATACGGAAAAGACAGAAGTATTTAGGTTCAACGTTAGTATAATTTCCTATTTACATTCAATCTTTGCCCTTTCATCATTTTTAGCTGCATTAGCAGTTGGATCTTATTTACATTATTATAAAATTGTCCAGAATGCGTCTTATGGATATCCTGATGAATGGTTCCCTAGTGTATCTGCCACAATTGGTGATAGATATCCTGAAAGATCAGTATTTCAAATTATAATTGCTTTAACTGCCGGTCCAAGATTTTTGTTATTATTATTTGATTTTATTGTTTTATTTAGATCGAAATCATATTTACCTTATATTACTTTAATTTCTGGTGTTTTAAGAACATTCATGGCTGGAGGTTGGATGTATATCACATCCACTGATGATCATGATGCTCATGATGTCTTTATGATTGCATATATGGTCTTAACTATTCCTTGGACAGTTGGTATGACTTTATTATCGCCAAGAAATACATTTCAAAGAAAAGCAAGATTTTATAGTGCAGTTGCATTTTTTGGAACAATTGGACCCTTGATTTATTGGTTTATTCAACATAAAGTTCATGTTAGACCAGGTGCGTATTCAATCTATGCTTATTTTGAATGGGGGTTAATCTTTTTGGATATTCTTTTTGATTCTTGGTCCGCAATTGATTTTTCAAAATTGGATATCATTGTTAGTGGTCATGGAATTGAATTGATTCCTGGGCAAAAAAAAAAGCCTATTGAAATTTCATCAACAACTAAAACCACTGTTATCGATACAGAAGAAGAAGATTTATTTACAAATTTTGAAGGTATTTGTAATGTAATGAATTCATTTATTTATTGGTCAGTAGTAACTTCTTTATTTTTATGTGTTTGGTATTTCCCATTATGGCATATGGGACTTTCCGGTTATGAAGCCGTGATTATTTCCATGTTTTTATCTCCATTATTTACAATTATTCCATATTTTAGAAACTTATTAGCTAAATATCCATCATTTACAAGAATTTCAACTGTTATTTTCGGAATTGGGGCATATAAAGTCCATGATCCAGAACAAAGATTATTAACAATAACTATTGGAACATCATTTGCTGTGTTATCATTAGTGGTTGAATTTTGGGCATTATCAAATAATAATCAACCTAAGAAATTACATTCTTATATTATTTCAATTATGGTTGGATTATTAACAACTTCTATATTTAAATATTTGTGTTATTCAAATAATCCAATTTGGCCAATTATGCATAAAGAAAATGGAGGATATAATAACTTGGGTATCTTTTTAGGATTGGTGCTAGCAACTTTCACACCATCCGTATTTAAACAAGAGCCTCCCAAGATCTCATCATCGAAAGAAAAGAAAGATGTCAAACAACAACAACAACCGGAAAAACAAACCACTATCAAAAAGATTAGTGGATCTATGTTTTTGGCCGGATTAGGATTTGGGGGATATTATTTCTCCATCACTTCCTTCTTGACCGATTCTGGTACTTTAGCAACTTGGACATGGGAAGGATATCCAATCAGGGGTCCAACTCCCGTCACGGGGGCATTATTCCATTTCGGTGCATTTATCATTGCATTAATCGTCATTCTCAAAAAACATCCAAGTGCGTTCAGCGGATTAAGTTATAACATTGTTGTTGGTGGAGGTAGTGCATTATTAATGTATCAATTGAAAGGATGGGCTGGATATGCCGGGGCAGTGGTTTATACATTTTGGTTAGTTTCCGTTGGACCTATTATTTGGCAATCTATGGCGGGTTACAATCCTGCTATTTCTTTCTTTTGGGGATTTTTGGTGAATATTGTACTTTCATTAGCTAGTGTTTGGATCGTTGCTTATGCGTTTGTGCCTGGTGGACCATTACTTCGTGAAAGAACTGATATCATATTGGGAACTTCATTTGGATGTATTTTATTAGGAGTGGTGAATTATAATTTAAGAAACAAGTCCACATCTGACACATTCATAAAAGTCAATTATTTCAGTTGTAAAGCATTAAAACAATTTTGTATTTTGTTAACCATCTTATCCGCGTTAACAATCACAATCTTTATCAAAAGATATCCAACCGAACCATACCAACCCTATAATGAAGAATCCAAATCCTTCAATGCCGGGATTTGGTGTGTCCATTTCGGTCTCGACAATGACATGTGGTCTTCCGAAACCAGAATGAAAACCTTAATCGAAGAAGCCGAATTAGATATAGTTGGATTATTAGAAACCGATACTCAACGATTAATCGGTGGGAATCGAGATTTTACCCAAACAATAGCAGAAGAATTAGGAATGTATGCCGATTATGGCCCGGGTCCAAATAAACATACTTGGGGAGCCGCATTATTATCCAAATTCCCAATTATTGAATCTACTCATCATTTATTACCATCACCGGTGGGAGAATTAGCCCCTGCGATTCATGCGACTTTGGATATATTTGGAGAATTAGTGGATGTGGTTGTTTTCCATTCGGGACAAGAGGAAGATATTGAGGATCGGAGATTACAGAGTTTGGGAGTGCAGGAAATCATGGGGAATTCGACCCGTCCATTGGTGTTGTTGAGTTATTTGGTGACTGAACCTTTGAAGGGGAATTATAATACTTATGTCAGTGAAAAATCAAGAATGTATGATATTGATAATACTGATTGGGATAGATGGTGTGAATATATTTTATTTAGAGAATTGAAAAAGGTTGCCTATGCTAGGATTTCAAGATCAACTATTACTGATACTGAGTTACAGGTTGCAAAATTTAAATTATTAACTGAAGAAGAAAAGAATGATGAGGATAAAGGATTTTATTATGGGAATAATTTTGTTGATGAGAATGAAATTCCTGAAAATTTAAGAATGCCACAATTGTTTAGAGGTGATGGGGTTAGGGGTCATAGATATCATGTATTTGATGAACCTAGATATTTTGCCCAAGAGAAATCACAAGTGAGATAAGAGATGTCTGGAATCTTGTCATGAATGTTGTTTTTAATTATGTATCATAGATGAAATAAACTTAGCTAAAAAGTTTTCAATGTAAACGATATGATTATTTTAAATGCAAGCTTACTTTTTGCTCTTTTTTTTTGTGGAAGAATGCTTATTGCAACAATGCTTGTTCTTCGAGATTTGCAACAGGCTGTTGTTCCTGCTGTTCTGGTTGTTGTTGTTGTTCCTGTTGATGTTCTTGTTCTTGTTGTTGTCTTAATTCATATAATCTCACCTTCTTCCTAATTCTCTTTAATTGCCATTTAATAGGCACTAAAGGCAACACCCCAACTCTTTCTTCATATAATTTAATTTCCAACCAAACAATAACCAACGCCCAATAGGCACAATATGTAAACACACTTCCATAAGTCGCCGAATTAGTCCAACCAAAAATCGCATTCAAAACCATCCACCACCCATCAGTTAAACCATTACAACAATTCACATGCCATATACTAGTGGCAACATCATAAGAACCCGGACCACTTCCAGTTTCACTCACATCCAATCCACCACATTTTCTGACATATGCTTCCAATTCCAAAAACCAAACACCACGAGACATTAATCCTGCACTTACGATATAAAGAAAACAAGTCAGGAAGATTAAGAAGTATTGAAGTGAAAGTTTGTTACCTCCTTTATAGAGAGTATACCCTATAATCGTACCGAATGAAATACCACAGATGATGGATAATGGGATAGAGGATAATGGTTGGGACATACCTATTCCTCCTATGAATACGACTGCTTCGAGTCCTTCCCTTAAGGTTGTGACTAAGGGGAGGATAGCGAGGAAGTATTTCTTGGTAAATCTTTGTTTATGTTTCAATTTGCCAGATAATGCCGATGATGATGAATTTGATGGAGATGGGGATGATGAAGAATTTGGGATAGGTACAGCTGAAGTTGAAGATCCTGTTAATGGAACAGTTTCGATATCATTGGATTCAGCACTTGATCTAGTTCCACCATAGTTTGCGATTAAATCATCTTCATCTTCTAATTCACCTTGACCAAATTTCGCAATTTCTTCTTCTGCTTCATTATTTTGATCATCTAAATCTATATCGTTTTTATAAGCATCACCTAATTTAATCCACCATTTAAGTTTCATAACTTTATTAATTCTTAATAAACCAATACCCATAATTGTGATTATAATACTTGATAAGATTGAAAATACCCCTTCCCATACTCTTTCAGTATATGACCAAAAATCTTTCCCGATGATATAAAAACAAAATATAAAGATTAATCCAATAATAAAACAAATGACTAATCCAAGAATTGCTCCAATCCATACTTGAAGTCTAAGTTTCCTTTGTACCTTTTCTAGATGTTCTATATGGTGTTGTGAAAGTTGTGGTTGTTGTGGTTGTGTTGAATCAATTGATTCTTCATGTTTATGAGATCTTTGATTTATAAATGAAAGTAATACCGAAATAATAATGGCAGTTTCTAAAGTTTCTCTTAAAATAATAAAGAAGATTTGAATTGAGAAATAATTCTCAAATCCTTCAATCATTGTTACCTTATACTTGTTGCTTATTCTTATATATATATAGAAGTCTATTAGGTTAACTATTTGATTTGTAATAATTTTATTATTCAGAAACAAAGAAACAAAGAATTATAATTTAAATGGGCTTTGAATATTTTTTTTTCTGTCTCTCTTTTATTTTCAGAGAATTCGCTAACAAATATTCTTACTACTAATTACTATTAATGTAACCGCTGTAAATTTAAGAAATCTATAAATAAATAAAATCTCATATGTAAAAATAAGCAAAATTTTGATTTAATCAAATGAGGTAAACAACTGCACGACAAGAGGAAGATGGTTAACCATATGAAACAAACAAGAGAAGAAGAGGAAAGGTGGGGGACATTAAGGGGAACCACAGATGTAAGTTGTATATTGACAAATACTTGGCAGCTTACTAGACAGTACATATCTACTTACATTACTACAATTTATTAACCAACCCAAGAAGTTAACCATATATCAAACTCTATTTAACACTTATGTAAGATATATAAACACACATACACATCTCTATACTTACTCTCTCTCTCTTTTATGAAGAATTAACAATTAATTAAACTCTCTTAATTAGCAATTAAACCACACATCTCTCTCTCTCTAATCCAAGGTGTTACAGAAAGAAGCATCCCTAGAATGGGAAGGAGCTATCTATTGCTTTCTTGCAAGTGGGAAATCAATGATTGCATATAAACAAGTAATATATTCATCATCTTTAGTATAAGCTTTTGCATTAACAATATATCTACCAGGTGGAACTTCTTCAGGAATCTCAACCACTTTACTAATCACTTGTTTCCCATCTTTAATTGGACAAGTAACATCAATCTTTTCAATCTCTTCACATAAATCAAATGTTTGATGAATTAATCTAATAAAACCATATCTTACATCAATATCAACATATGCTCCAGGTTCAATAGTCTTGGCGACATTTCCAACAGCTACAAATGTAAGATTTGCTCCTGCTTGTGGTGGATTTGGTGTTAATTTGATTTCTGTTAATGTTAATAATTGATCTTCAGTTACATCACAAATTTCAATTGGTGAATCACCTGGAACTGGTTTAGTATTTGGTGGTTGATTAGGTAATGTGAATATAACTTGATCAGAAGACAGATATTGTGATTGTGATGGTTTCTTATTGAAGAAATCAACTACTTTGTTGACATATGATGGATTGAATACGGATAATCCGTGAATAGTAGTTGATGATGCAAGGGTTAATAAGGTTAATTGTTTAAATGAAACCATTTCTAATTAACTTCTTTCTTTTCTTATTTTCTATTAGAGATTAATAACGGGCGTGTGTGGTATGAAATTAAAAATGCAATCTGATAGTAATAAGCAAAACTTAGAAATGAAAGTAAGTCGTAAAGTAAATCAAATGTTGAAAGTTGACAGTTTAAATTTGACAGGCAAAAAGAATGGAATTACGAGAATGGCAAACGAGCATGATAACAAATGTCGTACATTCCAATTCAACTTAATTTGTGGCGTCTCTCCGCCTTTACCTAGCAACACGACATTAATTCCACAATGCGACATTCGGCAAATTGCTATAGGAACAACCAAACTCCTTTGAATTCAACCAATTAGCATCTGACTTGTGATGAGGCATTGTCGTAGAGTATACACGACTAACAATTTTGAGTAACCAAAGAAATAATAATTAAATGGCTAAGACCTCCAAGAGAATTATTGTCTTTTTATGAACCTTGCGATATCAGCTAAACCACTCTACTAAGTCCCCATCTTTGGCTGCAAATTATGAAACTATAAAAATAAAAATTATAAATGTCTATTAAATCCATATCTATAAATCTATATGAGACTTTTTGTTAAAAACCTATACAATAGTAAAACTAATTCATACCAATCAATTATTAACCAGAAATAATCAAATTCGCAGTCATACTATCAAACCGTTCTCTAATCAATTTACTTTCAATTCTCAATAATTCACAAATAATTTCCTGTCCACTACTACCACATTTCTTCATCTCCGATTCCAACTTCTCTTTTGATAATTTCCAAACAACTGAATCATTAACTGTGGTATATATACATTGTCTAGAACTATCTCCTGGAATATTATTATTATTATCACTTACAAGATTCCCAAATGCAACAAGGGGTAATATACTACTATGTAATTCCCGACCTTCATTTTCAAACTTTATAACCGATCTAATTAATCCTGATTCAACAATGAAAAATTGTGGTTGGGTATTATTACTTTCATAAAATGTGATATTGGCCGGGATACTCTCTTTAACGAAACATGGAGCTAATTTCTTCCAAAATTCAACTGGTTTATCTGAAAGTCCTTGGAATGTGACCATTATTAATGGTAATGGTTGGACCTTGAAGCTGGAATTATCGGGTTGATGATATTGTTTATGGATCTTTTGTTCGTCGGAAATAGTTCTTGTTGCTGCTTGTAAAACTTTTGTTGTCCTGGGAGTTCCTAGATCATATTTTGATAACGAAGGGGATTGAAACATAGATGTAGAAGATTCTTTTGGGACAGCACGAGCTGAGATTATTGAATATGGATGATTATTTGGGTGATGGGATTTTTGTTGTTTCTTGATTGATTTATATGTTTTTAAGAATGTATTTTCACACCATTCCAATGCATGATTTAAAGAATTAAATAATTCAATCTTATCATTATTATTGTCATTATCAAATAATCCAGCATCTCTTAATCCTTTAATAATCTCTCCATCTTCAGCTACCGAAGAAATAATCAACAATGTATTAAACTCCTTTGTCAACTTCAAAATCCTTCTAAACCCTTCAGCAGCTGAAAAATCCAATGATTGAACTCCCTTCATATCCACAATCAAAAACTTAATCGGATTCAAATTAAACCTTTCATGTTCAAATTTATTCCTAATAACATCCTCAACCCCACCAATCGACCCAAAGAAAATCGTTCCTTGTAACTTAATAATACAAATCTGATCACCCACATCCTTCAAAAATTCCTGTTGTTTAGGATGTCTCAACACCGTCGATCTAGCAACACTCCCAGAATAAACCCCATGCACAACGGGAGTCCTCCCCGCTTCAACCACAAACGACAAACAAGCCAATAAAATCCCAATAAAGATCCCAACCACAAAATCAAATGCTCCCATAGTTACAACAATAATTATAATCGTCATATATTCAATCCGTTTCAATCTGCCCCAAGTATCATACACTGCTTCTTTTAATAATTCATAACCCAATAAATAAATCAAGGCACCAACGACACAAACAGGGATATATCCAATAATCAGAGGTCCAATCATCATAACCCCCGCCGTGGCTATTGCCAACATCACCCCAGCAAATCTAGCATCGGCACCAGCACGAATAAATAATACAGAATTGGTATATACCAAATAATTCTGAATACTACCAACTAATCCACTCAAGAAATTTGAATATCCATGAGCCATTAATTCTCGATCAACATCGACTTGATCCATTCCGACCGTGACTGCTAATGCGGGGACGTTGATGGGGACATGAAGGATTCCGAAGAAGGTTAATGCAAGCATGGTGGGGAATTGAGCGAGGATGGCCCACCAATTGACGAGATTGAATTTATATAATGTATAGAAATGATACCATGGTTCATTATCTTCCACGGCGGGGAAGATCCAGCCGGAATGACGGAGTTGGGGGAGGGACCAATTGGGGATGAGGGCGACGATGAGGTGGAAGATTATGAAAACGGCTATGAAATATAATGGGACGATAAGGGAGTTATGATATTTATGTTGGATAAGGATTAGGATTATGGCAAGGAATAATGGAATGGTCCATTGTAATAAGGTTTCATAATTGAAGAATAAATATTTGAAAATTTCCCAATTATATTCTAATCCACCTTCTAATCTTGATGATACTTCTATACCTGTAACCACCAAGAAATATCCCACCCCTCCAATACACCCGACTAAAATATGTCTAGGGAAAAATCCAACCAATACCCCTAATTTACATTTCCCAAGCAAGAAGAATACCAATCCGGTGACAATTGAAGATACGGCATATGTGGTTATAGTAGTTGCGATAATAGCATCTTGAGAATCCAGCTTCATTTGTGATGCAATAGCTAATGCCATAGTATGAAAAAACGGAGTAACTTCAATCATTTCCGATCCAATACCTGATTTAAATGCCGATCCACCAAGGGAATAAATTAATTGGGAAACAATACATGAGATATAAAACATCGATAATCCACTTGGTCCTAATGAAGAAAATATCGCATCACCAATAGGGAACATAATCATCCCATATGATAATCCATCTAAAATGTTGAGTAAAGTACCTAAAAATACCGCTGGGAGATATGTGAAAGGTTGAATGATTACTTGATGCAAAATACTTGGTTTTGGGTGTTGCTTTTCAGTTGGAGTGGTAATGGTATTGTGATTCCTTGGTGGTTTTCTAATAGATCCTGATTCGAGATCTGTAAATGATGAAACTGAAGAAGAACGATCATGATCTTCAACATATGATTTTTGTGGGGTTTGTATTAATGGAGTTGTTATTGAGTCAACTAGTTGTAAATCTAAAATGGGACTACCATATGAGTCATTAAAACTTTCAACATCTCTCTGACGTTGCTGCTGTTGCTGCTGGGACTCTTCATCGCTATCACTACTGACAACACCTATATTTGCCAAACTCACAGTTTGTTCATGTACGTCAACTCCTGCATTAACAGAAGGTGAACTCATATTACAACTGAATGATCCTCTATGAGCCATACCAATATAACTTCTACCTCCAAATTCAAAAGGTGGTTGATTATAATTATTATTATTATTAAGACTATTGAATGATTCTGATATGGAGAATTTTCTAAAGCCAGAAGAAGAAGAAGGAGGTAAAGGTGAAGGTGAAGCGTACTGTGGAGTTAGCAAGCCTCCTTGTTGTCTCTCCTGTTCTTCTTCCTCTTCTTCTTCTCCTATTGCTTCTGTCAGTATATGTGTAAGTGAAGATGATGCATTGTCGCCTGATAATTGTGGCTTTAGTTGCTGTTGTGGTTGTTGCTGCTGAGTATGAAGACTCATTGGTTGCTGCCGAATATCACGTGGTGACAGAGACAGCTGTAGTCTACTAGTACTATTACTAGTATTATCAGGTATATTATTACTCATGGTGCTCTCTATTCCTTGTGATAATAAGCTAAATAAGTTGTGAAAAAAACCAAGAGAAATATCGTAAAAATTCTTTTTCACTTTTTTTAATTAATTAAGGAGAGAGTGGCTCATAAGAGATTAATTAATCTAATAAAATAATAAACTCACACAATAAATAAAATTTGTTAGGTGAGACCTAATCATCTCTCTTAATAAATTTAATTTCTGTTGGATACAAAAATCCCAAAACGGAAGTAATCACCGAGCAATTTAAATTGATAAGAAAATTTGAATTAAATTAGTGCGGCGTACTGATTGTTCTTTATCTTGTCAAATGTTTGTTTTAATTAATTTACAATTATTAGGGTAACAATCAATTAATTAGAAATTATTAGGGTAACAATCAATTAATTGTTTATTAAATACAAAATACGATAATTAATTTAACTCTGGTTATTACTTACTTAGTTAACCAATGAAAACTCATAATTCTTTCTAGAAGATCTAAATGAGTTTTAATTCTCGCAATTTTTCTTTAATTAATTAATTAAACTTTTTTTAGATTTGGATTCTGATTGATCAATGAACAATCCTTCATTTTGGTTAGTACATAGCGAGCAAGCATCTCGTTCAGCTTAGGTGATTGCAAAAATAAACTATCTGAATTTAGTACAGTGTTGGCCAATCTTTTTACGTATTTAAATTCTAACTTCTATATATGGCAACACTTACTCCTTACTACCATTTTCTGTTATTTAACAGAGCTACCATCTGTAATTTTAATTGCGAAAACTTGCAACCTCTTGGCTTTGATAAGAAATCCAGCATATTTCCTCGAGATATAAGGACCCCGCCATATAGAAATTCTCAAATGTGTGGTATAGTTCTTTGTGTGCACCTTGCCGTTGAAACGTAGACAAGTAGCAGAGCTAATATGTCTTCGTCACATTTCATAAAAGCTATCTACAAGAGCTGTCATAAAATAGTCAATTCTCTAAATATGTATTGAAAATAAATTAAAATAATTATTTCTAAAACTATACAAAAAACACTCTATATATAAATCAAATATAACAAATCTATTACAAAACCAAAGGAATGAATGAAATAAGAATATAAAACCCAGCAAAATAACGAGCAGCACCACCTGTATGTGGTTCTATTGTGGGTGAAACTTTGTCAACTGAACTTGAAGTGGCGGGTGAGTCATTCGAAGGGGCGACCAGTTGCAGTCCATCCGGGGTTGAGCTATCATCTCTAATATTAATACCTCTTTTCTGGGGCCCTTCAAAAACTATTATACCTCCTGGTCCTCCTGTTCCTCCCGTACCACCTTGACCTCCACCACCACCTTGACCTCCAGTTCCACATGTTCCAACCCCACCACCTCCACCTGCCCCACCATTTCCAACTAATAATCCATCGCCGTTACCACCGGTTCCTCCAGTACCACCAGTAGCTGTAGTGCAACCAGTACCACCGCCGGCACCAGCAGTTCCTCCCCCTCCACCAGCTCCTCCCATTCCAGTAGATTGAGTCATTATAGTTGTTTGTGTGAAACCACCAGCACCTCCGCCACCACCATTACCACCCAATCCACCTGTCCCTGTTGGAGTAGGACCACCAATACCACCACCAGTACTGCTTGCTGTAGTTGTTGTTGGGGTTGATCCACCGGAGCCACCAAAAACAATGCTTGGACCATTAGGAGGAGTTAAACCAAGAACCCTACTAGTAATTCTTGTTGTAGTTGTTGTTGTTGGGCTATCTTGACTGATACTGCTGCTAGACATGGTTTGGGATGTGCTAATGGAAGTAAATACACTAGAAGTACTGCTTGTTGAAGTTCCTTGACTAGAACTGCTACTGTTGATGATACTAGACATGGAGTGGGATGTGCTAATGGAAGTAAATACACTAGAAGTACTGCTTGTTGATGTTGTTCTTGTTGAACTTCCTTGACTGGTACTGCTACTGTGGATGATACTAGACATGGATTG